AAACAGTAACTAAGAGGTATGGGACCAGTTCCCATCAAATTATATAATCTAAGAAAACAAGTGTGTCAATTTTTAACCAATGCCCTTCAATACTTTTGGAGATTCCAGCTTAACCAAGTGTGACTGTGACACTTATGTTGGGATGAGTACAATAGCTCTACCTGTCCTTTGATTTGTCAAGTTAAAAAAATTTAATCTTGAACACTACATGAATGTTATTTTAAATATATTTTATTAGTAAATAAAATATAGGCTCACAAAAGACAGTTACTGTATAATGTACAAATCTTGCATCAAGTTTTATTAGTTCCAAGTATAACAAACACAGAAAGGTCATGTAAGGACTCAGGTTGGTAAACTCTAACCTTAATGCACTTGTATATTGGCCTATAATCAAGATTTGCATTAGTCAATGTTAAACAGATATTTCAGGGATTTCAATCACAGAATTACAAGATTGGACAGTCAACAGAATATAACTTGGTCAGAACTACCATGATGTACAGACTGACCTTGTTCTTTACTGGTGACATAGTCATGTCATTTGAGCTGGAAGTATTGTTAATGATATGCAAGTAGAAGAAGACCTTTCCTATTGGTGTGGGAGAGCACCATGGTTGATCCACTAACGTTTAAATTATCTCATCACAAGAATAGAAAGTTCCAAGTTCAATCACACTATGCATCAAATAAAGTCCACAAATTTGTGGTGCAAAGTTATTAAAAGTTATCGACCTTAAGCGAGGACTAAAAACTTATATGAAAAATAAAATCAAAGAAACTTTAATAAATCTATAACCACTCAAAAGATTTACAGATTAACAAACAATTGAAGTTACTCATTCTGGTATAAAATGTATTTTGACATTATATTTTAAGGTTTGCTATACAATCACTTAATTTTCTTGATAAATTCATTTTTATCAAATTTCACCTAAGTAATGTTCAACCTATATTTGCATGTATCATCATAATTGAGCCACGTCACAACAAAACCAACATATTGATCAATATGCAGGCAAACTTCATAATGCTGAGATTGCATTTTGAACACAACAAAATTCTACATAAATTTATAAAATCTGACGTGATATGATTAATTTTTAAAACATATATACAGGTCATTTTGTTACACACAAGACCTTGTTGAAATAAGAACACATAACAATCTTAAAAGACCTGATTTTTATGTTGCCTATAAAACAAGAACTGTTTAAAATTTTAAATCAACAATTGCAGATATAAAACAACTTTTTGAGTTTACATAAAATACAGCAAGCATGTAACAAGAGCTGTCAGTAGGACAGCAAGCTTGACTATTCTCAGTGCTTGATAGTAAAGTAAGAGGTTCAATATGGTAGAATTTTCAAAGTTTAAAAAGGGCAATAATTCTGCCAAAATCCATGTTAGAGTTATGTGCTTTAGAAATTAACCTCCTATTATGCCTTCTAATAAGTGTGTAAAGTTCCAACCCATCTTCTTTGGTAGTTTTGGAAATATCAACTTGCACGCAAAAACTTTAAAAAAGTGTGACTGCAATTACAATAGCTCTCTATATTCTATGAATAGTCAAGCTAAAAAATAAAATTGAATAGATATGATTTTTTGAGCAGAATATTAACTTTCAATTACCACAACTTAATTTTTGGCAAACCAAAATGTTTGGCTTTGTATTCCTGATCCAAACAACAAAAATATATCCCAAATAAAAATAGTAAGAAAACAAGAGCTGTTGGAGGACAGCAACGCTTGACTATTCAAAAAAGTTGTCATAAGGACGTTCCATTGAGTATAATAATGCTTACCTATATGAATACATAAAATTGTCTGAAAAGGTACAAAGGCTTGTTACTAAGATGTTTTATCGAGTAAACTATGAATACATAAAATTGGCACAAAAAAAGGCACAAACCATTCAGTAGTTATGAGGATATCAGTATACAAGCAAAAACTAAACCAAGAATTTCGAAGTCAAAAAAGGGGCATAACTATGCAAAAAAGCAAATCAGAGTTATGGGACTTGTGCCAATCATGTTAGATAATCACAGAGAACAAGTGTGTGAAGTTTCAATCCATTCCCTTCAGTAGTTATGGAGATAATAGTTTACATGCAAAAACTTAACCACAGGGTTAAATAGGTGACTGCATTAGCTCGATTATTCTTCAAATAGTTGAGCTAAAAATCAATAATCCATTGATAAGAGAACAACACTGTAACTTGAACATGAGCACCAAATTTTATGTTAACACTTGTCTATTAAAATGACCAATTTTGGCAATTCTTAATTTACAAGAGGGCCAAGATGGCCCTAGATCTCTCACCTGACCCATCAAACTCATCCGAACAATTACCTAGACAAGCATTCTGACCAAGTTTGATGATAATTGAGTCAAAAATGTGACCATAAGAGTGTTAACAAGGTTTTTCTAATTTTAGCTCCTGTGACCTAGTTTTTCATCCGAGATGACTCCATGTTCGACCTCATCCAAGCTATTACCTAGACAAGCATCATGACTAAGTTTGATGATAATTGAGTCAAAATGTGACAACCAGAGTGTTAACAAGGTTTTTCTATTTTTAGCTCCTGTGACCTATTTTTTCATCCGAGATGACCCATGTTCGAACTCATCCGAGCTATTACCTAGATAAGCATCCTGACAAAGTTTGATGATGATTGAGGCAAAAATGTGACCGCTAAGAGTGTTTACGAACAAGTGTGAGCTAGCTCAGGTGAGCTAAAAAGGGGCATTACCTCAAAATTATAGCTGTAAGAATTATGCTCCATGTCTAGCAACTGCACCTTGTCAAATGTAGTAAGTTTCATGTTGATAACTTTAATGTTTGAATAAAGAGCTACATTAAAGTTTTTACAAAACCACAATTTAGGTTCACTTTTTTTTGAAATGAGGGTAAAAAAAATATCAAAAATATAAACCAAGTTCTTGTACAAAAAAAAACAGGGAATCTTGTAAAATAATTACCTGACAACTTGAATTATGATGTTTGTTTTGTATTTTTATGATCTGAAATTTATTCATTATACACAGCACAATTCTAAATACTATCTCAAATCCTGTATCTGTGAATAATGAAAGCAATAGTTAAAGTAAAGTGTATCCAGTACAATATTTTAAAATTTATTTAATGAAAACCCCAAAGAAACAGCCTCCAAAGAAACAGCAAATAAAAAAATCTTGCCATTAGACCAATATAATTGGTAATACCAAATATTCAACAACAAAAATAGCAACAATGAATGAAATGGTTTTGATATTTTTGTTTTGTTTGTTTGGCTTTAATATACAATGACGCTCTGTATCAAGGTCATTTGGCATTTTTCATTCTTAATTTTAAATGGTAACACCCAATGTCACCTGAAAGTATTTCAGGCACATTTGTTTGATAAATTTTAAGTCATGCAGACATTGTATGGGTCATACAAGAACTTCCCAGCTTTACTTGGTGGGATACATCTCAGCTGCCCCTTTGTTGAATATTTTTTCAAGGACATAAGGGGCCCCTGAGAAGAAAACCCAACAGCTTTCCCTCAAAGCTTCCATCACAAAAAAAAGAACCCAAATCCTGCAGCAGTTGAAGGGATTAGTGATTAGTTGAAGTTCAGGCACATATAGGCCACCTTAAAACCATAACCGTCTCTCAGCCAATGGAATAATACTGTCTTTGTAAATAACTCAGTTTTATAATTATGTTGTTTATAAGTTGCATATTTCTCCTTGTCACATTTTCAAATCTTGATAATTAATTTGTGTCTTGGACTTGGCCAATTTCAGCAAACAATAGCTTCATATTGTTTGTAAATAATTCAAGGGAAAGAACTCTCTTCAGTCCATGTTTCAAAGGTTATAAAGGGAAACCACTTTTTTTCATTTCCCATTTTTGACAGGTTAAAAGGGGAAACAACTTTATTAGCCCCATCTATGGGTTTACCCTTTACATAAAGGAGATATTTCCCCCGGGCTAAAAAAATTTCTCCATCATTACCCTTTAAAACTAGCCTTTAAAAATTCCCGACGACCAGTATCCTTTACGGGCAAATCTTTATTTTAAAAAACTAAAAAAGAAAGGGTTTAAATTTTAATCCCCTACTCACATTTTCAAAAAAAGGGGAAAAAAAAAAAAAAAAAAATTGCAAGAAAGTCAAAGTTTTTTTGCTTTTTCGAAAGTGTTTAAAAAAAAATCAAAAACTGTTTTAAAAGAAAACTTGCTTGATTTTTTCTAAAGTTGCCAAGGGAATTTTGTGTTACAAAATGTATGTAGAAATTTACATTTTTTCATCCATTCCATGCATCAAATACTTATAAAATAAATTGTGCTGCATTTAGTTTCTGCGAGTTAAAATTACGTCTTGTACTTGCGAACTCAAACTTTTGGCCCTGTCAAAACAAATTTCCTTGACTGAACTGGAAATGTCCAAGTGAAATACATAAAGGATATAGAACGAGTGTAGGTTTAATACTAATTTTATTAAACAAATTGAAAATTTGTTTGTTTGTTTGTTTCATTTTACGCCTTTTTCAACAGTATTTCAGTCATATAGGCGGGTAGTTTCCTAACCATCGTTCCTGGAGAGTTACACCAGTACTAGACTACCTTCCTCCGCGCTAAAAAATCATATTATGCAAGCCTCTGGCTAGCATTGTATTGTTTATTCAACAAGTTCAAAAAATTCTGTATTGAATCTACACAAATATGATATTCTATTTACCCCCTATTAAAAATAAGAACAAAATACAGGTTTCATTGACGCGCCTATAGTGTAACACTAACATTAGCGTGCTTTATTGCTAGCTATGTTTATAAGTAACGCAAATGACGCAACATAAAATGTTATAACACTAGTGTAATATCATTTTTGTTAAACAGCTTTATTACACTCCTTCGCTGTAGTTTATGTGATAAAATTTAATCACTATCATTAAGTCTATGCACAAAACTCAACAACTTATTTCCTCAAATTTTTAATCACCTTATTTGAGGTTTAGATAGCGTCAAAAATTTTTTAAAATCATTCTTGTAAATATAATACTCACATATCTCTGTATCTATCTTTAATTTCATCATTTTCATCTTCCATACTACCAGTGTCAGTCAACTTGATTGTTACAGCACCACAACTTGCATCTATAATACAAGAACTTTCTTAATGCTAGCAGAAAACATGGTTTCCGTTGGCAACCAGTACAGAACGAGCCAATCTCTACAGTTTTAACCAAGCTGATCTCTAAAGTTTTGTATGATAAACAATAAATAGAGCAAGTGAGACAAAAGGAGGAGAGAACAACAGTCAAACATCAGGATGGTTTCTAGACTTGTTTATTCAAGGATCTACCAGTTTTCGGTCTTTCATAAGGATCAAGCATTAAATGGCCATCTGTAATTGGTTGAATAATTGTATTAACACCTTCAATCAGTTTTGTCAGAAATCAAAAGATAAATTGATCATGGCCAAACATTTTAAAAGTCCTAAGATATCTTCCAGGTATCCAGGTTTTTCCATCTGGAATATTCTATCTGAAATATGTCTGAGTACTTGAGTACTGAATTTGGTACGGTACCCATATCCTTCCTTACATAAAAGTAAGTGATTTATGTCTAGTTGAATCATTTTTACTCGTTCACTTTTACAACATTCCTACAATCTTTGATTTTCATTAAAAATTTTTGCATGCACACTGTTTTGGTTTAAACATATTTATTAAAGCTCGATTGTGAAACAAGTTCTTGCAACTTATATTAATCACTTTCGAGTCCACTTCCTGGAACCAACCAGTACTGGTGTCGTATGAAGGAGCATGGTCATGACTCAATTAGGGCTTGAACCCCTTGATCCCTGAGTTGAGAGGCAGACTAGGCAACCATTCAGCTTGTAATCAGGTAAATCATTTTCTCTGCAAATTGAAAAGCAAAAACTTTCTTACAGTAAAAGCCTAGTATGTGTATAATTTTTTTTGTTAGTGTTGGTTTCTTTTCTAATCCTTTGCATACCGTTTTAAAGTATGTCAATGATTTCTTACTTTTTAATGGTCTAGGCAGCTCTCCAAATATTTTCCACAAGTCCTGTGCATCAAGATATTCATGCATGTATTGTGTAAGTCGTCCTTGCGAGTCAACACCCCCTAGCACAACTATACGACCTTCTAACACTGAAAAATAGAAATTGTTCTGCTCTTTAATTCTTTCATATATTGAAAAGCTATCTTCACATGAGGGACTGTGTCAATTTATTTTGTCTTCTTCCACTAATTTTACAGTAATAAATGTATAACACAGTCCTAAAACTTGCCTCACATCAATTACATAAAGAGTTGATTACCTCAAATCAGGTAAATCATTTTCTGTGTTTATTGAAATACAAATATTTTCTCATAGTAAAAACCTAGTATAAAAATCCTAAATTTCAAGGAATTCAGTGTTGTTTTCTTTTCCAATCCTTTTGGTTTTGCCCCATGAGGAAATCTTTTAAAGTGATGAAAATAATTTTAACTAGAAAGAAATACATAATGTGTTAACAGCACAATAATCATATTGTGACAACAACACAATTGAGCCCTGTCACAACAAAACCAACATAGTGCGTTTGTGAGCAGCATGGATCCAGACCAGCTAGGCATCTGCGCAGTCTAATCAGGATCCATGCTGTTCGCTATCAGTTTCTTTACTTGAAATAGAGTTGGTAAGCAATTCAAACAAGAAAAAGATAAAATCATACCAGTCATCTGGAAGAAAGCAATACCATGTTTCATGGCAGAAAGTTTCGTCCACTGGTTTGTCTCTATGGAGTATTGTTCTACGGACACGAGGCACCTGAGATGACCGTCTGGGTTGGTGGCTTCTCTATTACCATTGTAGCCACCGGCTACATAGATGCTAGAGTTCATACATACCATACCGTGACCAGCACGAGCTGAAATTGATACTCATAGCATGTAAACAGTTAGAGTCTTCAGGATGTAAATTCATTCAACTTTCAAACTACTCAAAAACAAGAACTTTAATTAACATTAAGTAAATGATTGTCTTCTGATTTGGGCAAAACTTTTTCCATAAAATGTTGATTGCAGAGAAATTTAAACTTAACTTTGTTTAAATATAACATACTTAGCTGATACAATATGAATCCTTTAAAGTTATCTTGCGCAAACCAATCATTTTACAGAAAATTTGCTTTAAAAGGGGCATAACTGTATCATCAATAGAAAACTTGCTTAACAAGAGCTGTCGGTAGGACAGCACGCTCGACTATTCTAAGTGCTTGATAGTAAAAGAGCTTTGATAATGTTAAATTTTTTAAGATCACAAAAGGTCTAATTTATTTTTAATAAATTCATGTTATAGGCCTTAGAGAGAGTCTAATTATACAGTATTGGCTTGACTATTCGGAAGGTAATGTCACAAGGTTGCTTTATTGAGTATAATAATACTAATTACCTATGAATACATAAATTTGACAGAAAAGGTACAAAGGCTTCTAATTAAGATGTTTTATCAAGTAAATCACTGCTTTATTATTATGAATGCATAAAATTGTCCCAAAAAAAGGCACAAACCCTTCTGTAGTAATTGAGATAACAGCTTACAAGCAAAACTTTACCATGAATTTCTAAGTTGAAAAAGGGGAGAAAAATCAGCCTAAATGCAAGATAGAATTATGGATCTTTGTCAGTGACCTACAATTATGACCCTAAATGCATATGTGAAGTTTTAAATAAATATCTTTAATAGTTATTGAGATATGTAAAACTTGCATGTAAACATTAACCAAGAGACTTAGTAGAAAAGGGGATATGAATCAGCCTTAATGCAAGATAGAGTTATGGAACTTGGTCAGTGACATACAATTATGACCCTCCAATTATGACCCTAAGTGCATGTGTAAAGTTTCAAGTAAAAATCTTTGAAGACCTTTAACCTTTAACCAAAATTTCTAAGTTTCAAAGGGGCAAATAATTCTTCAAATTTTGCAGCAGTTATGCAATTTTGCAAACTGATGTACATTGTTACTATAAAAAAGTATTTTAAATTTCAATTGAATATCTCAAACAATAATTAAGATATTTGACTTTACAAAAAAACTTTAACCAAAATTTCTAAGTTCCAAAGGGGCATAATTCTGTCAATATTGTAGGCAGAGTTATCCAACTTGTCAATCTGATGTACCTTGTTACTATAAATAAGTATTGTAAGTTTCTATTTTCTGTGGCGGCCCGGGGAGACGAAAAAGGGGGTTACGGGTACTGTCTGGCTCTTTCTCCTGGCCTGACTTGCTTGAAAGCATGCAGGTTCATTGCATGTATTAGTTTTATGTATTATGGTGGGGTGCACTCCAGGGTTACGTTGGCACCCCCCTCCACCTCTACGTATGGAGGGGAGGCCCAGGGCAGGGCTACGTCCGGGACCCTCGTTGCTCAGGAGTCAGATGTAATCTTGGCAGCCCGCTAACACCTGTTCACTTAAGCGTGTTCAACTTTTGGGACTGACACCAGGTTGTAAACCTGGGTCACTGACTTGCCAGTGTAACAAGGCAGTAAGTAGTCTCCCCCGGGACTGGATAAAATTTATGGGTTTTGCCCGTCTGCAGCCAAAATTTCCGCCACAAGGTTATGAAGTACCTTAATAAAAGTATAATTGTCAAATTATCATGTTGTTTATCTGTTATTAGTTCTGGTCGCACACATAAGTGACTATGTGATGCCAAGTGTAAAATCAGTTATTGTAAACAGAGAGTTAATATTCAAGTTCTCTTCAGAAGAGAAATAAAGATTGTGATAGCAGGGTGTCCGTAGTATTATAAAGGATGTATGTGATTTAATAGGGATTATCCAGAATCTCGTATTCGATAATCCTTCTTAAAACACATCATCTAGCGGGTGGGTAGGTGCAGTTTAATCCGGTAAAGTAAAGTACGGAATTTAGACATACTAAGATACTCTTCAAAGGAGGTGAATCATTATCCGGGAACTTTCCGAAACAGAGTGTCCTTCAAAAACGCACCCCCCCGCCCTCCCCTTTATGAGAACAATTTCTGCCGCCTTTTCTTTCTCTTTCAGGGACTCTTTTTCTTAACAGTTTTACAGCAGCCAGCTTCCAGAGAACCTCCAACCTCATCTGGATATTGGTTTAGAATCTGGTTTCTGGAGTTTTGTGCCATCAGGATTTTTGTGTGCACTGAAACTGTTTGTACAAAGGATCTTGTTAACATACCTGTGTGCTCAGTACAGACTGGAGAACAATACATCCTAATAATTAATACTTTACAATAGTGATAATTTTTACAAACATATGGAAGGGATTTCTTCAACTCAATTTAGTCATACAAGTTCCAGTTCTAGTAAGGCTAGTTAACATTCAAGTTCAGAGTAAAAGTCAAATTACTCCTTGGAACTCAGGAAGTGAACTTCATCTTTACAGTGGTTACATTAACGCTCTTACATCTACGTGTTTCATAATGTTACCTTTAAAAAAAAAAAAAAAAAACAGACAGCAATATATGTCAAAAGTTATTAACAGTATAGGAATTTATTAGGACTACTATAAATAAATTTCTTGCAGTTTGTTTTGCAGTTAAATCACAGGCGCAGAGAAGGGTACAATTTTCGATCTGGGGGAGCGGCCCGGGGAGACGAAAAAGGGGGTTACGGGTACTGTCTGGCTCTTTCTCCTGGCCTGACTTGCTTGAAAAGCATGCAGGTTCATTGTATGTATTAGTTTTATGTATTATGGTGGGGTGCCACTCCAGGGTTACGTTGGCACCCCCTCCACCTCTACGTATGGAGGGGAGGCCCAGGGCAGGGCTACGTCCGGGACCCTCGTTGCTCAGGAGTCAGATGTAATCTTGGCAGCCCGCTAACAACTGTTCACTTAAGCGTGTTCAAACTTTTTTGGGACTGACACCAGTTGTTGTAAACCTGGGTCACTGACTTGCCAGTGTAACAAGGCAGTTAGTAGTCTCCCCCGGGACTGGATAAAATTTATGGGTTTTTGCCCGTCTGCAGCCAAAATTTCCGCCACAAGGGTTATGAAGTACCTTAATAAAAGTATAATTGTCAAATTATCATGTTGTTTATCTGTTATTAGTTCTGGTCGCACACATAAGTGACTATGTGATGCCAAGTGTAAAATCAGTTATTGTAAACAGAGAGTAATATTCAAGTTCTCTTCAGAAGAGAAATAAAGATTGTGATAGCAGGGTATCCGTAGTATTATAAAGGATGTATGTGATTTAAATAAGTATTGTAAGTTTCAATTGAATATCTCAAGCAATAATTGAGATATTTGACTTTACAAAAAACTTTAACCAAAATTTCTAAGTTAAAAAGGGGCATAATTCTGTCAATATTGTAGGCAGAGTTATCTTACTTGTCAATCTTGTGTACCTTGTCACTATAAATAAGTATTGTAAGTTTCAATTGAATATCTCAAGTAATTATTGAGATATTTGACTTTACAAAAAAACTTTAACCAAAATTTCTAAGTTAAAAAGGGGCATAATTCTGTCAATATTGTAGGCAGAGTTATCCAACTTGTCAATCTGATGTACCTTGTTACTATAAATAAGTATTGTAAGTTTCAATTGAATATCTCAAGTAATGATTGAGATATTTGACTTTACAAAAAACTTTAACCAACGCAGACGCCGACGCGACTACAATAGCTCTCCTATTCTTCGAATAGTCGAGCTAAAAAGGAGCATTGCTTTGTCAATAATAAGTTGATTGCAGTGTAAATGGAACTTAATCTGAGTTTTGATATAACATACTTACATGCCACATAAAAACAAAAACATTGAATTCCTTCAAGTTATTCTCTAGATATCAATTGTTTAATTGAAATAATGGGCCATTTCTTTTATTTTCTATTGTTTAATAGAGAGCCATAGGCACTTAATTCTATTTTTAAGTAATGAACTCTACTGTTTTGTTTACAGTTATGCCGCCTATCTATTTTCAGTAGTGCAGATGGACAGTTGGATAGAAATCTGGCCAATATGGAATAAAGTACCATTGCTTTTGTTATTTTCTTTTCTTTAGCCTTAATAGAGGGCAAATGGCCCTTTACTCTATTGTTATGGAATGAACTCTATTGTTCTCTTTTGTTCTGTTTACAGTTAGATGGACCCCTATCCCTATTCAATTGTGTGGACAGACAACACAATACTATAATATGTCCCGAAGTTTCTTCAGGCTTATAAAAACCAAAGAAAAGATTAACTTGACAGAACACAAAGCTTACCACAATTCATATCATTTTTCTTGTTCCAGTTATTTCGCTGAGGATCATAACACCACATGCTCTTCTTTGCATCCCTGAATTCAGCTCCTCCACTTACATATATCTACAATATATACATACATATGTGTAAACATTAAAACATATATGACATTTGAAAGGTCTTCACAATTGCCAAATATTAAATGAAATTTGCAATCATATAATTATAGCAATATCATATATTATCAATTTACAGATTATAAGATACAAAGCAAAGAAACACTTAATTTTACACATTTGAAGCAAGTGGAAGAATTTATAAATAGTAATTCTACAAATTATGCTAACTGAAATATATTATATACATATATCATTTTCCACCTCTATCACTAAGAGTCAATGTAAAGCTGCATTCATAATCTGAAATAACTTACTTTTTCCCAATATCAAAAAATTATTCCCAAAAAAAGTGCTACAAAAATTTAGTTGTTTCAACTCCTGGGAAAATTGAACTGTTATGTTTCTTAAGTGACAGGTTACACGATCATAAACATGAATAAAACTTCTAAGTCAGATTTGACATGTTTGAGGAAGGTATTTTTTAAAAATCTTTTTAAAATTTCTCATATTTCCCCAGACATTAATTTTTAGTGGTGGTGGGGTGGGGTCTCATTAGTTTGAAATATCAAAATTAATTAGACCCCAATGCACCAAAAATTTTATTGACTGAATTACAATGCACATAAATTTTGTCAAGTTTCAATTATTTTCATCCAGCCAGCTTATGGCTATGTTTTAAATATATTTTTTAGGTTATTCCAACTCAATTAACTTTTTTGTTAATATGATAGGTTTAAGAAAATCTCCAATAAGACTTTTGTTTGGAACTGATAACTCACTTTCCCATTACAAGAAACTGCTGCATGATCGAATATTTTTCTAGGCAGAGGCTTTACATAACTCCATTCTTCATTTTCACAGTCAAGTTTTTCTACAGATTTTAAAGTTTGACGATCATCTTTTCCACCAATTGCATAAATATATCCTGAAACCAGTCAAAGATATAAATATAGATATACTTTATAACAAACTTTGATGGTCTAAAAAAAGGAATGAATACCCAACATAAAGTTGTCATGTCTTTGACATCAAAACAGATTTAACTTCATATAAAATTTCTACATGATATAGTGTTGGAGCAGAACCTCAAACGCTTGAAGAAATCATGATCATAAAGTTGAAAAATATTGCTTTTTTTTGCCAATTCTTAATTTTTTTATTCATTATTGTATATAAATCATAGTGAAAAGATGAATTTGATGTTTTTAAATGCATTTCATGGGGTGGATAGGGGTGAATTCAGCTTTTAATAATTTAAGCCCCTTGTCCTGTATATACTGGAATACAGCATTAAGTACACTGATAAAGTATGGTGCTAAAACACATTTTTTAGTCTCACTCGATATTTTTTCAGTTTTAAAGAAAATGATGTACAAACAAGATTTAGTGTATTGATGCATTTCATGCCCTACATAACAGCAGCTAAAACAAGATATGTTTGTAAAACATGTATGCCCCCTATCAGCAGCCAATTAGTCATGTGATAAGGTTATTATGCATGACTTTCTGACCCAGTTGATCAAACAATTTAATAAGGGTTATAAAGTATCTACTGGTCATTGACCTTGACCTTTGACCCCTTGACCCCAAAATCAATAGGGGTCATCTGCTGGTCACGACCAATCATCATACAAAGTTTGAAGTTCCTAGGCCTAGGCGTTTTTAGTAAAAATTGATCAGAAACTGTTTTTTACCTACAAGGTCAATGTGACCTTGACCTTTGACCCCTTGAACCCCCAAAATCAATAGGGGTCATCTGCTGGTCATGACCAATCACCATGCCCCAAGTTTGAAGTTCTTAGGCCTAAGGGTTCTCTTATTATTGATCGGAAACCATTTTAACATACAGGGTCAATGTGACCTTGACCTTTGACCCCAAAATCAATAGGGGTCATCTGCTGGTCATGACCAATCACCATGCCCCAAGTTTTGAAGTTTCTAGGCCGAAGCGTTCTTTAGTTATTGATCAGAAACCGTTTTTTACTTACCAAGGTCATTGTGACCTTGACCTTTGACCCCTTGATCCCAAAATCAATAGGAGTAATCTGCTGGTCATGACAAATCACCATACCAAGTTTGAAGTTCCTAGGCCTAAGCCTTCTTGAGTTATTGATTCAGAAACCGGTTTTTACTTAAAAAGGTCAATGTGACCTTGACCTTTTGACCCCTTCACCTAAAAACTCAATAGGGGGTCATTCTGCTGGGTCATGACCAATCATCACCACAAAGTTTGAAGTTCCTAGGCCTAAGCGTTTTTAGTTAATTGATCGGAAACCGTTTTTTACCTACAAGGTCAATGCGACCTTGACCTTTGACCCCTTGACCCCCAAAATCAATAGGTCATCTTGCTGTCATGACCAATCACCATACCAAGTTTGAAGTTCCTAGGCATAAGGGTTTTAAGTTATTGATCGGAAAGCATTTTTACCTACAAGGTCAATGTGACCTTGCCCTTTAACCCCTTAACCCCAAAATCAGTAGGGGGTCATCTGCTGGTCATGACCAATCACCATACCAAGTTTTGAAGTTCCTAGGCCTAAGGGTTCTTTAGTTATTGATCGGAAACTGTTTTTACCTAAGAGGTCAATGTGGACCTTGACCTTTGACCCCTAGACCCCAAAATCAATAGGGGTCATCTACTGATCATGCGGACAATCACCATCTCAAGTTTTGAAAAAGTCCCTAGGCCTAAGGGTTCTTTCATTATTGATCGGAAACCGTTTTTACCTACAAGGTCAATGTGACCCTTGACCTTTGACCCCTTAACGCCAAAATCAATAGGGGTCATCTGATTGGTCATAACTAATCACCCATACCAAGTTTGAAAGTTCCTAGGCCTAAGGGTTCTTTTGTTATTTGATCAGAAAACCATTTTTTAATTAAAAGGGTCAATGTGACCTTGAAACCTTTGACCCCTTGACCCCCAAAATCTATAAGGGTCATCTACTGATCCATGACCAATCACCATACCAAGTTCGAAGTTCCTAGGCCTTAAGGTTCTTTAGTTATTGATCGGAAACCGTTTTTACCTACAGGTCAATGTGACCTTGACCTTTGACCCCTTGACCCCAAAATCAATAGGGTTCATCTACTGATCATGACCAATCACCCATACCAAGTTTGAAGTTCCTAGGCCTAAGGTTCTTTTGTTATTGATCACAAAACCGTTTTTTTAATTAAAAGGTCAATGTGACCTTGAAACCTTTGACCCCCTTGACCCCAAAATCTATACGGGTCATCTACTGATCATGACCAATCACCATTACCAAGTTTGAAGTTCCTAGGCCTTAAAAAAAAAAAAAAAAAAAGGTTCTTTAGTTATTGATCGGAAACCGTTTTTACCTACAAGGTCAATGTGACCTTGACCTTTGACCCCTTGACCCCAAAATCAAATAGGGTCATCTACTGATCATGACCAATCACCATACCAAGTTTGAAGTTCCTAGGCCTAAGGGTTCTTTTGTTATTGATCACAAAACCGTTTTAATTAAAAGGTCAATGTGACCTTGACCTTTGACCCCTTGACCCCAAAATCTATACGGGTTCATCTACTGATCATGAACCAATCACCATACCAAGTTTGAAGTTCCTAGGCCTTAAGGTTCTTTAGTTATTGATCGGAAACCGTTTTTTTACCCTTACCTAAAGGTCAATGTGACCTTGACCTTTGACCCCCTTGACCCAAAATCAATAGGGGTCATCTACTGATCATGACCAATCACCATACCAAGTTTGAAGTTCCTACGCCTTAAGGTTCTTTAGTTTATTGATCGGAAATCGTTTTTTGCTTTTTTAAGGTCAATGTGACCTTGACCTTTGACCCCTTGACCCCAAAATCAATAGGGGTCATCAACTGGTCATGACCAATCACCATACCAAGTTTGAAAGTTCCTAGGCCTTAAGGTTCTTTTAGTTATTGATCGGAAACCGTTTTTTGCTTTCAAGGTCAATGTGACCTTGACCTTTGACCCCTTGACCCCAAAATCAAATAGGGTCATCTACTGGTCATGACCAATCACCATACCAAGTTTGAAGTTCCTAGCGGCCTTAAGGTTCTTTAGTTATTGATCGGAAACCGTTTTTGCTTTCAAGGTCAATGTGGACCTTGACCTTTGACCCCTTGACCCCAAAATCAATAGGGGTCATCTATTGGTCATGACCAATCACCATACCAAGTTTGAAGTTCCTAGGCCTTAAGGTTCTTTAGTTATTGATCGGAAACCGTTTTTTGCTTTCAAGGTCAATGTGACCTTGACCTTTGACCCCTTGACCCAAAATCAATAGGGGTCATCTACTGGTCATGACCAATCACCATACCAAGTTTGAAGTTCCTAGGCCTAAGGGTTCTTTAGTTATCACTCGGAAACCATTTGGTCTACGGACCGACGGACCGACAAGTGCAAAGCAATATACCCCCTTTTTTTCAAAATGGGGGCATAATTACTGGATTATGTTTATACTATGCAGCTTAACACTATAAAAATCTTACGCTGGCTGCCAGTACAGACTGGAATATCTAGCTCAAGGTTAACTTTTTACGCAGTACCGAGGCTCTGCCGAGTTTCCGCTAAACAGTTACCCGAGAGCTAGATACTGCTGTCTGTACAGACAGTCGGTGTTTTGATTCTTTTCCTTGCATATTACATATCAATTATTTTCAGAAATGAAATTACGACAACTGATATTTTCATTACCCACATTTTTTTTATAGTAGCATATGAACTTACAGCTTCATTCATAATGGTGTCATAATGATGTCATCCTAAGACGCAATTCATTCATAAAAGGCGGGCAGCAATGACGTTATTTAAAGCACGCAACTTGTCTTACATGGGGGATGTTGTAAGACAGGTTTTTTAGCACCGGTGTAAACGGTAAATAATCCCGTCTGATATGCAAGAATAGAAAGTATATTGCCAGCTCAGCCTGCACATCTTTGCAATATGATCACTTTATATACTGCTGCCTGCCTAATTTTAATTTAAAAACCCTTTTTATAAATAATGGACAAATCTAGATTTAGTACTTCGCAAATGGATTAAACAAAATTTAGCAAGTTAAGAGTCTCATCATTACATCATCATGATGTAATGTCTGCAGAAAGTTTATCTACATTTAGAAAACCTTAATCACTTACCATCTAGATACACAGCCGCATGCCTTGCTCTTTCATGCTGAAGACTGGGCATGTCACATATATCAAACTGACCCTGGGCAGTGAACATCATAACGTCTTTGATACACATCTTACTAACATTATTCCCCGACACATGATATTCATAGCCTCCTACCATCACACCACATCCGTTGACCTCGACAAACTGTTGATGTGACCGACGAGATGAAAACGTCCCTACATTTCCTAATGGAAACCAAGCTTTCAGATCCGGATGAAAATAATTATTCATGTTAGATCCATAGCGTTCATCTGAAGGCTGATTTAATATTTCATGGAATGTGTCGTAGTCTTCATGAGTTTCCATTACCCCACCCACCTGAATTAATGTTTGACGCACAGATCTAACTTTAGTTCTAAATGTAGTATTATCAAAGTAACGTTTTGAATCATTATTTAAATATTGCTCAGAAAATTCTAATATATCCCTACACTTTTGATTATTTTTAAATAATTCTTGAGTTGATGCAAAGTGTATCAGAGGTGACCTGTCATGAGTAATTCTAACTTTCTCAAACACTCTGTGTGCATCTTTTTCCCTGTTTTTTGCATCATAATCATACCAGCGTAAACAATGATGAAACAGCATCGATTCCGATGTCGTAACAAGTGCATCGTCTGATAAATAATCAGCTAATGAGTCTGCGTCTATTTTTAGAAATGACTCGGATTCAACAAACTTGAGGAAATTTTTTAATAAATAGGCCCTGTAGTATTCTCGTAGAGAAGGCACATTGAACATGTCTCCCATTTTCAAAAGCTCTTCTGCATTTTCAAAAGTCATGTTTTCTTTCAAGAAGTTCACACATAGATCTATAGCTGCGGAAATTTGTAGAAAAGTTGCCCCTGATATAACATGTTGTATATTGTCTAAAGTCAGCTCCAGTTTGCCCGTGTATGCATATTCAATCAATGGCCCAATGCCGAGATTTGTCATTCCTTTCAGATTGGTGCATTCTTCACGCGTCTCTACCATATCGTGTGACAGCATGGCACGGAAATAATCGCTAGAACTCGCCAACACAAGTCGATGCACCTAAATATTTATAATCAATAAATTAATTTAAAAATATTGCTCAAATGTTAGATGGCTGATACATATATGTAATAACATGTGCATTATTCATGCCTGAAAAGTTTTTATACAGAATGTATCATAGCTTGATTGTGTAGGAAGCTATAAGCATATAGACACACTTAAATCTATTCCAGGAACCAACCAGAACTTAGCAATGTGTGTGAAGTTTCAAGGAAATAATAGCCAACACTTCACAAGGTTTAAGCACACATGACCAGCAATCCTAAGATTACTAATGTGATGTGTTAACCATTCAGCTATGCTGCCTCAAAAACAACTTTTGTGATTTCTTCACACATATTTTTTTTTTTATCAAACATGGATAAAAAAATTCAAAATTTTGCCAGCATACCTGTTTATAGTTTTGGAACTTACATATAACTTTTACTGTATAGAAAGGCTATAAATATCCCTTATAAAATATATTCTATACTTTTACATTAAATCTACTGGTTCATTTATTGATTATAGATGAAAATAGTACTTCATTAACCCAGACAAAGCTCTTTACAATTCTATACAATCAGTAAAGTAATTGCTATTACAAACAATCTCTTATAAAAAGTAAACCAATTTAACTCTTACCACACTAAATGTCCTAAACAGACTGAACATACCATTATTATTTTTAGGGAAATTATCAACATAAGTACTGACTGAATAACAAACAATCTTGGCTGATTCAGGTTTGCACTGGTCAAATGGGTATATTTTGCTGCCACCAGCAGGCTTAATATCTAAATATGTAATGCTTATAACAGTAAAAACATTAACTTTCAAAATATAAACATAATTCCTGATAAACCCTACCTTGTCAGTTTTTGGTTTTTTTTTTCACCACTTCCAAACATTTTCTCACCATAAACTGCAGCGGAAACCCTGCCTTGTGTATATATCACATTAACGATTTGGAAAGTATGATGATACAATTATTTAACCTTTTTAAGGCATATATTTTACCTGGTAGAGTTTGCCTTCCACCTTGATGCTAAAATCACAGAACTGTTCTTCCTGATAGAACTTGTACATCTGCTGTAGAACCATGTCACTGAATTGTGGCGTAGCATACTTCTGATTGTGTACAGCTGAAAGTGACAAAAGTTATAATCTCACTTAGCAATTATTCTGAATCTCAGGGGAAAGAATGGTTGGACTTTAAAGTTTTTTATTACTGAATTTCACATTGTTTGGCTAGAAATAAGATAAACAGTCTTTTTATTATGTACATGGGATCAGCAAGTGTGAAAAGTTAAATTTAATGCAAAAGAAAAAAATTGATATATACTTAAAATCTTACTAAATAAAGTTTCAAAGACAAAACTGGGGCTTATAGTGCAACCCTAATGTCAACCACTGTTTCACTGAGATATCATAGGCTTCATATATACAGTTTTACTGTATTATTGAATATCTTTCTATCTGACACTCCTGTACCTCAGCCATTCATTCAAAATTTCCTTATAATTTAGCAGGATGATATAGGGTGTCTATTCAATCTATCATTTGGGGCAGGGGCTACACATCAAAGTTGTGTCATACTAATCTGTAGGTTGCTATATCAGAGTATTTTACCCCAGAATTTCTTTAAACGGACAATTCCAAATATCTTTGCATACAGAAGGACTAGTCAAAATCAGTGAGTCAAGGGTCAGGAAAAGGTATGATTGTGGTTTGAAATACAGTGTAAAAAGTTTATCAAATACACTACTTTTTGTACATTATTTTTGTTTTATTCAGATCTGATTTAATTTTACTGCCAGAAAAAAATTAAATGTAAAAGTTACTGTTCAAGTGCTATACAATAAATAAAACTGTTAACTTATTTTTACATTGTTAATAATATATTAACATATAATTATTGTTTATTAAAGTGGTAGACAATAAACCAAACAGACTTTCACACAGTGTTATAACATTTATTCACAATTAATATGAAACTTGATACTGAGTAGATCTTTTGCTTTTCATTATTGTAATAAGAATGTATGATATGTTGTATTTAAGTTAACTCGTACCAAGCTAAATTTGTAAAATGAACTTGTCCTCATTTGAAATTTGGAACTGTCCATTGTTAATGTAGGGGATTTTAATATACAGCATGTTAAAAATTAATTAAACAACCAGCAGTACGTTGTGTATAAAGCCTGGTCACACTGTATCCCATACTGGCATGTCACTATCACTGATTATAAAAACATGATTTAATATTCCATTACATATTTGAAATATTTTAATGGTACGTTTCATTCTGTGGCTATAATCTAAAGTATACATGTAATTTCGTTTTTGCATAAAGTCATTGTAGAAAGCTATGCTATTACCCTTTATAATTTGCCCATTTTTGCAAGTGATTTGTCTTGCTTTGAAAATGGAGCAGTCTAACTGAATCAAAATGTAGCTTTTAGAATAAGAGTATTGCCCCAAATCTTACAACTGAACCTTGTCATGAAAATATTCCAAGTTTACTGTTGATACCTTTAAAAATATTTGAACAATGGGCTACATTTTTAACGATAACAACAACGCAGCAGCTATCATAATAACTTGACTTTTTCTTTGAAACAGACAAGCTAAAAATCATTAACTAATTTCTGTGCCATTTAAGGTTGTCTTACTATAATGCTTTCCAAAACAGTTTTAACATTGGCCAATATCGTAGCAAATAAGTTATTTCCAGAACGTTATTTTTTTTTTAAATATTGGGCATTAAATTATTTACAATTACTCATCCTTTATCGCTATGTACTAAATTCCAGTTATAAACATTTAAAAAATATTGAATACAGAAGACTGTAAAAAATAACGTTCCGGAAATGACCGATTTATTACGATATTGGCCAATGTAAGAATTTTTTTTGGCGGGAAAGCATTACAATGAGACTACCTTAATTACTACTTTGTTATCTTATTTCAGAAATATAATAGTGCTGAATACACAGTCAAAAGAACAAACAAAGTAGCAAAGACCAACATATGTTACAAGTTTCTCAATAATAATGTTTTATGAAACTGAAGAGGTGTTTTCAGACAAAGTTACAGTAAAATTTATCGAATTCCAACAAGGAAGTGTATAGAAAATATCCTGTAATTTTAACTCAGTTGATGGACAGATGAAGTCCCAGTTACATAATTATACATATGAATAGGTGAAAGGTGAAGAGGGAAATAGGTTAGGGTTGAGATATAACATAACAATATTTACAATTACATCAAAACAGAGTTTTAACTCTGCTGTTACAAGCTAAAACATTTGTAACTTTTACACAAAACTTTAAATTTGCAATTTCTTCAAAGAAATAATAATATCACCTCGGATCAAATAGTGTACAAGATTTATGAACAGTAATTTTAAAGATTCCTATAACACAGTCCTTACTGACCGATAAATTCCATAACTTTTAGTCTGACAAAAGCAACTTAACGAGCAACTCCAATTAACTCAAACTCAACTTGAGGAGTATGCTGTTTAGAAATTAGAGGCAAACAGAAAATTTTTGTTTGTTTGTTTTATAAGGTATCACATCACACCAACACAATTTAGGACATACGCTCCGAAACAGGAAAGAGGGCTTTGGCTATCCTGGTTATTACAAACTTAAAGTAACACCAAGGGTCAAAACCACCTCACCTGCTGGCGATAAGAGATGCATAAAATCCAGTAATTCGAACCCATTTAGACCCCTCTTATGATCACATATTCATAAATAGTGGCTACAATTCTGATGCCTCAACCCTTAAAGGCAGCCTTTCAGCCACAATGGAGCATACAGAAAATAAATTTAACAAAAATCATGAATAACAAAACAATTTTAAAACATAACAACAAAATATCACAAAGTTAAAGTAAAGCAATCATAAAAATTCTGCACATTTCTTACCTTCTATTTCTTACAAAGATAAAACAGGTATAAACAATATTTAATCACATAACATGCTTATTTTTATTGCAATATAATCATAAGCTTTCTTTGACAAGTCATTATAAATGGACAGTTCCAAAAATGGAAGCTGGACAAGTCCATTTAAGAAACACAGCAGGTTAAGGGCTAATACTTGACTTATATTAGAAGCTATTATTCTTTATATCTGACCTTCATTTTTTATGTTAATTTTATAGGTGTGTTTCATATGTGTTATGGTTTTTCAGTAATTAATCATAATAAAAATAATTCCCAATATACTATGTACAATGTATGTACATGTAAAAAGGTAAAGGTCTTGTTTATTATAGTGTCACCCCTACTGAAAGCCTGCGAGGTACTGTTGCATCGGCAAAGTTTATCTTGAAAATTGAGGCAATAATACAGGACGAGTAGCAAAGCATGCAGGACAAGCCACTCGTCCTGCAGGACAAGTGGCTCTGAAAAGAATTTTCGATCCCTGTATTGTACTGTTGTATATATACATGTAACATACATACACGAAATACATAAGGAACAATACTGAACAAGTTAAATCAAAGCAGTTTAAACCAAAACAGCCATTCAGTAATTTTTGTTTACATGTACATCATTCACAAACCATACTATCATTTTAAACATTGAATCATTTTTATTTTTAATAAATCTTAACATCCATATATGAACATACATTACTGTGCTTGAAAGACTAGCAGATTAAAAACAAAGATTTAGAATATACATGTAAAACTAAAAAACATACAATGAATTGTATTTTATCTTTTATACTGTTTTCATACTTAATAACAGTGCATGTATATTATCCTTCCCCTTGCAAGGGCCATTCTTATTACCTTATTTATTATTAATTTACTATTATATAAGTTATATATATACTGCTCAAATTACATTGTGCTAATTGGCTAACAATGCCTGCAACTATAACAACTCCTCACCTTTCTCAACAGCATCAAGTTTAAGGAGTAACTCTTGTTGCCTCAGCTCTATCCTTTCTAGCACAGATTCTCGAGACAGAGAACTCCTTCCTCCTCCTCCTAAAGTTATAATAATACCTAGTCAACCAATACCAGTTGCCCAAACAGCAACATTCAAACTGAAATCATTTTTTCGTCAAAATGGAGGACAAATTATTATCTTAATTCATAGCTATATTATCTAGACAGCAATGTACTGGCATAAATTATTTAAACTCCCAAAGCCAAGAATCAAATTCATTGAATTTGTGTAGTTTCAAATTCAACTTAAGTCAAGTTAGCATGTTCTATGACATTTTCATTCAATGACTTTATTTGCAGCAGGAAATTTCGAATTTCTTCTCTATTCAAATACGAACAAAAAACTATTTAATCAGTACAACTGTTTGCATTTTCTAATCTTTTGTGAATCAACATCAATCACTTTCTATTTCAACTTTATGGATTTTTAATTATCTCATTTTCCCTTTCACCTGTCATTATTCCAAAGAAAACAATATATGAAGCAAGGAAGGTACATGTATTATGTGGATTTTTTAAGTTTTCAAGGTGGCATGGATTAAGAAATAATGCAACATGCACACAAAGGGTGAACTATAACATCTACTCACATACATGTGATAGGTAATACATGTAGTACTGGGGTGGAAAAATCAAATGTCTGTATTGCCCAGGTTGTCCCAAAGCTTATACGGATAAGGGAAACTTTTCCAGAATTTACATTATAAATATCATACAGACAAGTAAAAAACATAGATAACAGTGATAGGCAACTTCCTATCTTACATGCTTGTTAAACTTTAAAGTTGAAGCAAGTAAAACTTATTTACCAGATATCAAAATCAGTAAAATAATACATTTTCTGAAATTTTATGCATTTGTCTATGGCAGGTAAAAACATTTACAGTTCCCATTTAAATAAATGATACATCAATTTTTAAAAAGAGAACTACTTACTAATTTTTGTTACAAAACTATTCATATGATGAAAAAAACTGGTTCAGTGGGTATGTTCTGATATGTTTTACTAAGTGAAAATCAAAGAATGGTACTAATATTTTAACTTGCAGCAATAGATAAAAAGATAAAACCTCAAAAAAGTGTATAATATAGAAGGATCAAATGCACATTCATTTAGTTTTATTTGCTACAAAATGCCTATTTTTTTCACTTTTTGATAGGCATGAGTAGGCTACATAGGAGCTGCTTATCTCTGTTATCTACATCTCTGGTAAAAACATGTTCCAGATAAAACAGACAAAAAAGTTAGAATCAGATTTCACCGGCCCTTACTGTAATATTGCTTTGACTAGGCATTGTAAGGCCTTGTCTAATTTCTTCTGCTATTTCTGCATTTCTGGCCACCAAAGGGGGATAACCCGCTGTTAAACTGATTGGTACATTTGTTTTATTACATGTACATGTAGATCTTAATCTTAAAACAACCTTTTCCACAAATATATAATAGAATCTACTAATGTCAAATGAAATACAAAAATCTGCATTTCCAGCTTCCTATCACAAAGCTCAAGCCACTTAGTTTTGTGCCCTTGTATTAAAATGCATTGTCCGAAATGATCAAATGAAATTTTTTCCCTTTATATAAAATACTGTTATACTGCTCATGACATTAAACACAAATTGTGAGCTATAATTACATAGCTTCTGGTAAAACTGTTGCGAAAGAAACGTCAAATTACTTATGTCACACTGCTGACGTCGGCAATTTCGAGAAAGAATCTGGAAAAAATCACCTTTCTACTTCATATCCGAAAACTATGATATTTCGAGTGTTTAGACGAATTATCTTTCAATCCGTATACATGTGTATAACGGGTTAACAATAACAAAATACACTGATACTTACCAACGAGATTTCTTCCAGTTGCCATTCTTTTAAATGCATGTGGGGGCATTAAGATTAATATTTCGTGCATTCACATCTTTCCAGACTGTAGGCAAGACACCAATAAAAAACTAATTTCCCCACTTCCCATTATCTTTGGATAAAAACCCCCTAATTTGTAACGTTGAGGCCGCCAGAAAATGATTGAAATATTTTTAAATTTAAACTAATTTAAATTTAATACCCAGTAAAGTTAGGAAAATATGTTATAATGTAAAAAATGCATTTAAAATTTTTACGGTTTTTTTTTTAAAAATAAAATTCATTTTTACTTGTTTTGTTTTTTAATTTTTAAAATTCCCCCTTTTTTTATTTCTTTAATTTTTATTAGGGTAGTTATTCATTTTTAAAACTTTATTTTGTATTTTTTATGTATTGTATTGCAAAGAAAAAAAATTTTATTTATTGCCTTATTTTTTATTTTTGGGTACTATACCTACTGTACGGAAAAATGCTTCATATAAATAATAGTTAAATTTAAAAACAAATTTCCTTTAAAAAATAAAACGTCAGTGTATTTGCATGTGTATTTGTATTAAACCTTGACGTATGTGGAAATCCATAAATATTGAGATTGACGCACGTGGTAAATTACTGCTTTCGCTGCTAGAAAAATGTCAGATCAACCAGCAAAGGCTTCTTAACCAAACCAAGTAGGTAATTTTCAATAAATATTGTTGATTCCATTGCTTTCCGAGGGATCATTCCGAGGTATACCATTCCGAGGTATCACTCTGAGGGATCATTCCGAGGTATCATTCATTCCGAGGGATCATTCCGAGGTATCACTCTGAGGGATCATTCCGAGGTATCACTCTGAGGGATCATTCCGAGGTATCACTCCTCTTCCGGATTTTGATTTTTAACATCAACAGGCGTCAAGTGCCGAGTGGCAGCAGTAAAAAGTTTCCCTTTACTTCATTTCAGTGTTGTTATCTTTTTCTCGTCTTTCGTAATAAATGATTCAAGCGCGGTAGTGTTGAAAAATGAATATCGCGGGGGCATGAAACATGTTGCACTTTTACAGTATCTCTCATGAACAAGCTCAATCAAACCGAGTCTGAAATTTTTATTCAATATTGTTTTTATGGCTTCAGAGTGACCACCATGCTTCTAGATTTACCTTTTTCCGGGACACATGTTTTTATTATGTCTCAGTTTAAATACAGGGTAGAAGAGAAATGGAATAGCATTTATGACAAGAATGTCTGAAAAAAGGATTGATACATAAATAGTATGAAATGCATGACGAGAAGATTATACATACAAATTTGTGTATTATATAGTGAATGTTTTTGGTAATAATTATAGCAGTCGTAAGTAAGGACTATTTGAAACGTAATTTAGGTCTTACTTCCAATCATAAGACTGATACAAGACTAGAAAATTAAGCAACCCACAAATACATAAAGGCAGACTAAAAATATTTCGCGTCAGTTTGCTAATATAAATAAGGTACTACTCGAGATGATAAAAGTACATATATGTTAAATACATGTACGATGGACCATTTATTGTGGCTAGTTGGTTTTGTTCTTAGTCTGCGTGCGCAGTTTGGACACTATAATGATATTTAACTAGATTGCAAATTCAATACCTTTTATGAAGCTTTTCTGCATTGAAAATGTTTTTTTTGTATCTTTATACAGTATGTATACATACATTATTCATTTTGTGAAATGCAAAATTACGTATGTATCAAACAAATTTAAGGTGCTAATTCAACACATTAATACACTTGGTTAAGTCATTATGTATATGCGCACATCAATTATTCAGTCAATTGTACACTTAATTAACAACAGTTCTTATAGCAATCTGATTTTAAATGTGGTAATCTTCTGAACTAAAACCTATTGTGTGCATAATTTTAAATAATCATTTTTGCCTTTTCAATTATTGTGCGGTTTAAATAATTAAATTTGGGCTGTATTGTATCAAAGAACATGCTTTTGCAAATTACAAATCAGGCTTTTCATGAAAAATCTACAAATACATGTATGTACCTCATGGTTGATATGTTGCTTTTCGCAAAACACGAACTTTCTAGTATCAATAACAAAAATGATCTCTTGTGTGTTGTGATCGCAGGTTCGTACACCCAATCACTGCAATCTAGATTATATTAATAAGCCCGAAGACCTTCGATTTATTATTAATAGACCTATGCCCCTTTTAAAGCATTTGTAAGTAATTATTTCCAATGGTTTCCGCAGAATAACTTAACTTTTGAAGGAATTTATTATTTTCTGTTTGTATATGGCATGCAAGTATGTAGTATAAAACACAAGTTTTTTTGTTTAATTTTCATTGCAACGAACTCATTATTGGAAGAGTTGTGGCTCTTTTTTGAGCAAATTTTCTGTGAAATTATTGGTTTAAATTTCTTTATATTTGGCATGCAAGTATGCAATATCAAAACACACATTGATTTAATTTATTTCTTTTGATCAAACTGAAATCAAGTCATAATGTTCAATTATCTTCTATACCTATATGTTAACTTGTTACCTAGAAAAAAGACTGTATATCTTCTTTTACATTTGATGGAAAGTCAATACCTGAGCCATTTACAGCAATAAATCTACAATCTTACTTTATGTATCATAAAGGCTTGCAAAGAATAGTAAACCTAAGTTTTGTTTAAAGTCCCATCGGCATCATTAAAGACCATATGGGGACCATCTTGCTCCAATCCGAGTCTACAATATTTCAAATTCTGGCATATCAGGCGAATTTACTTGTTTATATCCATACAGTAATTCTTAAATAAAACAATGACAATCATTCATAGTTTTCCTGTTATTTGATTTTCTATCTCTTTTATTGATGTTGTTGTTATTGGCAGTACGTTTTGTTTATCAATATGATAATATATGAACCATAAATGTATAGTAAAAATAATAAACCAAATATACATGTACGTTTCAAACTGTGAAAAGGGTTGTTTTTTTATTTTGTTTTGTTGTTGTTGTTGTTTTAAAATATATAACTAATTTTAAATCTGCTCGAGCAAGTAAATGCTTTAGAACATGTGAATGTGATTTCATTGTCAAAGATTTCTTTGTTTGTTAGCTTGCTTGATTGCTCTATTGGTTGGCTGGTTGTTACGTTGATTTTAATACATTTTCGGTCATATCACTGCGTTAGACCCACCACCTAACCGGCTTTCCTGGATAACCCACCAGTAATTACCAACTTCTCGGCAAGTGACCGACTACTTATCCCAAATAATATCTGAATCAGCAATGGAAGACAACTGACTAATAGACACAAAATCCGAGATCTATTGTCACGGTGAAATTTCGCCTCACTTCTTTGTTCTTTTATCCAACAGGAAATTTTGTTAAGAACCATAATGCATATATTGACTGGTTTCGATATAAGAATTGTGTTGTGTTTTAGTATTGAATACACATTTTAGGTAAACACTCAAAAATAATAATTTGTATGATTGCAGTCTTTGATATTTATTGAATTTAATTTGCAACATGTAAATATTCAGAAATAAATTACAATTTTGAAAATGACTGGTTCATAGATAAAATATCTCCAATAAAAACTGTCGATCATGTCTACCCATCAGGTCTATCCAAACAAGCATCTGGCCGTTTGAACTGTTTGTCGAGTGATTCTAGCGAAGTTGTTGAACAAACTTCGTAACATGTCCGTTTTCCTGTTTGTTTCAGAGGCCAAACTCTGAATGGAATCAGTTTGCGTCTTGATTTCGTTTGTGGTATGGCCGATAGAGTCGATTCTTTCTGCAATATGACCAAAGGAAGAGCCGACTGATTCCATGTTCTGTTTAATCTGGTTTGTCGTACCCTTCACATTATCTGTATTATCATTGACTGACTGTGCAATTTGCAGGATAGAATCAATGTTGCCATTCATTTGATTTACACTGCTTTGTATTAAGCTGGATTTGGTGTTTGTGTCTGCAAAGGTACTGCCCAGATTATTTACTTTCTCTAAAGTAGCCCGTTTGTTGATGCCTGACGCATCACCTGCAATTGTATTTGCTATGTCTGAAATGGCGGCAACTTGCTGTGCAATCGTCTGAAAAGTTAAGAAAGTGCCATCAAGAAACATTGAGCTTTAACGTAAATTTCTATTGTTCCACTAATAAAAGTTACATTTATCTAAATATCTTCAACTCAGTTAATCAGTATTTGATTAATCAAGGATTTTCAATTTCGTTTTTTTTTGACGATTCGTGTGTTCAAATCGCGCAATACATTATGCAGTCTATCGTGAAGATGTTAATAGACTTCCAATTTGATTTCAAATACACACATTTAGCCAATTACTCGAAATTTCCAAGAGAAATATGAAACATGATGTAAACGAAATGTAGATATGTCTGCTTATCTTTAAAGAGTGTTATCTTCTGGACATTTTAAACTTTCTCGTCTTACAATTGATTCGTAGTTTTTCCGTACTTATCGTAGCACGTGTTACATTCCAAAGTTAATATAATATCAATAAATCATTTCTTATATGTTCTAATTATACCAGTTATGCAGATAGTTGCATTATATTTATGTGCATCCGTTTATAGTTTAGCAATGACCTTGTGGACTGTGTATGGGAAAATTCATTAGCAAAATCATGATTGATTGAAAACGGGAAAATTATTATTTTTTTTAAATCATCTACACAAAATGATGATATATAGGATTTAAGAACACATTTGATACAACACTCTTTCAAAAGTCCAAATAATAAAAAGCATGCCTAAAATATGTTTTAATATTTTACTTTAAAACATTGAACAAGTGATATAAAAGGATCATTTTTCTCTTCTTTTTTAATATTTATCTTTAAATACATCGAGCTCAGTAAAATAGATTTCAAAAATAAACCTTTGGTAAAATATCTTTTTTTTAACTTTTTATTATATGCATAACGTTTCGCAATATATGTGACCAATTTTGACAATTTTCATCACGGAGATTTTACCTCTTTACTAAGGTAAGAAAGAAACATTTCTGCATATTTTGTCGAGTTTTACAGATGAACTTAAAGAATAGAATGTGTCACGATAACATTTTACATAATTTTGAGAACAACTCTAAAACTCATTAAATTCACAATGCGATATTAGATATGTATACTGACTTGCTGGATCCCATTCACGATGTTTATAAGATGATCCTGGTTATGTCGGGCAGCAGCTAGTAACTACAAGAATTCAAAACATTTGAAATATAAAATTACAACGGTACTTTAAAGACGTAGAAGAACATCTACCGAAATAACGCATAGTACTTAAAGTGTAAAAACCTGCCTGATAGAAAGCTTATATCAATCAGTAATAGGCGAATATTGTTGAAATAGTAATGAATAATATAAAACTATTTTAATCAAGCCATTTTATTTTTATCATTTTACAAATTTTAAAGCATTTATTTCCAGTCTATTTATGAAGCACCATTTACCTTTATTATATCTACCTGTATTTGCGCATGACTAGTATTTATAAAATAGACAAGTGCAAAGTTTATGGTTTCGATATCACATTTTTTTTTGTATAATCGTTTTAATGATTAGTTCACAACACTAAGGGCCTCATACAATTATAACGACTAATCAGTCAGTGTCACTATATTGCTATGAGGTCCGAAGTCCTGTGTGCGTTTCTTATATTATACAGTAATTTGCTGAAAAAAATGACAACAGTTCAATGTGGAAGGAAATTATATTGTGTATATAACAAAATTGTAAGTAAAATATACTGAAATTTGTTGGTATTGCGCGTTTTGTCAAATATTCCTCGCGACTACACGCCGGTCAGACAAAAACGTAATGTTCAGTGCCCGTTCAAGCGGTCACTATACGTTTTTGCCAGACTGCTGACGTCATTGTGAATATAATATTATCTAAAGGCTCGCAAACCCTTTGTTACATAAAGAAGGAACACGTATAGTTATATAAGATATAACATTTACAATAAAGAACCTTCTGGAAAACAAAATGTTGCAGTTTAATGTTATGCAGTGACTATAATGTTACATATAAAAGAGTAAAATTAGAATAGCAAATAATTGTTGCCTTCAAAAGTGATACACTTACCATTGTGAAGTCCAACATAGGAGGTGGTGGTGGTGGCGGTGTTGGAGCAGTACTTCCGTAAACATTCTTAAACAGGAAAAGAAACAAGCAAATTTGTCCGATTATCATGGCTATTTCTGCTATAGAAGTAATTCAACCTTTAAGATTTCAGTAAGTAATATTTAACTTAAATAGAAGTTTAGCCTTATTAAAATGAATGTACCATAGGGTTTGAATATCAATTAGTCCTGTAAGTTTTTCGCAAACAAATGAAGCGAAATGGTATTAAAGAGTGGTAAAACATTATCTTGATTTTGTATCGCAATTTGCATGTCACAACTGATTATATTATGTAAAGTATAATACATTCGTCCACTTACAAGAGCTACAATGCATTATGTATGATTGCAGAGACTTTTTTCATTTAACTTAACGTATCATATATGCTTCATCGACATATGCTTTTATTAGGAAAAAAAACAATTTGGTTTAAACATATTTTTATTCAAGGTAATGTATACATGTTAATAATTTACAATTTAAGCAGAAAGGAATTGACCGAGAGCAATAGCTCATGGTAGTCCTCTCCTTTAACAAAAGCAATATGTTCATATAAATACATTGCTTATTATAATTTTAATTAAACCCTATAAAGAAAATGAAGACAAAATTTAAAAAATACAAGTACATGTATGCAATTGATAGAAAATAATAAAGAGAAAGATGGAGAAAAGAGGAGTTTGCGGAAATTTCTATATCATTTGTCATTTTGTTACGAACATCGTGTATGGAAAAACTTGTGTGAACACTATGTTGTATGACATGTTAGAATCTTTTAGTATCTCTTACTTATAAATTTATAAACAGCGGCGAAGATAACAGTGTTGGAGTCCGCAGGTAAGCAGTGTCTCCACGATTTTTTTACGTTTCAAGATCTTTGCTTGACCACCGTTTTGAACGAGATTTTGACTTTTTGTCGGCTCATATATAAGTACAACAATGCATATTATTCCGTATAATTTCGATTTTTCGGTAGGCAAGTGACATAAACCTAACTTCTTGTGATATAGAAAATTGAAAATAAACTGTTAAAATGTGATTCAAGCCGTTTTTTTATGAGGTAACGCCGATGTACGTGAATTGTGCTACACGGTAACGCCGGAAAATGTGATTTTTTTTTCTTATACGGCACAGAATTATTACACAGGTTTAAGTAACGCCTTTATCGGCGAATATAATCAAGTTATTGGTGACCTATAGTCACCTATAGTCAATGTGTTTTCTTCGTAACTTATTAAGAAATATATGATAATTAGATCTTGACAAACTTTCACCATTTTGATTGCATATTGTAACAGTACAATCTGACAACTGTTTCCTGAAATAAAATTATTATTTGAAAACATGCTGCCCACGTCTGATCTTGTTAGAAAATAAGAACAATAAACTTAGTTTGCAAATAAATTAAATATAAAAATAATAGAAAACAATCGAGAGAAGAAGTGTCAGTATATTTTTAAATAATAAAGAGTGAGAACAATGAAAAAATATAATTTAACAAAGCCCATTTTCATTAATACCATCACAACAGGTATCTCAATTGCTACCCCGTTGTTTCCTTCAGTAAGAAAATTTTCACGCATTGCACCGTACTCACTTTAACAAATACTTATATAACGAAGCTTATAGCTCTGTGGTTTCAGGACTGATTCGAGCCTGTGTCCTTTTTTCTACGCAATTAAACTAAAATAAATTCTGTATAAAATGAATTAAAGTTTCCCCACAAAAATGTATTTGTAAAGTATTGATACTCGCCGATTAATGGCGTTAAGCCTGTACCATATACATGTTTGAAAAAATAACATTTTCTGGCGTTACCGCGAAGCACTATTCACGTACATCGGCGTTACCTAATTAAAAACGACTTGAATCTCATTTCATCAGCTTATTTCAATTTTCTTTATCACCAGAATTTTAGTAAATGTCACTTGCCTACCTAAAATCGAAATTAACCCGTACAATATGCATTTTTGTACTTATAAGAGTCGACAAAAAAGTCAAAATCTCCTTCAAAACGGTAAAGTCATCATTTTCACGAATCAACTTGAAAAGTAAACAATTTCGTGGAAATAATCTTGATGAGGGAAAAAGAGTAATGTATTTGCAGCCGTATGCAGCTATTCATTTTTTTTCAGTTCGGTTAAATAAAAAATATATTGGCCAGTTTACTTACCGCGTAGGATATCCTGTCAGGTATCCGCCATTAATTACACAATTCTGCGTTACTTATTGCACGAATCGTGCGTTATTTTCACATTCCGGCGTTACTGGATATACACGGTGTTATATATGCAAATTAAAAAATATATTTTGTGTCATTCACACGGTAAATGTTATCGGCCGTTGACAGTATAACGTTCAATGAATTCATGTAACAAATGGCAAATTAGATTATAAATCGCTCCCTGTAGAAATTGATTAATGTTGTGTATTCATGCATCCATACATTTGTCTAAGGGATAACATTATGCAATGTCAAGAAAAAAGTGCTTAAAATTTGATAAAATCAACACTTAAAATGTAGGGCAAACTTTTTGTCCGCATATTTAATCAACCTTAAATGATATGTTATTGAATAAAATCCTCTGTTTCATTAACATAACATTATACTTTCACTCTGGTAGATGATATATATGCTGAACAAGCAAAGTAAACAAACAATTGATATATATTTAAAGTCAACCGATACTTAAATCTAAATTAAATTTGTTTTTCTTTTAAAACAGAATATTGTTGAACATGTGAAATGTGCATAAAACAGTTGCAAAACATCAATTTACAAATTTGCCACTTCTATTGTTCAGCTACAAGAAGTAATATACATGTATTTGAATTAACATTAAGACAGACACTTCCATATACCCTTGTACAATTTAATACCAAATTGATTAAACTTTGCTTTGAAACTTAAGATAAAAATTGGCAACTCATTATGTAGCGTATTTTAATACACCTGTTAAAATCGATTAATTTTTGTGAATGATAAAGTTTTATTTGAATCGAGTTGACCTCTGGTTATATCAGCTTATCTCGTTGGTCAACGGTTTATTTTTTAGATTTCTGATTGGATTAATTCAAATTTCTGTTATTGAATTTGATAGGTTGTTTAATTACCTATATATAGGTTATTTTGCTTTTGCTCGCCATTCTGTTACTTATTTCGTAGTCGAAATCACGTTTCTAGTCTAATTAAATATTATTATTGATAAAAAAAAAAATTCCAAAAGGATTTTTTGTTGTTGACAAGAGATGTTGGTACTCGAGAGTTTTCAGTGCCGGATGATTTATTTCATTTTATAAATGATTGGTAATTATTTGAATAGAATTTTTCTTTTTCTTCTTTCTTTCAGAAAAAGAACTTAAAGAATTAAAACACGACCTTAAAGTTACAAATTTGTCGGCTTATGCAGCTGGTTCTCAAACAAATTTGAGGATTCAATGGGAATCTTTTGTTTTGTTCTGTTTATATTTTCATTTTCATTTTTTGCCAGCTGATACTTACACTTTACAGTTATATGCTCAGTTTTTGAGTCGTTCTTTTAAATCTGTAGATAGTATTAGAAATTATCTGAGTGGAGTTAGATCAATGCATTTATTGTTAGGATATTCATTAGATCATTTGAATCAGTTTCTTGTTAATTTGTCTTTAAAAGGTTTGACACGGATTAAACAACATTCGGTCAAACAAGCTGAAGCCATATCACCTCTGATTTTATGTCAGATTCATGGTATTTTAGATTTTGATAATTCTGATGATTCAGTTTTCTGGTGTTTATTTTTGTTTGCCTTTTTCTTGGTGGCTAGAAAGTCAAATTTAGTTCCTACTAGAAAGGCTGATTTGGAAGTCAAACATTTTTTATTACGTGGTGATGTGTCAACCATTGGGGAAAATCTTTGTGTTACTTTTAGATGGTCTAAAACTATACAATTTGGCCAACGCTTGTTACAAACTCCTATTATTAAATTGTATCCTTCTATTTTATGTCCTGTTACTGCATATAATCATATGCTTAAGGTTATTCCTACTAAAAGTGTAGATCAACCTTTATTTGTGTTAAATAATGATAAAGCAGTTACTTATTACATGTTTCAAAAGAGATTAAGATCTCTTCTCTCTGAATTGGGTTATGATTCTTCTAAATTTTCGTCACATTCCTTTCGTCGTGGGTTTGCTACATTTGCCTTTGCTTCTAACATTGCTGCTGATGAAATTCAGATTTTGGGTGATTGGCATTCAGATGTCTATAAACGTTATATATCCCTTTCCGTACAAGATAAAATTAGTATTTTAAATTCTGTTAGTGATAAGCTAATGTTTAAGTGAAACAAATATGTGTGTTAATCCTTGTGCTCTCTTTGTTTGGTATTCACTTTAATGTACTTGTGTTTAAGTTTTTTCATTTATACTTTTCTTTTCTTTTTTCTTCAGTTTCCCGTTTAAATCGTCTAAGAAATCCTAAAATCAAGAAATGTATCATCATTTCCGATTCCATTGCCAAACACGTTTCCGATATTTGGGACACTGATATTCGTGCTTTCCCTGGAATCACTATTTCACAGTTGACTTCAAAGTTAGCCAAAGGAGCAGTTAACTTGAATTATGATAATATCATTATTCATGTGGGTACAAATGACATTAATAGTTCATCTGCTGGAGAAATTTCTTCTTTGTATTCGAATTTAATTTCAGTTGTTAAAAACTTTACTGATCAATTTGATACTATTTATATGTCTTCTATTTTGCCTCGTCCAGTTGACTTTGTTAGTACTGGTGCGAAGGTCAAACAGGTTAATTTGACTCTAGAATCAATTTGTAAAGATAGGAAAATCAAATTTTTGAAGTCTTTTCGTCCTTTCATGAAAGCCAACCTCCCTAAGAGAGAGTTGTTTGCTATTAAAGATGGTGGCTTACATTTGAACTTAGAGGGCACAAGGCGGTTAAGGCAATTTTTTATCAATACTGTTGCTCACATGTAATTATTAAGGTTGTGCCTTTCGCTCCCATTTAAGAGAGGAGCTTATGGATTATTCGTATCCATATATTCATTTCGTTTTGTATTATATTATCTGTACAAGCTGTAGATTGATTATACTATGGAAAGTGTGGGCATTAATATTTGAATTTTGTTTAAGGGTGCTTATTTTGAATAAGATTCTTATCAAGTTAGCTATCTTTCTTTACAAGGTAAAAATTAATACCTTGAAGAAAATATTTCTGGTGAAAATGGTATTTCACGTTTTCCTAGAAAAGTTTTGTTCTTTCTATGAATGATTGAGATTTCATATATTTGTATATGCTACCTATTGTTTCTTTTTTATGAATTTATGAATTCAGCTGTATACTTTACAAAGTAATATTTCATACTTTGGAGTAATTCATTCTAGAGAAAATGGTATTTGACGTTTTCCTAGAATATGGACAATGAGTGATTTCTGTGTTATTTCTGGAGAAAATGGTATCTGACGTTTTCCTAGAAACAGAAAAGTATTCAGTGAATTGTGTGTAAACTCGAATGAACACTTTTTTTCTCAGATTGAATGTGTATTCGAGATTTATGTATAAATCATCGTAAGACAATTGACTTCTTTCAGTAGTTTATTTGGTGAACTTTTAGTGTTTTGTATGATTATTTTGAATAATCATATTTATTGTTGTTACTTGTATAGTATGATTATATATATGCATATAATTTTTTTTTTTGTAATTATGTTTTTGGCCGGTGGGTTGGCGTTTTGGTAAATATTTATAATGATTAGTAATTCTTTGTGGATTGATTAATATATCATTCTATAATTAATTAGAGTTGACCAATTTTGCAGTTATTTAGTGATAATTCGTGATCATTTATTAACCTAATTAAAAATCATTATTGATATTTCTGTCTTGGTTTTTCTTTTTTAAATTTTAAAATGAACAATAATTTAGCGTATTTTAATACACCTGTTAAAATCGATTAATTTTTGTGAATGATAAAGTTTTATTTGAATCGAGTTGACCTCTGGTTATATCAGCTTATCTCGTTGGTCAACGGTTTATTTTTTAGATTTCTGATTGGATTAATTCAAATTTCTGTTATTGAATTTGATAGGTTGTTTAATTACCTATATATAGGTTATTTTGCTTTTGCTCGCCATTCTGTTACTTATTTCGTAGTCGAAATCACGTTTCTAGTCTTTTTGCCCACCCACCCTAGCCCATTTGGTTTAGCAATAAGTTTTTATTGCATTTAGTTATTTTAGTACTGCGTTTTGGTAAATATTTATAATGATTAGTAATTCTTTGTGGATTGATTAATATATCATTCTATAGTTAATTAGTGTTGACCAATTTTGCAGTTATTTAGTGATAATTCGTGATCATTTATTAACCTAATTAAATATTATTATTGATATTTCTGTCTTGGTTTTTCTCTTTTAAATTTTAAAATGAACAATAATTTGCCCTAGTGTTGTGCTTGCTGGTAAATATTTCAAGTATTAGTAGCTTACGCACATTTAGCAAGATATAATGCATGTAAGCAAAAACTTACTCCGGAAGAATAGAATGTTAGCTGAAATGTAATTTCCTTTAGGAAGAAAAACAAGAAAAGGACCCAACCTTTGTCTTTTAACTTTTCCTTGAATGCAAATACCTATATGCCTTCTGACTGTTAACGAACATATTTAAAGCTAAAATCCACAAACAAATAGCTCTATAACGTTTTGATAAATTGATTTTATTGCTTTTTTAAAACTAGTTTACTTCACTTCAGTGTTGTTATATTTTTCTAGTCCTTCGGGATCATTGATGCCAGCACTATTAAATGTTGAGATCAACAAGTTTTGTCGTAACACCAAAAGTATAAGGTTAGGTAATATATCGCCCACATATTAATGCTCTGTATACTCTTAAATTTAAAAGTAAAGATAACAAACTATCCTCAAACACCAAACTATAACATATATCAAAAATAGAATCATGCTCAATCAAACAGAGATTATTACGACGATTGTGAAAAATCTTTCAGCTAAACTACAACTTATTTCGTTAATCAGAACTGGAAGTATTTTATGTAGGATTCTAAAATCCAGGAGAATCAGAAAAGTATAATAATTCTAAGACAAAGTGTCGGTCAAGTAATAACGGCTGCCACACAGCACCTAACACTATGTTAATATTTTTGAGATAGGGGAGAAAGCTCCATTGTAAACTCAGAAATGTGAATAAATGACATAGCAGAAGTCGTTTCATAAAGTTAAAAAAATGTGCGTTGCGTTAAACATTTTTACTCAGATATCAGATACCGAAAAGTATTTTTAAAATGCTGATTTGTATCTTGTTTTAATTTTAAAGGCGCATAAGAGAGAAAGCCATATTCCATAATTTATTTTCAAATATATGATAACAAACGCAACTTTGTACGATCCGGTATGATATAATAATGAGTAGACTCTCGTTCGTTTGTCAAATAAAGGAAATATGTCAATCTCGTTGTAAATAAGTTTTGTCATTTATTTTGATAGTATATCTTTGACGTTTTTAATACAGATATAGGGACGGACGCTTATTGGTCACTTTCCAACAAGATATATTTGGAAGATTCAGTGCAAAGGATACGATTCATTGAAAGAAATGGTTCGACTTGGTATACATTATTTTAGCATTAATATTATCAATTGAATTACAGAATGGTTGTTAAAAGTGTATCGCATTTACAAAAATGATAAGTTTAAATGAAAGGAAAAAGATAAATGCAGGTCTTTCCTCAATATGATCAATACCTCAAGACAAGCAGATCGATTTGTACGAGGCCATCTGCGTTGATTATCATTATGGTGTTAGATTCAAATAGCTTTCTATATATCTTCGAGGTAAATTATTGTACAATCTTACATGCCAGTTTTTGTGTAAAGGGAGAATTTGAACGATGATTGAATGAATATATGTTGTAATCTTAAAAAGTTACCTCATTTAACGTTTAAAATAAGACTTATCGAAGGAAAGAATTTTAAGTATATTAAAAAGACCATTACACAAGTTTTGTTCCCATATACACCCATCACTTCAGGACTAATCCACGTCCTCACGAAACGTTTATTGAGCATTTCATTTCCAAATACGCAAAAAGGACATTTAAATACACAATACATGGAAATTAATAGAATTTACGGAAACCATTGTTCTCTGCATCCCTGTTGGGTAACAGAATAACAGGAGCACCGCAAAGGCGGGGCAAAATACGCCCAAATGTAAATTAGAGTAATAAAAAATAATTTAGTTAGAGATCTAATGAAGGATATTGTCTGAAAAATGTTTTATCTGATTATACTTCCGATACTAGAGGACCTTCAAGGTGGACGTTATAGCTTCACCCAATAGGACTCAAATGTGTTTTCCTAAAATCAAGTGACCCCCCGGGAAGGACCAATTTTGATATATCTTAAGCTCTAGACATTGTGTCACACAATGGAACTTAAATGTATTTTGCTGTACAAGTCTATATAAATCAAGTAATCAGGAAGCCCAAACCTGTCGTCTGCGAACTGTCTCATTTTAAGTAATATTTGTCAAAAAGTTTAAATTTTTCCTCTCAATACGTTCAAAAGATAGACAGTGGACACAGAATTTTGAAATTGATACACATGACTGTGACATTGACCTTGACCTGAGAAAGGTCAACCTGTGCTTTGCACATCATCTCATTTTGGTTATCATTTCTGCCTTTCCTTCCACCGTTCAAAAGATACAGAACGGGCACAAAAACTCAAAGTCTATCATCTGGGTTGGGCCAATTTGATCTCAGGAAGCGCACCATCTCATTATAAGTAAAACTTCTGCCAATTTTTTTTTTTATTTCTTTCTATCTGTTCAAAAGATACAGACCTGACATGAAAGCTGCTAACAGACGGACTACCAGACCACTGTGCATAACATATGAAGAAATTTTTCGTGTGTATAAAAATGCCATTTAAAATGGTAAAAAAGTAACAACAAACAAATTATATATTTTTATTGTATTCGAATTTTGAAAGCATGTTTGTAAGGACCCAGTAGAGTCATAAAATACTAGAGTAACTCTCTTAAAATATGTACATGTATAGCACAAACTTTAGTCTTAGATTAAAAAAAAAAGAGTTCCTATTTCAATACACCTTCTCATAATATAACAAAGAACTGAAAATCAGAGTCTTAAACAATAAAAATGCTTAGTAATTCATTTAATTCATAATAACATTACTGGATAGAACAATTTCTGTTTCAGACCTGTTTATTTTTTTTCCAAAATTAGGTCAGCAATAATACAAAGCAAGAAACTGAGCATTTCATCAACAAAATGTTCTATAATTATAATCAACTAAACACAAATTATATAAGAATTGATCCCTGAAAATCTGTTGTGTTATTTATTAAAATATGTGGCTTTGATCAACCTGGGATGACAGTATCAACCAATAATGATGGTGAATAAAAGTCTTGATGATAACATGGCTGTCTGTATGTTGTAAAAATATGTCTTAAAGCTCTTCATTCAACGGTAATAACTCATGTACACTCATCAAGACTTCTTTGGTCGTTTTCTGATGAACTGTTAAGGAAATAAAGTGGTATAACTCATTATAATATTAAAAGAATTGAACTAAAGAAATCATTAACAATGGCATTATGGTTAAGGACGATGTAGTCAAAACTTACTTATGCTATGGTGTATAATATATAAAACTCTTTCCAAGGACTGCATATTAAAAGCTTAATCCCTAGACAAGCAGTTCACTATCAAAGTTTAATTTGAAGTGAATTTTATCAGGGTCGTATAAACAAGATATGTTTGTAAAACATGTATGCCCCCTATCAGCAGCCAATTAGTCATGTGATAAGGTTATTATGCATGACTTCTGACCCAGTGATCAAACAATTAATGAGGGTTATCAAGTATCTACTGGTCATGACCTTGACCTTTGACCCCTTGACCCAAAACTCAATAGGGGTCATCTGCTGGTCATGACCAATCATCATACAAAGTTTGAAGTTCCTAGGCCTAAGCGTTTTTAGTTAATTGATCAGAAACCGTTTTTACCTACAAGGTCAATGTGACCTTGACCTTTGACCCCTTGACCCCAAAATCAATAGGGGTCATCTGCTGGTCATGACCAATCACCATGCCAAGTTTGAAGTTCCTAGGCCTAAGGGTTCTTTTATTATTGATCGGAAACCGTTTAAACATACAAGGTCAATGTGACCTTGACCTTTGACCCCAAAATCAATAGGGGTCATCTGCTGGTCATGACCAATCACCATGCCAAGTTTGAAGTTCCTAGGCCGAAGCGTTCTTTAGTTATTGATCAGAAACCATTTTTACTAACAAGGTCAATGTGACCTTGACCTTTGTCCCCTTGATCCCAAAATCAATAGGGGTAATCTGTTGGTCATGACAAATCACCATACCAAGTTTGAAGTTCCTAGGCCTAAGTGTTCTTAAGTTATTGATCAGAAACCGTTTTTACTTACAAGGTCAATGTGACCTTGACCTTTGACCCCTTGACCCAAAACTCAATAGGGGTCATCTGCTGGTCACGACCAATCATCATACAAAGTTTGAAGTTCCTAGGCCTAAACGTTTTTAGTTAATTGATCGGTAACCGTTTTTACCTACAAGGTCAATGTGACCTTGACCTTTGACCCCTTGACCCCAAAATCAATAGGTCATCTGCTGGTCATGACCAATCACCATACCAAGTTTGAAGTTCCTAGGCCTAAGGGTTCTTAAGTTATTGATCGGAAAGCATTTTTACCTACAAGGTCAATGTGACCTTGCCCTTTGACCCCTTAACCCCAAAATCAATAGGGGTCATCTGCTGGTCATGACCAATCACCATACCAAGTTTGAAGTTCCTAGGCCTAAGGGTTCTTTAGTTATTGATCGGAAACCATTTTTACCTACAATGTCAATGTGACCTTGACCTTTGACCCCTTAATCCCCAAATCAATAGGGGTCATCTGCTGGTCATAACCAATCACCATACCAAGTTTGAAGTTCCTAGGCCTAAGGGTTCTTTTGTTATTGATCGGAAACCGTTTTTACCCAAGAGGTCAATGTGACCTTGACCTTTGACCCCAAAATCAATAGGGGTCATCTACTGATCATGACCAATCACCATACCAAGTTTGAAGTTCCTAGGCCTTAAGGTTCTTTAGTTATTGATCGGAAACCGTTTTTGCTTACAAGGTCAATGTGACCTTGACCTTTGACCCAAAATCAATAGGGGTCATCTACTGGTCATGACCAATCACCATACCAAGTTTGAAGTTCCTAGGCCTAAGGTTCTTTAGTTATCACTTGGAAACCATTTGGTCTACGGACCGACAAGTGCAAAGCAATATACCCCCTTTTTTTCGAAATGGGGGCATAATAATACATTGTATTATTATAAATAATTTTCATGCATTTCTCTTTTTTCTTTATTTTTTTTATAATTTTTTTTTTTTTTTGGTGGTGGTGGAGGGGGGGGGGGGGGGTTGTCACATAGTATAGGTCATTGCGGCTTCTTAGCTTAACTGGTGAGGAAGACCAAACATGCACCAGAGTAGAACCACCAACATTTTGTAACTTGGACCGCTTTCTCACACGGAAGAATCCAACGATTTACTTCCACTCAGAGGTTATTTATAACAGCAATATTGAATTTATCTGACATCTGTACAGTCAGACCAACCAGCACAACTTTACTGACTGAACAAAAGTGTAACTGTCAGTTGTTAACTTTCAGTATTACCATAATGAGATCCTTGAAATGCAACAGTGAAACGTCCTATTGTAGCAAGGTAAAGTATAATACAATGTATTACTACAATTTTATTGTGAAAGGATACGATCTGTCTTTATCTTTCTTCTTCTCTCTATCTTTACTTCTAGAACGTTCATGTTCACCATCTCTGAGATCCTGTAAGTCAATATATAATCTCATCACTATGTCAGGCAAAGTTGTTTGTTTTAAGTTTTTTTTCCAACTCTTTGTTTTTATTAGTAGTAGTAAATTAGTATATATACATGTACATGTATTTTGGAGACATTCATGTATAATAATACAACTTGGTCCTACTGAAGTTCAAACCATTTAAACTCTTGCTTAAGATTATATTGTTGTTGTTTTCTACTTTTTAACCTTCACAATGTTGAATTTGAGTAACTAACTTTTCCTTCCTGAAGCAAACTTTGACTTCTCTATACTACTTTAACAGATTCAAAATTGACCAGCTGAGATCTGGCATAATCACCGGCCTGATTTTACAATTGACAGGCATTTTTATTATCCCTGAAATGTATTTGGGTATGTTTTTTCACAAATCCTTATTTATTATTAAAGTATGCATTCAATCAATTTAGGAACACCATTAAACATCATTTTTATGAAACATACCTTTCTGCTACTTCCTGCCCTACTACCATCATGATGTCTGTCATAACTGTCATCTTTTGACCTTCCTCTGTCCTCCGAATCTCCATTTAATTTACTCGACGAGCGACCTGAAACGCACATTATACACTTGGTTTTTCTTTTCTGTAACATACCAATGTACTGGTAATATTTTTATTTTTGTTTTAATACAAGTTTCCCCAGTTTTTGTAAAGGATATACAGTGCCTATTCAGCCTTTCTGTTGGAGAAAGATCTCAAGTCATATTATGATTTAACATTTCAGACAAGAGCTACCTAAGTAGAACTAGTGACCTTTGAAAACTAGCCACACAGCTTATTAACATAAAACAAAAACTGTCTGTAAGACAGAGTGCTAGAGTATTCTCAATGCTTGACATAACTCTTAGGGAAGGTAAGTCAGAGTTATGGGACCTGTGTCCATCATGTAAATTAATCACATTAAGTGACGTTTCAACTCCTTCCCTCCAGTAATTTGAACAGGCTCAATCAAACCGAGTCTGCAACATTTTTAATTTTGTCGTGTTGGGCTTTCTTTAGGGATTCTGTATTTCTCTATTTTGAGATATCAGCTTGCAAGCGAAAAACTTAAGTGAGACACCTGAACCTACTCCTGGGTGAGTACAGTATCTCACCATTCTTTGAATACTCAAGCTAAAAATTGATTTAATGGCCATGGAGGAATTTAAACCAATAACAGGTACAGTCAAGTGATCCAGCCACCTGGCCACTAAGGTCTTAACATATAGCAATTCCTTCATGTTAGACTGAGATTATAGTGTTATCTTTTTGTATATCTAATATCAAAATAAAACTTACTTGAAGAAGGCTCAAGGCTTCGTCTTTTCTTGCTAGATGATGCCCCAACATCATGGTCACTGTAGTGGTCCTGTAAAAGTAAATCATCTCGACAGTTAAGAACAAACATTTGTATTTTATTCTTAATCAAACTACCTTTGTCAATACCTAAGATTGAGGAGAACAGCTATTCTGATCCACACCCTCTTATGAATACCTTTTGCTTACTATGTGTGGTTTCAAGGAAAAATTTAAGAAGAATTTTTAAATGTCAACTTCATTTCTAAACATCTGTGACTTTTATTTTTGGTTTCTGTTTATCTAAAGCTGATTCATTATAAATTGTCAATGTATGATTGTAATTATTTTTGTAAATTATGTCATTAAACTCATTTTCATGCATTTTGGGGTATCTATGACATAGAATATCAAATTCAACTTTGGATAAGTATTTTCCCAATTATCATGCTTGATATTCGCCATAATTGTAAGAGAAAAAATATCCTGAAACTAAAAGACAAAACATAACAACCTTGTAACCAAAAACTAAAACAACACAGTATTTCCACCACTCATGCACAGTGTATTAGACTAATGAGCTTGGACAAAAATAACTGGAACCTTTTAACATGCCAAATGCTATTCATACTAAAACATGCATTTTAATATCTTTTTTCAAATTTTGAATGAAATCTTCTTTATTTTTTACACAAAACTTGCTATTTGACTTTATTTGTTATTAAATCATTGAAGCCTAACTAACATTTGAGCCATTCTATGATAACCAAGTAGTAAAGTCATAATGAGAAAAATATGGTCCTGATCCCATTAAATGCTTAAACAATGACAACAAAAACAACACCAACAAAAACAACAAAAATAACAAGTCTTTCTTTATTATGGTATATAAAACTGAAGTAATCTAATGGATATGAAAATATGATTTGCGTCAATATTCTAAGCACCAGCAAAGATATTTAAAGATCTACACTCTGTTGGCAAATTAGTTTTATTTTACATTAAGGTTCAATGCAGGCTAAGATCAAAAAACAATTTCGTGAAGAAAAAATGATTTCAAATGGCCAAAAATAAGGTAAATCAAAGTTTTCGACCCTTACCCAGCTAGAATCAAAATTTATTAGCCCTTGCCACCAGGCACAGATTAATGTCAATTAAAGTCTGTGGGCCAGGCCAGGCTACTAATTAGTACAGTGTCACCAGTCTCTATTATAAGCAATTTAAACTTTTCATCTTGATATCCCTAATATTGATAATGGTTAGTTTTTTGGAGGGCAGAAGATGTACAAGTTTAAGAATTTCAGCAGGTTAAAGATTAAATTTATTCACTTAGATCCCTTCTCATGTATCATATTCCATTACACTGTTACAGAGGAATTTTTCAGTAAATTAAACATTTGTTTTAAAGCATGTTTCTGCAAAACAGTAGGGAACATGTAGTGCTTTAAACTAAAATCAAGTGCAACTAACATTTCTTTCCTGGAAAGCCCATACAAAATCCATTTCTTTATAAACTTTCAAATAATATTTCCCCAAAGAAGGTTTAATTCTTTATACTGAACAAGTAAACTGCATGCGATGTAAACTGTCTGTTAAAATAACAACTTTTGACAAAAGTTCCAAGAAGTTAAAGAAGTCATAACTCCCAAAATATAGCTTTCAGAAATGTGGCTCTTGTCTAACAACTGCACCTTGTCAAGATACGAAAGTATTCCAAGATTTATGTTGATAACTTATAAAATATTTGAATTGGCTGCATTAATGTTTTTGAACGAATACAACAACGACACCACCACAGCAATCCGAGTAGCCCAACTTTTTCTTCAAAACAGACAATCTAAAAAATTAGTGTAATAAATAACAAGAGTAAATAAAATGTATAATAACTATAAAATAACATATAAAATATTAGCATTTCCATGACAACACTGATAATAAATTACCTCTTCTTGTAAACTATTGTTCTGGGATGTTTCAGTGTCGTTAAGGGCAGCTCTTGCTTCTTTCTTCAGCTTTTAACATAAAATGGTTTTGTTTGTTTATTTATGCCTTATTTATACATCTATATTTTAAGGAAGCATTAATCTAAAAATAAAATCCATCCAGAAAAAAAACCCATTGATAACATTGATGAAACTAGTTTTCATGTCATAGTGTATATAGACAAGGTTCAAACATGTCACTAAAATCATTGCTTGCCTTTAAATGTATTTTCCTACATAAAACCTGACTTACCAAGGATGTATATATTTCAGAATAGTAACAGAACTAAACCAATGCAGATAAACTATTGAAGAAATCCAACTGCATTACCATAGCAAAATGAAATGCACACAAAAACTTGAAGTTTGGTATGCCACTCTTATGGATATCAAAGATCATGTTACATGAACTTCTTTATTTGTAAACTTTTTTAAGACTGCTTACATTGTCTCTGTGACCTTGACATTCTTCAGTCATTTCAATGCAACTCTGACTTTAAGCATACAAGTAACCTTGACCTTACACCTAGATAAAGTTAAATTTAAAATCAGTACAGGTTATCTTCTGGTCATGACAAACCTCCAAAACAAATCCTAGGACTACATGGGGAAGTGTTTTCTAGTACATGTATATGGTTGGATAAAATTAATGCTGACATTGACCTTTGACTGACTGACCATAAAATCAAAACAATTTATCTCCTAGTCATAACCAAGCTCTAAGCTACATCTTAAGATAGTAGGTCAAACAGTTCTCTAGTTTTTGGTTATACAAGATTTAAGTAGTTGAGGCTGTTGGGATCTTATGCTACTGACCTCAAAATCATAATAAACCTCAACAGGGTTCTTAGGACTGCAAGGTCAAAGCACTTTTTAGTTACTGGTCAAACAACATACACTAAACATACCAACAGACTGACAATGTGCAATTTAACCTCAGTTCTCCAAAGATGGGGGTGGGGCGTGGGGTGGGCATACTTATGGACTATACAAAACAGAGGGCAATTTACATGTATGAGTATGCAAATTCTATTTCCAATCATTTCATATGGCTCACATACTGTACTTCTATTAATAGCAACAAAGTCGCAGCTCATGCTGATTAATTCATCTACTTTAATTCTAACATGTGTAAAATCTTGTATGTACTTTAGTGGTGATGATTTATATATACACAACTAACAACACACCAACCTTTCATCCAACTAACTTTCAAAAGCTGTCATGCTCCAATGATGTTAAAAAGCAAACAACTGTATCTTACCATCTTCAGTACAGGCTCTACTTGTTTTAAACAGAACAAGTACTGAAGTAATCCAAAGTTGAGTACTCTTGAGGAATTAATTATATGTTTTACATTGATTAAAAAAAACTTCAATAAAACAAAACACACTACTTTTCTTCTATAAAGCTATATAATTGCATAGAAAAAAAAATCTGCTCGGAAATTGGTTGATTTAAACCAGTATGTGTGTCTTTAACATCTTTGAGCAACCCAAACCACACAAGCAATAATGAAAACAAATCAGAATACTGCTTCTTACCCTCTTTTTTTCCTTTCTTTCTCTTTTTTCTTCTTTCTCTGGGGATAAACTCTGTAACACACATATACATAGAAAATATACAGGTTCCATATTCTAATACATTTCAATCCATACCTTCAAAATGAATCAAAAGATTTAATGAATTTAAGACCTTGTTTGATTGATTAGGTTTTATGTCACACCAACACAGTATAGGTCATATAGCGATGTTCCAGCTTTACTGTTGGAGGAAGACCTCAGGTGCCCTTTCATGCATTATCTCAGGCACGAACAGGCACCTGAGTAGAACCAGTGATGTTTGGTAAGCTAGCTGGATAGCTTCCTCACATGAAAGAATCCAAAGTCCAAAGTCGGGTTTCGAACCCACAGCAGTGAGGGACAAGTGGTTTGAAGTCAATGACCTTAACTGCTTGGCCACGGACATTGTGGCCAGCAATAACTTGAGACACAAGAAACTGTGTTTAGACTGCACATATGCCACCATTAGTATTTTATATCATAAACCAAACTTAACACAATGGCCTTTCAGTAATAAGATAAGCAAATACATTTTTGATTTGCCCAGGAAAAAGTATACGATATGACCTGAGGTTAAGTAATAGCATTATGCAAGGGGCATAGATATAGGCACCCCTGTCTCTGTCAATCAAATAACCTTCATTTTTATATTTCTGTGGTTGAGCTTAATGACGCACCAACACAGTATAAGCTAAATGACAACTTTCCTGCTTTACTAGTGGAGGAAGACCTCTCGGCACCAACAGACACCGGAGTAGAACTACCAACATTTCCTTAACAAACTACGAGGTATGTTCAAAAAGTTCGTGGATTTTTGCTGTCATTTTTAAGTTGGTTCATAAAAACACCCTTAGTGGATATGAATCGAAAGAGTGTCTTTATTTCTAAAAGTAAGATTTACTTTTATTGTAAACTTTTGTTTCCTTTACGAGTTATGTGCACTTTAATAACCATGGCAACGCAACATCGGCGCACGCCGAAATTTTCATATAATGTTTAAATATAAACAAATGTTGAAACAAACTGAATGATTGTTTTATGAAGTAAATTACAAGTAATCATCTAATAGTATGTAAATGACATAAATCTGAAATTTGACGTCGATTGGACATTGTATAGCTGAACAAACAGGTTTTGAGCAGTAGTAGACAGACGGGTATGTTGGAAAGCCCGTTTAAAAACTAGAAATTTGCTCTTTCTGAAATTTTTACCAATAAATGTGGTATACTCCTTCATAGTTTTATTAGGTGATTAAATTAACTAATAACAATGGGTTGGCGAGCAAGTCTCTTAGTTTCAGGTCGCGCAAGCAATTTAAATACGGCAAATACATGCTCACAGACAGAAAGGGCGACGGAGAATTTTTAGCGGCAAATTGTTGGGACGTTTGTAACGTCAATTGCAAAAGATCTACAGAAGTCCAGACAGTATGAAAGGTTTGCGAGATGTCCGACATATTTAATTTCTGCATCGGATCTTTGCATTCAATTCTGACAAAACAATTTAATTTAATTAAAATAATATGTTATTTCATTTACCAGGATATATGCGTATTTACAATAAATAATTGTAGTTATTTTTTGTATTACGTGTATTTACTCTGGTCCGTTTGATAATTAATGCTAACCGGTATTCAGTAGATTTACCGCATAAAATAATTGTCAGTTGATAAAATGTTTTTCTTTATCATTGATAATCATATTGGTGTAAGATCGGACAAGGGCGGTTTCAAATTGATACTATAAATCAACAATTGAATTAAAATAACACTGTCCGTTAAGTGTCGAAATTACTCAAAAATCCCGATAAAGAGCGGAAAGTATGCGGCACTCAGACCTTTATACAGAAAATGGATCGAAAAGATGAACCACTTTATATCTCGGGTCATCATCACACACAGAAAAATGGTTTTGGTATATGATCCGTAGATATTGAACACTAAAAAGAAACAATGTCGCTGGTAAAATGTTTCATTTATATTGCGACGTCACGAACGTCATTTTGTTTCGTCATCAGCGTGCGCCGGATTGTGCACCCCTTGTGATTTGTAACTGTCACAGAATTGTTATTTGTAAACATATTGTTTTGATTTTTCACTGTTAAATCAGGACATATTTTCGTGTATGTCTCTTGTAAAATCATAAACGCACATTAAAAGATGTGAACAGTAGAGCCGCAGTCCACGAACTTTTTGAACAGCCCTCGTAGATTGCTTCCTCTCATGAAATCCAAAGCCCCTAGGTTTTTATTTCATATCTTCCCTTTTATGATTTATGGTGCTACATTTTCTCCTTCAGAAAGTCAAGGGTGAAGAACAGACAGTGAGACAGCATGCCTGAATATTCTCAGCGCTTGACAGTAAAACAAGAGCCTGGATAATCATAATCTAGAATTTTTTTAAGTTATAAAAAGCCATAATTCTCTCTCTCAAAATCCATGTTAAGAGTTATGGCTTTGGACACAGGACAGTGACCTCCCCTTGTATCATTCTTCAAAATGCATGTGTAACCCATTCCCTGCAGTAGTTTTGGAGATTCACTTATATGTACCAACTTGCACTCAAAACTATACCGAAGTGTGTTGCAGACATTGACACCAACAATATAGCAAAATATGATAAACAATTTAACTGCAAGTCTAAAATATTGGATATTTACTGAAAATAAAGTCATGTAAAATGCTGATCTATTGTACCAACTCTGGACAAAAATTTACGAATTTGGAAAAAAAAAACCTGAACAAATTTTAATACATTAATGTTACAAGTCTTACCCTTCTATGCCGTGATTTAGATGTTACACTGGTGTCCTCCTATAATGACAAAACAGGGTCAATCTTCTGGTTAAATATATCAATGTTGACCGAATCACTCAGTCTGGACAAGCTGAAAACATCGCTTCAACCGACCATACAATAAACATTGTCCTCTCATTATATATACATGTAACAATATAACACATGTCTATATCTACTCCGTATTTCCCCTGCTAAGTTTCAAGCTAAAACAATGGAGTGTTTTGATAATAGAACAAGTTATTTGCATGATACACGTGTGAGAGACAATAGCGTATGTGTGATAAATATGACTGGAGAGAACAGCTAAGGGGTAAACAGATCTTAACAGGCTATATGTCACCATAATCCCACAAGAACTTTTCAGAACAATATAAAGCTAGCAATTATTTTCTTTGAATATTCTGTATATACATTGTGAGTTAAGAAATAAACATCAAAACACTTGAAATATATTTTCTTGATCTCCCCATTGTGTACCACAATGCCTTCTGTGATATTCTCATGTACTCAAATAACACAAGGAAAATGTAATCTAGCACATCTCCTCTCAATACTAAAATGCCTAGCAACATAATATTTTGATAAACAAAGATATTTTCAAAATCTTTTTTTTCTTCTTTTTTACAGATTTTGACTAGTGGGTAAAAAATTATTTATTACAAAGATAATGGATATATCAATAAAATGATATTTATCACATGCCTACTTAACCTACACATTTTTTTTAAAACAAGTGTATGACAAAAATATGACCTAATTTTGATGACTTAGCAGAGGAAATATGGTATAACAAACAACAATGTACACATACAGAATCTAAAACAGTTATATTAGTTCAATCAAAATTGTTAGCATTTTTATAGAGCTTGAAATAGCTTTTACAAGCAATTCTTCCAATGAAATTCGGATATAACAACATACTGTAAGATTTTCTTATGAAAATGTCTTGAAAAGTGAGTAAAAATCAATTTTGTTGACAGTGGAAATCTAATATGACTGAAAACTCAAACTGCTTTACTTTAAGGATCTATCAAATTCACAGTGGAAGTTGAATTAGAATTATCAAATTAGAATAATCTACAAATCTTATTTTGCTTATATTCACCTTATTATATTTAACTATTCCAGCAGTCACGTTGAAGGAAATTTATGATCTAATTGCTACCAAAAATTATTCGATGCATGGAGAAAAATGAGCATTTTTTAACATAGATAATATAATTATACATAAATAATTCCTGGTATAGATATGCAATTTAAATCTTTGAAAAAAAAAAACAAGAACATCATAGCAAATGACATCAACAAACAGTTCTTGTTATCTAAACATATAAAAATTGTTTTTCAAAATTTAGTTTCATGAACAAGAAAAACACAACATAAGGTCAGAATTTATCTAAGAATTGAATCAACTAATGTAAACTTACAACCAAACATGTGTAAGAATGGTCCATTGTTATTATTTCAATGGACATGCCCTGTTTTAATTTGGAAAAGTCCATTATAATTTTAATGGTTTTGCCCTGCTTTACTTTGGAATAGTTCATTTATGTTTCAATGGCCTTGTCTTGCTTTAAATAGATTGTTATTTTAGTATGTATCAAAATGCTACAATTATGCAGGTAATTACATGCACTGATGTATTGGTTCGACTTTCTAAAGTTGATTTATTTAACTTTGGCAAATGTCAAATTATATCATTACCTTTATTTTCATAAAAAGTCAATTCAAATTTCTTTTCACATAAAGTCAATTATAATAACAATCTGGAAAATATTACTTCCCAAAGGTTGATCTTTAAACAGAAAAGCAATAGCAGCTAAATTTTGGTGTTGTGTTTACAAAAAGAAATGAACATCAGAACTTTTTTTAAAATTGCCAGTTTTTTTTTGTATATACAGTGGAGCCTCGATATAGCGCTCTCCGATATAACGCTTATCTCATATATAAACTGACCATTTTGTTGAGCATTTTGAATGAATACATACCAGTACTTACTTTACAAAAGAAAATTTTGTTTTTTGTTAATCAATACTACACTGAATTTCTTCAGTGAGATTTACAAGCAAGAGAAAAATTCTTAACACTCTGACAATGTGACATTTTATGAAATGTTATATTTGTTGTTTTTTTTATTATTTTTTTTATGTTTTTTTTTTTTTTGCATCTTCCAAATAAAAATCATGGGATACTTTCTTGACTTCATATTACATTTTTGTTAGGAAAAATCATTAATAATTTAAAACAATAAATACTATCATGTACTTTAATACCCTTAAGTACTGTATATATTCAAACCATTGTTACAGAACACCTATTTATTTGCATGTTCTAAATGTTAATATTTTAAGTACACAAAATGTTAGAATTAAATTCCAATCTGAAAATTAACATATTAATCTGCAAATATCATAAGTATTATTTTATGTCTATAAGCTCTTAAGATTAGTATCAAATACTAAAAAATTTCATTAGAGTAAATTCTAACATGAGACTTTACTTATATAGTTACATTACTTATTATCTATCACAAATAAAGATTACTTATCTTTTTAACTAGACCTATCACTGAAGGTGATTAATACCCCCACCAGCAACTTTTTGAAAAATAAGTAGTCTGAATAAAAATTTCAACACAAACTATCAACTGTGTACAAAGAAATATTTCAATTAATTGTAATCCCAACTGGGGTCTCCAAATAAGCTTGCTTTTCACAAAGTTTGATTACAATATCTCATTCCTAACTCTAGTTATTGTCCGGAAACCATTTTTCTATTTTTAGGAATGATGACCTTGACCTTGACCCCAGGGGGTCCAAATGCAATACCAACCCAGGTCTTCATATAAGCTTGCTATACACCAAGTTTGATAACAATATCTCATTCCTAACTCTAGTTATTGTCCGGAAACCATTTTTCTATTTTTAGTAACGGTGACCTTGACCCCAGGGGGTCCAAAAACAATACCAACCCAGGTCTTCATATAAGCTTGCTATACACCAAGTTTGATTACAATATCTCATTCCTAACTCAAGTTATTGTCCGGAAACCATTTTTCTATTTTTAGTAACGGTGACCTTGACCTTGACCCCAGGGGGTCCAAATACAATACCAACCCAGGTCTTCATATAAGCTTGCTATACACCAAGTTTTATTACAATATCTCATTCCTAACTCAAGTTATTGTCCGGAAACCATTTTTCTATTTTTAGTAACGGTGACCTTGACCTTGACCCCAGGGGGTCCAAATGCAATACCAACCGGAGTTTCCACATAAGGTTGCTATATACCAAGTTTGATTACAATACCTCATTCCAAACTCTAGTTATCGTCCGGAAACCATGATGTGGACCGACCGACGGACCGACCGACCAACCGACAAGCTGACTCCTATATACCCCCCCTAAACTTCGTTTGTGGGGGTATAATTATCACAAAATAAATACAACACTAAAATTAAATATCATCACAATATTAAATATTCTAGCATTCATAATCAAGAAATAAACAAAATGTACCTACTTGCATTTCATTTCAGAGGCAACACACTATTTCCCAGAATTCACTTTAAACCGAATTCAATCAAAACCTATATTTTCTAGTAACCCATTTTATATCTTTACTTCTTTAAATGGTCACAAGTCTGAACTTAGTCCTTATAAAGTTTTGCAAACAACTGTCCATTCTCAACAGTCTTATCACATTAATGTTTTTCTCCCCACTTAAAGTACATGTCCTTCTTTAAGCATACATGTATTTCGCCATCGAGCAATTATTAATTCTATACTTCAACTGAAGACCACCTCGCCTCATCTCTGATGATCATGTTATTTGAAATGAACTGAACCTGTATATTAATTTCCTTTTCGATATTCTTTCCAATCTTTATGCAAATATTAATTTCCTTTTACCCTTCACCCTACCTCCCATCCTATCAACATTCTATTTAACCCTCCCATTCTCTGATTTGTAAAGCAAAATTCTGATATTCACATGTATAATTTTTAAATCCATTATTACAGACAACATTGATTCATTAACCAATCCGTTGTTTTGTTTCCTAACTTTTAAATTAGCATGGCAGATGCCATTGCCATTTCAATCTTTATTTTCAATCTCCAGGTATGCATTTAATAGAACGACAAGCTGACATTTTGGTGTATTAGATTATCCTGTATCCATTTGCGCAATCATCTAGTAAATTAATAGCAAATGATCATGATCTTCAAGAAGATGGTTGGACTTTATATAGAACCTTGCAGTAACTGTGGCATTTAAATTTGCAGTAATACTTTAGTTGAGTCTTGCAGTGAAAGTTGATAGAATCATGCTGTAAAAATTGTGTTGAATCTAGCAGAACATGTGTGGTCTTGCAGCGTATTTCGAGTTGAATCTTTGAGAGATGCATTATGCCTTCAAGGACTGGCTAGTTGTTTGAACGGTGACAGAAAAGGAAGGATCACGCTGAACCATGGAGTGGCATCATTTATCATCTCGAGTATGAAATCTTGAAGTAAGGGAAGCCCATGCTGATCTGAATTTGGTTAAGGAAGCATTATGGTCAGCAAAGGTCTTCTTTTGCATCTTACGTAGCTTGAAAGAAACCAATCGCCTCTTGAAAATGTTGATGTTAGTTTTTCTTCTCTTACAGACAAAATACTGGAGCCAATGCGACATGAACATTCATGGTCAGGTTTTAATTTTCTGGAATGCTTTGCTTAGGTGTGATTATAGGTGCAGGATTCTGTGTTTATTCTATGAGCCATTCTTCTTAGATTTCTACAACCCTTGACAATTTCACCATGCCTATTCTGGTAAGATTTGGAAATATCTTCAATAATGGTAGAAATGGTTGGTGACCTGTAGACAAATTTTGCAGACTTTCCACTTCTTTGCATTCTTCTCCGATACTGTGTATCTACATCGTTTGACAATCTCACCATACAACGCCTCTTTTTGACTTCAGTACTGGTATAAATGATTGATATTACTTGTGGAGAGATTTTGCAGACTTTTCTCTTCTTGACAATTGCTGGCAGACAGGATCACCAAAACAATCTTGTTTGTGACTGCCTACAGATGGCACGTTTGTTGAAGGTGAAGAAACGAAACAGACATGGACTTACTTCTACAGAAATACCTGGCAATCTTCTTGTGGTAAACCAATAATGACATTGTGTAAGTGGAAACCTTTCTGTGATTGTGAGGTTTTAAACTTCCAAAAATCGATGGACCATAAGGAGGTGCAAATATGACTTGATTGAATGCTGCCGAAATCTTCTGAGTAGTCTTCTTCTTTTGATAAACATATTCATCAGTAAGTATTTCCCCCGATTCATTTCTGGTGTTATAATTAAGTGCAGACGACAGGAGACAAGATCTTCATGTGTGTACATCTTCCCAAGTAGATAATTCTTTACATGGGTTCTTCTGACTCGTCAATCTCTAACAACTGTGGTTATATTGACATCATGGCTTGGTTTGCTTCATCTTTATTTGTAACGTGAATAACATCTACCGGGCTATGCTGACTAGAGTATGAAACATCTTTTTGACCTTTCTCTTTAAAAGCTCCTTTAATCTTTTTGAATGCTATTTGAATAAATATGGTACCGTGACCGGTAATGCTACGTAACCATCCGGGTGATATTTTCAATTCACATCTCTTTAAATATATTCAAGTTCTTGAAATTTCATTTCAACATTTCCAATTGCTATACTTCTTAACTTCTTCATCATCTTGATCAGTTGACATTCTACTTAATTTTATTGTTCTTTCCTTAATAAAACATATATTTAGTCTCTTAGGTGCAGAAAACATGCACAATGACCCCTTATTACTACACAAGCACCCTACACCAATTACAATGATTGTCTTTTACAGAGCTTCATCTTTCATCCATTTCTTTCATTTTTCATCTTCAAATGACCTTTTAACCCCGTACAAGAACATATTTTCAACATTTAATGCAATTTTGAGAAAATTTTCCGATACATTTATTTTTAACTTTCGTATTATGTTGCCTCTTTCTTTCCCACAACCTTGACTCTTCAACGACCATAACGATCTTGAAACACTTGACCTTGACATCAGTCCTGAAGAAAACATCACCATAGAAACAGAGGAACATGATGGTTGCTAGGTAACCTCCATCATGGTTGAATACATGTCACCTATACTAACCTTAGAACTTGACGCACTAGGCTCAGTCTTCCGACGTTTCAAATCTACAAGGAAAAAAATATTCATCATCAGTCAATGCAAATAGCTAATGATCTAGATCGTAACATAGAAAATTGAATGTCTCTAAAAAATGATAGGGACAATCAAATCTAAGGACTTACTTATGATATTTATATAGAATGTTCTAATTTGTTACCATATAAAACAAAGACTTTCAATCATATGCCCACTAAAGGAACCAAACCTTGAAGGCTTTATTAAACTTAGGTTCTTAACCAACATAGAAAACAGAGAATTTTACATTCCCACTTTCACTTTGACAATTTATCTATACCTTTGTCCAGGGATCGTTTGACTGAAATTGTAAAAAAAAAAAATCTCGAACAGGCACTATGTAATTAATAATGTGCAGTATATGATTAAAATTAATCAGTTTTAGAGTTTTCTGGTTCAGAGTTACATGCATATGTATCAATATTCATTGACACATGTTTTAAACAATCAAATTACCAGGATTTTCAAAATTGGAAACCTGGTTAAAAAGGTACAAACAAGTTTCTATTACCTCTTTCATCATGTCTAGGTGAAGCTTCAGGTGTATGAAAATGAGATCTATGGCTGCTGCTGTTGGATGTAGCACTTCCTGCCTCCCAGTCCCTGTCATCACGGTGCGAATCTCGCGTCGACTCCTCCGGGCTGAAACTTCTCTTTAGTTTGATACGCTCGTGTTTCTCTTCCTTCCTCGACTCCTTGTCTCGTTTTTCTATAAATAGATTCAATGTCAACAAGTTATATATCTATTTTTATGATTTAGATGCACATTACAGTATACGAAGTAGTACCCCAATTTATAACATTTATAAATACTATGATCATAAAGACGAGACCAAAAATTTCGTGACATTTCAGCCAGGTATCACCCTATGAGATGCTATGTGATTCAATCTTGACTAAACTGAGAACAAAAGCTAAGGAGCAGCATGCTCCACTTTTTTCATTGCTGAATAGTAAATGGAACATTTTCATACTTAGATACTATTTGAAGTGATATATCTTGACCTCTTGATACAAAAAATTGGTGTGACAGAACTACATCAAGATGCATCTCAAAGTAATAATTCAAGTTATTGACCATTAAAACTTAATCCAAAAAGTTAAGGTCATTTTGATTATGATCTTTGAGTTTCTGGCCTAAAATAATTATGTCCGGTAGGACTCAAGTATAGTCAACATATAGTTTCAATGAAACAGCATTGTTAGTATTAAAGTTAATGTCCGTAATTAAAACTTATCCCATACTGTTAACCAACACAAATGCCTAAAAGAGGGTCATTACAAGAGCTCAGCCTTTTCTTCTATCAGTGGAGCTAAAAATAAGTCATTAACATACCTTTGGCCTCCTCTTTAGCTCTCTCTAATTTTGATTTGATTTTCTCTTCTTTACTCTTTATCTCCTCTTTCCCGTCTTTTGTTCTAGCATGACCATCTTTACCACTCTTATCCTCTTTCCTTTCTTTAACTTTCTCTTTCTTTTCTTCTTTTATCCTCTCAGATTTGTCCACTTTTTCTTCTTTTATGTAAGGAGTTGAACTCTGCCCTTTATCTTCCCTAGATTTATCAGCTTTCTCCTGTTTCCTAGCGGCTTTATCTTCTTTAGATTTCTCAGGCTTTTCCTCAGAGCTTCTGCTCTTTTCTTTTTCACTTGACAGTCTTTCTTTCTTCTCTTTTGAAGAACTTGCACTGAAATAAATTCTTTAATTAACATAGCCATGATTGTGTTGACTTTTCTTAGGTTTAATTATTGAATTAAGACTAACTTTATTTTATTGTTTAGCAAACTGATCAATGCTAACATGTTTGTCATATTCACCTAAAATGAAGAGTTATCTTTAAAGTAATTGTCTGAACAAAAATTAACTGATTAGTCTATTTCATTTAACAGAACTTACACTTAAAGCAGACATGTTTATCTTTACTTATTATAACTAAGTTTTATAGACATGTCCATCATCCTTATATGAGACAAATCAATCACACTTATTATATAAGAAATGACATAGCTTTGCCTTAAATATTTTCTTAAACTATGACTGACTTTTATGTTTATCATATTTATCAGTACTAAGATTAACAGCCTTGTTCATCAAACTTATGAGACATCAAATTTATCAGACGTAAAATCAACAGTTTTGACAAATATTAAGTTTAACAGGCAAATTTCAACTACAAACGTCTGATAATTTGCTCATAATTTTAGCGCTTACAGATTTACTCCTTTCTTCTCATACTTACGGCAACTAAAATCAACATTTATCATTATCATACTTATAATACATTAAAACTCAAATCATATACAGTTTATATTAATCATACTTTCCAGACCCATCTTTCCTGTCAATATCAGATGCTGATTTCTTTGCCTCAGTACTGCTGGCAGTTTTCAACTTCTCCTCAGATCGTGACTTTTCTACAGTTTTCTCTCCTTTCTCTGACTTAACTTTCTTTTGCTCTTTTTCTTTTGTTACTCCACTTTCTGAATTTTCATATCATTATAAAGCGTATAAAACATGTAAAATATTAAATTCTTTTAAGCACATGTAAATAAAAGAGTCAAAACAGTAAAGAGACTAACAGAAGTCTGTAAAAATATCTCCTTGTAAAAGTATACTTGAAAACAAAAAAACCTGATTGTGAATTTTGACAATGTCCTACTATTAGTAACTTATTTTACAAATTTACTTTATAATCATACCACAGACAAGCAAAGTTGGGTTTAATGTGATTCTAACATAACTTTAAGGTCATTAAAAAAAATTCCAGCATGGCAGATACAAGGACTCTACATTATAGGTGCAGAAAGGTGCACAAATAGAATCACAACTAGTTGTTTCCTTCCATAAAAATACGGCCTACTTCTGTAACAGATCTGCTTTAATGAGTTAACGCTTATAACATACATTATGCTAATTCCTGGATTAAGCGTTATATTGGTCACAATGTCAGTGCTTTTTATAGACCTGGTTAATTGATATAATTAGGAACCACTGGAAGCTCTGATGATCTCATTATAACAGTAGACTGTAGAACCTTCTTTCAAAGACTACATGCCTGCACATAACTGAATATAGCATACATATATATAGTCTTCATAAATTATCTTACTTTCTCCATTAACCATTTTCGTCTTCTCTTTGCCTGATGATGCATTATCTCCCTTCGGACCAGAATTGTCCCCAGAGGGTCCTGAACTACTGCCTTGAGAGGTGGAACTAGCCCCTGAGGCGGCTGCCCCTGCTTTCTTCTGTAATTAAAAACAAACCATTTAATCAGATTCTCAAATATTTCATATAAATTCATCACTATAAATTACAATTGATCTTTTCAGTAAGTGCAAGGTATTAGACTTATCATTTACTTTATGATATTTTTAGGAAAGTGAAATAAGACACATACAGTATTTGCATCTATCTAAGCTATTTATTACAAATACCTCTTTATCTCTGAGATGGAACTCTATGTCATTCACCCAGGTACCTTTTCTGCTCTTCAACTGGCCAGAATATCTGAAATATACATAAATCACAATATATCATATAATAAAACTAGCCAGGTATGGAATTCTGAATTTTGTTCTTCCGTTTTTGGTTAGATTTTAAGTCACACCAAAGCTTTAAAGATCATGTGGCGACTTTTCAGCTTTACTGGCACATAACTTATGCCCAAGTGTTCACCTGGGTAGAACTACTGCTGTTTTTACAGGAAAGCTGGATAGCCTCCTTACATGAACAAGAGCGATCAGTAATCACATGTGTCGCCTCATAATGGCCAATTTCATGTTGGGACAAATTTTGTGACAGACGGACAGACAGACGGACAGTGCACAACTACACTTGGTACTGATCATTCCTGTAAAGTTTGGATAAAATTGCACCAGTAGTTTATGAGGAGTAGTCCGGACAAGCTTTTGCGTATCTGGCAACACACAGAAAAAAACACCTTTTTATCAAAGGGCCATAACTCGGCCAAAAATCATTCAACCGGAAAACCCGTGCAATATGCGCAAGGACTTGAGCTACAGATCAATCCTGTAAAGTTTCATTGAAATTGCATTAGTGGTATAAGAGAACTAGTCCGGACAAACTTTAAAAATAAAAATTATTAAAGGGCCATTAACTCTGACAAAAATCATTGAACCGGAAAAATGCTGACAATATGCACAACTAGACTTGGTACTGATCATTCCTGTAAAGTTTGGATGAAATTGCACCAGTAGTTTATGAGGAGTAGTCCGGACAAGCTTTTGTGTATCTGGCAACACACAGAAAAAAACACCTTTTTATCAAAGGGCCATAACTCGGCCAAAAATCATTCAACCGGAAAACCCGTGCAATATGCGCAAGGACTTGAGCTACAGATCAATCCTGTAAAGTTTCATTGAAATTGCATTAGTGGTATAAGAGAACTAGTCCGGACAAACTTTAAAATTAAAAATTATTAAAGGGCAATAACTCTGACAAAAATCATTGAACCGGAAAATGCTGACAATATGCACAACTAGACTTGGTACTGATCATTCCTGTAAAGTTTGGATGAAATTGCACCAGTAGTTTATGAGGAGTAGTCCGGACAAGCTTTTGTGTATCTGGCAACACACAGAAAAAAACACCTTTTTATCAAAGGGCCATAACTCGGCCAAAAATCATTTAACCGGAAAACCCGTGCAATATGCGCAAGGACTTGAGCTACAGATCAATCCTGTAAGGTTTCATTGAAATTGCATTAGTGGTATAAGAGAACTAGTCCGGACAACAATATGCACAACTAGACTTGGTACTGATCATTCCTGTAAAGTTTGGATGAAATTGCACCAGTAGTTTATGAGGAGTAGTCCGGACAAGTTTTGTGACGGACGGACAGACAGACGGACAGACAGACGACGGAGAAGTGATCCCTATATGTCGCCACTACTCCGTAGAGGCGACACAAAAAATCAAAAGTCCCTGGAAAGAATTCAAACCCACTGCAGTGACAAGCAAGTGGTTCATAGAGGAAATTTGGAAAATACATCTTTTACTTTGACAGATTTTGTCACATTCTATGTTTAATAATTTAATAATCGTCATATCAAAATCATAACCGCACCAATGTGACAATGATTTACAATGACAATGTGTTTGTTCATAGAGTTGAAATGACCATCCAGTTTATTCAAATATGTGGAAACTGTCCTTCATAGCTTGCCTCAACATGAAATACATTTCTTAACTTTTTTCATTTTATCTCATTGTATAATTATATCAAAGTATCACTAATATTATAACAAAGATAACAAAAGTTAGAGAGAAATCAATGTTACCCCATTGCTAGAGCAAATAGATCAGGTCTCTTATCTTTTTCCTCCTGTTTCAGCCTGTCTATACGTCTCTCTAATGGTGAACCAAACTGTATGATACGTGGATAATGGGGCAAGATCTACAAATAATGAGAACATATGTTGACATATCTGAATTCTATCATAAAACTACAGAGCTTGTATTGTTAAAAAACTATCTTCTTAAAAATGTTTTTGTTGAGAAAATATCTTAAAGAAAGTTCTGCAAACCACAATTTTTATCTGTTTTTTTCAACCTATCATAATCACTAGTCTTGTTGTTTTTTGTAAAACTGTTTGTACGTTTTTGGTTTCTCATTTTAAGTCACAAAGATACTATACAAGTAATACACTAGTAGCCAATCTTTCCAGCTTTAACGGTTCAATATAAACTTAAGCGTCACTCTTGATTCATATCAATGACACTTGTGAGTACTAGAGTAGATGAACCAACTTTGTAAACTCCCACTAATTTTCTCACATGGAAAAATTCAAGACTCTGGAAGAATTCAAATTCAAACTTACAGTAATGATTCACATGATATGATGCTAGCTAAAAAATATGTAAATTAGGAAAATCATATTAAGACATACTTTGGTCAACACTATAAGAGCATTCCTTATCTGTATATATTTGCCTGACTCTATACACGCCACCATAGATTTAGTCATTCTAAAATGCCACTTGTGACACACATGTCTGTAGTTCTCAAAGTCAAGCTGATCGGCTTTGCTGTTACTGTTCTCCCCCTTTCTAAACACTGTCACAAAACCTGGGTATGCACCACACTCCTTCAAGATAAAACACAGTATCATTTGTAAGGACCCAAAATAATATTTTTACGTCTTCTGCTATTTTGCCTTTTCTTTTTTACAAATTTTTTTATTTAACATATAAAAGCAAATTTACTTTCCTGTCTAATATCACATTTATCAATTTACTAAATTTGAAAATCTTAGTTCTAAAATTTAAATTATTTATTGGGTCACTAGAAAGTCTTATGATGGTATTTACTCCACACTAAATGAAAACATTTTAGACAATAACCACATATAACTTAAGAGGGTTAAGAGCCAAGTGCACAAACACAAAAACTTCAAGTGAAAAGGAAGATTAGATTCCCTAAAATAATCATTGATATATTCTGATAAAAAAATTTGGAAATGCTCTGAAAAACATTCTTTTTAAATTAGGGACATTTTGATCAGATGCCCCGTCATTCATTTTATTCAACACATATAGATTTGTTTTATTTACATTTAGTAAAGAGCAAAGTAAAGGTACCTTATCATAGCACTGTTTGTTACCATGCCATCTCATGACTGTATCGAGGGCAGCACACAGAAATCTACCATAACGATGAGCTTCATTCTCGGTACATGATGTCACAGTGTAAGATATATCACAGAATATCTGTTATAATAGACAGTACATGATGTCACAGTGTAAGATATATCACATAATCAGAATATATATCTTGAATAAGAGCTGTCCATAGAGCAGGGTGCTTGACTATTCTCAGGTATAATGTAGAATGTTTTTAAGTTAAAAAAATGACCATTAATCTGTAAAATCTATGTTATAATTATTGGCTTTGGATAGTGACTTCTAATTATGCTTTCAAATAAGTATGTGAAGTTTAATCACATTCCCTTCAGTAGTTTTGGAGATACCAACTTGTACACAAAAACTTAACTAAAGTATGAGGCTGATGCCTCAAGATAATAAATAACCTTTAAGATAATATTACAATAACAGACAATTCTAGTATTACATAAGTTAAATGAATATAGATGGATTCATCCCGTGCAACTTCATATGCTGAACCATTTATAAACAAGATAAAAATTGGCAACGCTTCTGTTCCTTGATATATATTTTGTTATGTTCAATCATAAAAACTTTCAACAAAAGATCCATCAATGGCTCTCTTAAAAGATTATCTAGTTAGGGTCATAGTAATTAAATTCTAAAATGATTCTTTAATCATCATAGTAAAAAATTTAAGGTTTATCTCAATTCAAATTAAAAACTTAATGGGGTAGTTTTGTGAAAGTATACTTACTCTATCGTAACAGATGAGAGTGGAGAAATTGGGTGTTTTAAGACTGTGAAGTATATGTATAAACTCTGCACAGTATATGGCATCACTGGCTGTAAAACAACTACGTGGAAACACACACAACTGTAAAAACTGTGTAATTGTCTCATTCTTGGTTGACTCTGAAATATAGGGAAGTAAATCATTTATAGTTTTGTGAAAGTGTCAACACTCTATCTCCTAAGAATATTGTGTTGAAACTCTCTCAGAACTTTCATTGGTCAGTGTCCATTCTATGCCAGTTTCTGACCAACCAAATATCCAAGATCTGAGTTTGAACTGAAAAGAAAATATCTATATATTTTCATATAGGTTTGAGTCAACCTATATTTGCAGTCATACCATGTTCTGGTAATCTGCTTTTACAGAAATATTGAAATTAAACCAGCTTGTCAAATCTATCAGTTTTCTATGTATTAAATACCAAAATCACACTGGCCAAACTTATCATCCGACATTAGTGCAACACATTCAATGGTCTAAGTTAATCAAAATCTTACTTACTTGAGACAAACCAGGCCTCTTTTTGATTCTTTAATCTGGCCATGACTCGTTGTACATGCTCTGTTTGTTTCTTTTCCTCATCTTTCAGTTTCTCTATCAGCTGATTACATCTTTCTTTTTCCTTCTTTCTTTTACTTTGATTCTAAAATAAAAGATGAATTTAATAAGACTTTGTCGTCCATTTTAATCCTGTTTTGAAAGAATTTGTAATGTTTTGTATATAAAGCAAATTATAACATGTATATACTATTCTGAGAAATAAAATATGTTTAAACTAACTGTAAATAAAATATATCTTCTTCAAAAATGACTGTTCTTATTTTTTGAAATTAACAATATGTAAGTTAACCTCACTTCATAAAATACACAAACTGATGTAGGCAAACCTGTTCATTTAAATTCTATTTCACATGATATGCCTAGATTATAGAATTAAACATCCAATTTCCCAAAATAGTATAACACTGAAATATGGCAGTTAACAGTATAGTAGGAATAGATTGGTTCTGTACCAGTGGCACAAAATGTGTCATCAAATGACTATAGTGATAAAAGTTCCTGAAAACAGACTTCACAGTTTACTCTAATTTAGATCAAAACCAACCCTCTTACTCATTTTAAATTATTTAAATCCCAGAAGAAACATTATGACCTACCATATCTTTATTTTCCTCAGCACTTTGAGCCTGTGCCTGTAGCTGTTGTACTTGTTTCTCATATGCTGATGTTGGTACATGAATATCATACATGGACAATGACCAGAATGTTACATAGAATGTTGGACTGAAATCATAAAAGATCATTACAATGCAGTATTACATGTACTTTCAAACAAGGATTATAAGTAACAATTTGTACTTAATCTTATGCTCTGAAAACACCTACTACCTGAAAATTGATAAAAGTGTAAAGATTTCACCCTGACAAATTTGTGAAACCGATTTGTCCTGAAGTAACTTTGTACCTATTTTGTAATTCATTGATTTACAGAGACTGTTCAACCAACAATCATTGTTATTTACCCATAATCTGCTGTTACTCTGAAATTGACTTGTCCAGCTTCCTTGTTTGGAATTGTCAATTACCAACTTTGGAGGTTTCATGATGAAATTTTTTTAAATGTTTAGCCAGCTGGCAGCAGTATAGACTGTTCAGACTGTACTGAAAAGCTGGCGGGCATGGCTCTCTACTAGTAACAAAGGCTAATCAGCTTTGGTTCCAGAGTATAAGGGTTAAATACTAAAAGCTTTATCTATTGTCATTTTAGTGCAGTAATTGGTTAAATCCTTTTAAATTTAATTGGACTTAGTTATTGCACTAATGTGACACTATGTTGTTTTTTTCTGGTAAGAAATACAATATACAGTGCACTCCGGATACAACGAGATCGTCGGGACTTCGGATGATTCCTCGTTATAACCGGGTCCGGGACAGAACAAATTGAGAAATCCGACACCGTCGAGCATCTTTTATTTCTACTTTCGCTTTCGCGTGCATCCTTTTTGAAGAGTATATAATGGGAGGTATCTCTTTGCAATCAGAAGTTTTTGTTTTATTCAAATATACATGTATATAAATATATCTAGCTAGCATAGAATTTAAACAAAACATGAAAACACAACCTAGTCGTCTAACCGCGTGTGTTTTTTCATTAATCTGTACATTTTAAAATTTGTTTTCAAAAGTCACGCAGTGTATTTCTCACGAACACCGAATAACACCGCAAGAAATCAGTCACTTCCTAATGAAATTGTCTTGTTATGACATTTCGTCACCTTAAGAACAATTTAGCCCGAGAGGCAGACAAAACAAGGCTGACACATTTGATCGCTTATTGCTCGACCAATTATCTCGTCCCGCATCAATAATGTGGTCCTTAATTGACCTTTGTTATTGGTCATCTATGTTTTTCTCAAGGTGACAAGCAGATGCAGACGAAGTGCAAATGAAGTGACCTCGTTAAAATTCTGAAAAATACGCATGGGATGGCGAAATTATGTACGTTGTAACCAATATTTCGCTAAAACCGATCTCATTATAAGTGGAGTAGACTGTATATATTTTATAACATTAAACAGCAAAATGTTAAGATACTTATGCCTGATCAATCTACTATATAATACAAAAAGTCAGTCTGATGTTTGAATTTGATACATCAGGTTTGTGGTATAACTTGTGAATTGTTGGCCTGGACTTGGCATGGATCACCATGTAGCAGAGGATCTTAAGTTACAGCATGAGTCTCTTGTATTATAAGAAAATTACCTGAGATCTTCCCATATTTTAGGAGTCTGTAAAGGCCGTATGTTCTCCACCACTGGTTCCATCACAATCTCTGACGCCTCTATATACTTCTGAGTCTAAAGAAATGACAATAGTTTACATACAGAGTTCAACGACAGATGAATAATGTTTCAGGTACTTTCTTTACCTTTAAACAGGTTCAAATAATAGACCTATCAGGCCAGTGCTTGAATAGACTTTTTGTTTTGATTTAGAAAGATCAAAACTCAGGAACTAAGGATAATTTTGAATGGTAGGAACAACATATTTGGTTCACAAATACTCAGGTTAAAGCCCAAGTTTGAGCAGTCACTAATTACTGTTATATTAACATAGTCCTGTCATATAATAAATGAAATATTGTAGATAATACAGGAACACTGTTAACAAATGTTAAATATTTTATGCCTAGCAGTTTTAGTCACATTATTTAAATATATGCAATCAGAATTCAATGAAAAGTACATAAATGTAATTCTTTGAACCTAATCAGCTTGTTTTAACTTTGGAACAAGACATGATGCTGGACTATTCACAGTGCTTGATATTAAAACAGGAGTCTGGATAATAAAGGGCCATAAGTTCTAAAATTCCTGTTAGACTTATGGTCCTTAATATCTCCTATTATGCTCTAAAGTAAGTTTATGAAGTTGCAACCTAGTCCTTACAGTAGTTTTGGAGATAACAAAGTGCACGCAAAACTTGACCAAAGTGTAAAGTGATGCCAGGATGAGTACAACAGCTCTCCCTTTTCTTGGAAAAAGTCGAGATAAAATAAGTAATGGTGATGTTGTTTTTTTAACATCATCTTAGTTTGATCATACTACCTTTGTTGTACTTGAAACTTTCTTGTCTTTGTCTCCTTTTTCAGCTTTGCGTAACTCATCAAATTTTGTCTACAAATAAAAAATTGATTGTTATCAATAATATCTACTACATAAATTATAGACCCCCTTTTTCTCTGTTCTCTGCTATAGAAACAGTATTATCATCACTGTCTTACCTTTAGGCAAATATATTAATTCATTTAAAGACAAGAATATATACTGTCAAAGTGGCACATAATCACTAGCCTGAGCATCACCTGGGTTAATCATAAACTTTCCATATGCCAGCCGGATCACATAAAATAGGTACCTGTTGCAATTCAAATAAGAAATCAAAGCAAAGGCACATGATATTTAATGTCATCAACATGAACCACTCTGCAATAGAGGCCACTTTGTAAAGTTGATACAAGTTATTTGAATACTGACAAATATAAACATTTCATTAACTTTTTTATATGATCCAAGAATTTACAAAACAATAACTTGCCCTTGAAACTGATTCATTGTATTCCAATCCCTTGACTGTATTATCTTAAACAATAACACTGACATAATGACCACTTACATTAACATCGTAACTGTAGAGTGGACGTGACAGGAAGAAAGCTGCATCTGGAGGAACATGAAATTCTGAAACCATCTTCTCAATAGGGGGTAGTTTCTTTACAAACTCCTCTGTACTTAGCTGCATTGATAGGAAGCTACCAAACTGTACTAATGTGTCCTGACACTGAAAATATAAATATATACTATATACCTAACTTTTGTGATGAAAATATAACCATTTTCAACTGAAGAAATACCAAAATCTGGATCTACATCAGTTTGTGTCAGTCAGGTTATGTTTTATGTCAAACAGTGTAGTTTTTTTTTACGTCAATTTCTGGTCATATGTTGATGCATAACAGGCTAACAGGCTTTCCTGGGTCTCTGCAAGTGACCAACATATTAATCACACATGACTTCTGCATCAGCAGTGAGAGACAAACAACCATTTGACTCAATGTCTGAGATCAGTTGTCGAGAAATTATGCCTTATCACGGAATCGAAGTGGCAACCTCTGTATTACCTATCTATGCTTTTCCTATTTAGCAAACACTGAAATCTATTCAGGCATCAATAGACAGGTCTTAATTCAAAGTTGACAGATCCCAATTCACAAATTTAGCTGGGTATACGTTAATGGTAACTAAGCAAATAGCATTAGCATACCTGATCATACAGCTTGCCAAAATGTTTCAGATGTCTAGCTGAGCCCTCTTTGTATATAACAGCATCCCTGTGTTGAGATATCAACAGGCACAAAGCTAGAGCTAAATCATGCTCCAGTACTGTATCCTTCAAACGGTTGGACGACTTCTTTGTGTTTCGAACCTGAGTGAAATAACCTCCCTGAAAAATACAATTTCTTAATCAAAATGATGTTTATAACTTTAAATAGGAGATTTTGTAAAATTGATCATTAACAATACAATATATTTTCCACTGCTGCTAAATTTGATCTAGAATCTGGCAGATAATCTTAAATAATAAATAAAGAAATGAAAACAAAAGAATTTTCTTTAAAAGGCACAGTTGAACTTATCAAGTAACATTAGATGTTTAATTACGATTTTTTTCCCTGAATACTTCACATAAAACTTTATTTATATTAGAAATAAAATTAAAAATTTCCTTCACATATCGTTACACCATTACCTCAAAAAGATATCCATCAGCGCTAACATTATTTTTAGAAACAATACAAAATTAAGACCGACCTACTATTCAGGCTATTTTTCTTCAGAACCACAAGTGGTCTTATTAGTGGGGTTCAACTGCAAGTGTAACTATTGGTTAAACACACATTAATGCTTTGAAAATTAACCAATCAGATGCTTAAACTGAAATCTTGTCATTTTAAAACTTTGGGTTAGTAAAATATAAAATCAACACTGACAATAACCAGTTGGCTAATAGATCTCTTGCAAACATAGAGTAAAAAAAAATCATGATAATACCTCTTGTCTAAGTAGTTCTCCACCAGACATGGCCTCAAGTTGGTCCATGGTGATTTCCTCTGAGATTTCTATACCGGACATCTTTTGTACAATCTCCCTCATCAATAACAGATCAATACTGTAATATATTTCTGAATGTTTATTCTAATGTTTATTGAACTATATTTCATACTTACTAGTACATATATTTGAAAATTTCACATCTTTGCTGGACAAAAATTACAATACATTTAATAGAGTGGCATATATTGTGTAATTGATAATCTTTTTTAATCTCTTTACTAGTTTAAGTCACTCAAACACCACTTAATAAATTTAAGAAACAACTGAACTATTGTACTTTTTAAACCACATAACATTCTATAACATATATGAGAAAATAATTCTGACTGCTAATATTCTACTAAATACTAAACCTAAAAAAACACCAAAAACACCATTAATTAAAGCTACCTGACTCATGATTTGAGACCTATTTTATCTGGCTTATTGGATATACCTTACTCACATGCAACTTTAACTGATAAAGGTAAATGTTCAGATAAATTTTTACATTTAAAGCACAAACCATCACCTGTTTTAAACCATCAATATACCAATGGCATCTGAAAATAACTGTAAGAAATAGAAACCTACCTTTTGCCAGCTTTAAGCTGATTTGTCACATATTGCATCATCCCAGCTAGATCTACTTGATATTTCTTACATATAGACCCAGCAAAATTAGCCAAACCTGAAACATAAGTCATTTATTTATTTGGTTGGGTTTTACATCGTACCTACACAGTATAGGTCATATGGGGAACATAAGTCATTAAACATCATGCAAGATGGTACATTCTTGTATATCAACCAGGATTTTCTATTGTTAACATCCGTGCTAGAAAACCCTGTTTAAATCCTCCATATTTTAAATGATGTGCACTTTTTATGAATGAACTGTGTTCTTGGCATGGTGATATTTTGCCGATATGAATAAAGTTGTAACTACATACCCTACTATAAGATAGTAGTTTTCTTAATTTCTTTCCAAAATATGATTAATATGTAATATGCAAGAAGAATCAAACACCATCTTTCGTTATGTTTGGGAATATCTAGCTCTTCGGTCAACTGTTTAGCGGAAACACAACAGAACCTCTTAACCATTGTAAACACTTTAACCTTTGAGTTTAGCTAGATATTCTGGTCTTTACCAGCAGCCGGTATAAAATTTTTACAATATAATCTCTGAAGATAAATTACCATTCAAAGTTTTACCCTTACTCTGTAAAAAATTCTGGGATTGATTTTCCCAGCTTTAAATTTGAGTACAGACCATTATATATTTAAGGGATTAAAATAGTTCCGCAGCCAATAGTAGAGCCCGGCCTTGTTAAATACTGGCAGTATGGCCATGTTAAATCACTGCAAGCATTTACATTTATTCAAAAATACAAAATCTTGAAATATAAAATAAACCTACTTTGTAACCATGTTGACAGACTGGTTTCATCAATCTTCATTTTCTCTTTCTCTGGATTGCCCACAGCTTCTATTACACAGACTGGTTACTAGTTAAGGTATTCAAATTACATAATTTGTACAGTTTGTTATAATTACCTTATTCCTAATTGAACCTAATACAAAACAAAATATTGCCACCTTTTTTTTCAATTTGTAGGAACTTTCTAAGCATTTTTAAATAATTTAATCTTAACTTTAGGTAGAGAATCTATTCAATTAACTTTAAATCCAATTCGCTGGCATTACAAATTTTGATTCTAGAACCAGCTACTATTTGTTACAAGGGATTGGGAAAAAAGTCAAATGCTAAAAGTATGCAACCAACTTAAACATATTAAAACCACAGAGGTGTGTAAAAAAAATATTTGCTTGAACAGAAACATTTAAACACATTTGAGCTGCGTCATGACAAAACCAACATAATGGGTTTGCGACCAGCATGGATCCAGACCAGCTAGTGTATCCGCGCAGTCTGATCAGGATCCATGCTGTTCGTTATCAGTTTCTCTACTTGTTATAGCGTTTGTAAGTGAACAGCATGGATCCTGATCAGACTGCGCGGATGCGCAGGCTGGCCTGGATCCATGCTGGTCGCAAACCCATTATGTTGGCTTTGTCGTGAGGTGGCTCATTTGTTGAATTTTTTAACAGATTCATTGCAACTTTAGCCTTTCTTTTACATAAGACTTTTTTTTTCAAGAGAAATGACATTTGACAACACAAAGTATATATTCTATATAAAAGTTTCTCTTCTAACAGGTTATTTCTCTCAAAGGATACAGACTAAAATATCATATGAGAGATTGGTCAGGTACTTCAGGGAGTCAACAACAGGTCCTATAAGATTATCATACTTCTCAATCTGTCTTATCACCTGAAATAAAAGATAACAGTCATCTTACTGTCATTCAAAAGTTCAATTACTAAAGAAAAGAGAGAGAAAAAAAAACAACAACACTTTCAAAGTTTCATATCTCATTGTCTTTCAGAGACATTAAGAGCTTGTTTGAAAGTCACACAGTAAAAATTTTCTTCCATCACAAGAAGACTAGGGATGATTCTTATTTAGAGAAAAATTACCAAAGAAAAGCAAAATTTATATTAATTATAATCTTCAACCCGGTCAAAAAATGTGTATAAAAACAATAAAATAATGTCGTTCTTTAAATATCAAGAAAAAAACTAAGTTTCAGATTAATTCTTTTTTTTTTTGACTGCCTAAAACTGCATATCTATATTTTTTTCTAATTAATCCAGATAAGCTTCAAGTGATACACTAACAATATTTGTATGAAAGTAGTTGCACATGGACACTTACATATTCAAACAGTACACCAGGGTTACTATGACTCAGTTTACCGAGTTGTCTCCCAGATTGTTTCACATTCTCTTTAGATAATCTCCTGAAAAAAAAACATCCAGATAAACACATATATGTGTACATATTATATGATTTCAACTATCAACATGTTTTGTATGTTGATCTAATTTTTAAACAGTATTTCAGGTCAAATACAGCATTTACTATTATAAAGTCAAAGTATGATACAGTATTTACTATTATAACGTCAAATTCAACACACTGTTGCCAAATGATGTACATTTAAAAAGAAAACAAATTCCACACCACAGAAGGAAAATAAATTCAAACTTGATATACATTCACCCTACTAAGAGTATATTTGCCCTTTAGCATTTTATGATTCATTTTCTACCATCATGAAAATAAGTAGCAAGTTTTTATGAAAAACATCTTCGTTACTAGTCAGAGAGAAAAAAATACGTAAGATTTCTTACTTCATTATATATTTAGCTTTCTCCAAACAGTCAGCCTTCACCTTGATCAAGCTTGGGTGTATGTTGTACATCTCATTCTTCCAATTTCCATACATACGATACCTAGTTAACAAAATAAACTTTCTCTTAATTTTACTGATCACCTATCTACCTTAGAAACAGATATATATGCAATGAGAAATTCATTAAGTTATTTCTTACCTGTCAGATTGAACTGAATTAGGCTAGTTATTGAAAATTACTCATAAATTCTAAAGAAAATTCATAGAAATTCTAGTGATTCATATAGGTTATTGTTTGTTCTTGTGTGTGTGTAAAGTACAATATAAACTGTAAACATTTAAGATAAAATGTAAAACTGTTAACATTTATAGCCAAATGCAATGCTATTTTGACTTTTACTGGCACAGTTTCAATTTTCACTTGGACTTTCAACATTCTTAATATTTTGTGTTTTATGTTGTCCAATATTGAAATAAGCTCCATTTTTGATACAGCTGTGATTTAACTTCTTCAGCATGAAAAACTAAGACAATTCTCACCTGAGTTCATATGGGAACAACTTCACAAGTGTCCACAATTCCTCGGATATACAACAGTTACATGTGAGAAACGATAAACTGGGTATAACAACTTCATCTAGTATACTTAATAAACCAAAGTACATAATGTTATCTTCTACACTCAGAACCCCATGATTCCTCTGTAAAGAAAAACATATAAATTTATATAGATATTTTTACAATTGAAAATCTTAAAATTTAAATTGAAATTGTTTTTTATGTAAAACTCCTTAAGCCAATATACCTTGCTTATAGAGTTAAAACATTAATACAATAACTAAAATGTCTTGAAGCATCACATAATTCATGTAAAACATTGTACATATCTTACAGCAGAACAATATTCATGTAAAATGTCTTGCATTTATATCTTCTTACTTTAAACATCACTTAACAGTATCTAATTGATGAAAACTCTCTTAAAGCAATACCTTATTCATGTGCAACATCTTAGAGCAGTTTTGTTTTTTTACAGGCAAGTGAAAGGGCCATTACCTTAAATTTGGGGAAAATTAACATAGTAAGCAACTCTTAAATGATGTAAAACATCACATAACAATACCTTATTCATGTAAAACTTGCCAAGCCTGATCAGTTTTGCTAGGAGTACAGGATCACAAGCGGCATATGGACCCAGGTAGGTAACCATTGGATACACCAGTGTATATACTTCCTTGAAAGTTGTGGCCAGCTGTACCTCAGATCCTAGCTTTCCTGGTTTCACCCATTTTGCCACTATTTTTGTACTCATGCCACTATTCCTGAAAAATAATTCAAATGATGAAAATATTTTCTATATCTTTTTACATATAGAAAATAGAATAAGCTTCAATCAGGTAGTATAATGATCAACATTGGGTAGAAGTTTACATATAAACATCAGGGTTTTCATTTTTATCTCAGGCAATATATGTGCCAACGAAAACAACCAATTTTGCCAAAAGGTCAAGGAGAATATTTTAATCTACAGAATGAAAATACAACCGATTTTTAAGCCTTTCAACTGCTGATACAGAATGCCAACCTGTTAATAATAAAGAACCTGATAAATTTACAAAAGCAAAAATAAGAAACCGTACTGTGTTTCAGTCACTGACCGTAACCAAACTACTATAACAATATAAATAATATTATTATTTACTTTCTGTATACAGGATCCATAACTGTATGTATAAGGGCACACAATGCTGCTGCCACAGGTTTATATGTTGTTCCAAAGAACTCAGGCAGCCTGTCTAAAATAGACTTGGACTTCTCCCATGCTCCAATATTCAACAATGCTTCTACAAGACCCAGCTTCTGATTATTCTTGTGCTGAAATAGTAGGAAAAAAAATCAATTAATGCACAGCATAAGTATGAATACAAAACACTGTAAAATATCTTATGTTTCATTTTGGTTTTAAGTCACACCAATGCCTTAATAAAATATTATAAAATTCATGCATTAGTAGTTCAGGAAGACCTGAGACAGTCGTTCTTTATATTATGTCAGATGTATTTATCCACCCAATTATAACTATAATCATCCAAAAGCTTAATGAATAGCTCGCTCAAAGAAAGAGTAAAATATTTACAGGATCAATTTTGATAGTGTCCTCATCTTTTTTCTTGTCCTCATTGGCCTTGTCTGACAGATTAACAACCATCAGCTTCCTGGCATACTGTTTGGCATCATTCATTTCCTTCTTACTGTGCTCCAAGATAGTACTGTCTGGTGGATATAACTGTAAAATAATCATTCAAACAGTTTTCACAATGTACATACAATTCAAACATTTATCAAGACTTGTTCTCACAAATTTAATTTTCAGGTATTGTAAACATTTTAAAAAATATTATAAGTTGTAATTTTATAATTAGTAATTTGACTAAAAGAATTATTTTTTTATTGTTCTTGAAATTTTTTATTGGTTATTCTTTCTGTTACTCATTTGTACTGTCTAATCACAAGTTTTGATTTTCAAACAACTCAGAAAAACTTTTACTAGTATTCTTTTACTTTATATGTATAATGAGTAGGCATATATGTCCCTAATTTACAATTAAAAAAGATACATGTGAAAATGTTGACATTCACTTGTGCAGGCAAGGCTCTATAAGGCTATTAACTTTGAAATCAACGGTTGTGATTTACTGTTATAGATACATAAACATTTCTAAAACAAGAACATAATTATAGCAAAGGTTCCCATTTTATTTACAATTTCACTGTTACCCAAAGTTTCTTAAACATAAAGTTACTAAGCCATTAGAGGAGATAAGATAAACTTACATGTGGGTATAATGTATCCAACTGAACCAGTTCATTTTTCATCAATAAGGCCGCCAGCTTGAACAAAGACATAGGTGTCTCATCATCCTTTATAAGAAAAAGAAATTAAGATATTAGTAAAGAGAGACCAGGTATGTATTCTATGTTTAATGAGGGTCTATTAGCCCATTAAAGCATTAAATGCAGCTTTTGCTGTCAAGTACGAACGCCATTACGGAGCATTAGCCAAAGATATTAATTTTAGCCAATAGTAGGTCACTGCATTGCTGTCAATCAAAATCTAAATGTACAGAAACACGAGACGATATGAAAAAAGGAGGTAGCCATTAAAAGGGCTGTTGGTGTTGTAGAGATCAGACATGCATGTGTCATATTAAGTGACATTATACCCATCAAGGAATTAGAAGTGTGTATGCATTTTAAATAAATTTACATTTTGCCATAAAAGATTTTATATCATACTTCATAAAAATAAACAATAACCTATGACAGTATTGATATTTCTACACATATCCTTCCAAATTTATGAAAAGATAAAAAGAGTGAGGTAGTATTTCCATAGTTTAGACAATTTTTATTTTTCATCCTCAATATAAACATTAATTATTCAATTACCATTTTTTATAGTCATTCTTTTGAAATATAGCATATTCAACTCAATTTGACAGCTAAAAATATCAGCACAATGCCACTTTAAGATGAAACCAAAATCTATTTCTAAGTAATGTACATATAATTAAAGCCTGCAAGTATTTAATATACACAAAAGCTGCTGAATCGACCAGCTGGTTTGAAAGAATTGATATGATTACTTTAACAACCAGGGCTCCAGATAAGATGCGTATACGCGTAAATTACGCATGGAAATAACACGTTTACGCATTCAAAACAAAATTTAAGCGTATGAAAACGCACACAAAATTCAGGTTACACATTGAGCAACATTTATTTCGCGTAAACGTAACCAAAAGTAAACTCGGTGATTATCTTATTTTTAATTTCGTCTGAACGCTTTGCAAGCGTCTACCGGTAACTTCCTTTAGTTCCGACCACCATCGGTTGTTATCGTATGTATAGAATGGTGGTGGAAATAACTTCGTATGCAGTCTAACGGTAACTTCCTGTAGTTCCGACTATATTCGGTTGTTATCGTATGTATAGTAAGGTGGTGGAATTAACACAAATTCATAAACATCCGGTACAATGTCGCTGTCAAAAGTTAAAACGATTGACTCGTTTTTTCAGCCGAGAAAAATCGAGTAATTGTGAAGGTTATAATTAACAAGTTTGTTTCTTTAAAAAGAAGCATGCGAGAGGTCTTTTTGCAGCTGTTGAAGATTTGTTTATTTCGAAAATATTTGGAGATATAAAAGGCATCAGAGATTTTTCAAAACGGGCATAAAGTATGTTAATCAAACAATTTTAAGTCCCAGATTTACATTTATAAAGTTTATATCATTTGATTGGAATAAACAATATATACTGCTGCATGCCTCCAACCACAATATGGCAAGAAAATCAAATTTGTTTGGGGTCCGCCTGGGCTCCTTGCCACTGGATCATGTGGTGGTTGCGTTCATTGAACGCCGCCTTTCCTTGTTGATCTTGTGTATCATATTTTTGAGAAAAAGTTGTGCTATTTGCGCCAAAAAATCTCCGTTGCGTACTTAAGTCATACCAGTTCAAAAGTGAAAGTAGCAGCAAATTTTCGGTCATTTAAAAGTGCATGATGACAGTGTTGCTATAATGTTCACTGTTCTTAATTTTCGGAACATAAAATAGTAAAACGCTATTCAGAAAACAAGTATCGATTTATACAGTTTAAAGGATTAAAAACGGAATGAACCATTGCTCGTAGTGTTAAGTAACTATAAAGATATTTTCTGATTTTTCCTTGTACCGATTTGTTCACTTCGATGTTTAATTTTCGTTTAAGTTGAGTCGTATTTTGAGGTGGAGCATGCTCATAACAATTTCTGTAGACTGATTCTAATGTTTTAAGGCTTAAAATGCGATGCATTAGCTTCAATTTGATACGCAAAAATGGATGCTGCCAGCAATCATTCTCAACACTGTGGAGAGGTCTGATGACCTCTCCAATGAAATAATTAGCGCTGCCACGTATGAGCAACAGAAACATGCCTCAGGTTCAGACAAAACGTATGCCGTTTGGAAATGCAAGATTATAAACCAAGGGAGTCCAAAAAGCAAAAGAAATGACTTTGACATATCTTGTATTACAAGTATAATAAAACAATAAACATGGACGCATAATAAATGTTTTACTCTTTAACATACATTTTAAGGAGTAAAAATACTCCTGCCAAATTTCAGATTTCAAGTTTTACTCATTCACAAAAAAATCAATGAGTAAATACTCATTGCCCTAAAAAATTATCTGGAGCCCTGAACAACTATTGTAGATGTATGGGTTACAGTGCATTTCATTCTTTTGGCATGTCTGGAAACCGTACCTATTCCTTTGTAACGCTGACCGGTTTCATAAAAGGATAAGATATTTAATCAATTTAAAAACTACTTACCTTAAAGAACTGAAACTTGAAGCCGAGGCAGTGGCACAATGTTATATTGTCCTTCACATATGATTGTATTAATGGCACATAAAAATCTTCTAATTCAGGACGGTTCTCAAATGATTCCAACAGGATATCTATTACTCTGTTTGGGTCCAAATTGAAACATCCTGAAATTTTTTCATAAAAGTTTTTATCTCTTATCATATTAAATATCTGAAATAGAATTGTCAATCATTGAATGTGGACAAAATCATTCATTCTATCACGAGCCACATTTTTCCCTATTGAAAACAAAAAGGACCCATAGTGTGTAAATATGCAATTAAATCACTGTTGACCATCTATATTTCAACATGTGACGCATTCATTAAAAGACTAAATGTTGAAAATAAGTATGGAAACCGGCACAATTTAGCTTGATATCACGTACAGCAGTATTTATTTGTTGTTCATGTATAACAATCAAAATAATATTGTTTGAATGCTCACCATTGTATCACTATGGCTATGCCCTCTTAATATTATCCAAACTCCAGTGATTTTATAAATCGATAAAATCAATGTTGGGGGATATATTATTTCTTAATCATTTTCAGGAAAATTACAAAGTATATTCTGAATGGCAAACAATACAGACCATGATCAGATAGACAGAACAAATATGCTGGCATACTCTCATTTGGGAGTTCTTATGAAAAGACTGTCAATACCAGTCCTGATGAAAACAAAATGGGAATTCAAATCCAGAAGAGCTCATTACATGTTTCAGGGTTAAAATAATGAATATTGTCACTAATTATTTGACCTTGTTCTATTTAACATACCACTGTAAATCAAGTCAATATAGATACATTACCAATGAGAGATTTTATATTTTGTAAGACAACTTCTGGTGTAAGTTTTTCTGTGATTTCCTGATTGAGTTCAGTGACAAGCTTTGAATAACCTTCACTTTCTTCTCGTAGAAGATTAAACTTTTGTTGCTTGTAGCTGAAACAAAATACAAGCATGATAAATAGTAACTTTTTATTCCTTTAATCATCAAAATATCACAATATTTTAGTATTCTTTTAGTGGATTTTTAAAGTAAAATTCGGATACTTTTTGTTTTAGGAAAGTTATTTAAACCTCTACAATAAAATTTAATGAATACTTTCCTCACACTATATTCAAGTTAAATAATGTACATGTATATTAATATAATTACAGGGAAAAAAAAGAAATAGTTTAATACATACTACAGTCTGGTCTTTATTTTTACATGTTTTTGTGTGAAAACTGTTTTATTGGGTACCAGTCCAGCATTCTCCAAAGTATCATGATCTAACCGGGACTTTGATAGTGCTTCACATTCAAAACTCTGCAAAAATCATAGATTAACATTAAACAAATAGCCCTTAAAACATAACCAATGCTCTGAACACATTTCCTAGTTACTGACAAACTGAGAAAACATTAAAAATTTGATTTATGAAAGAATTATCATTTCACTTCAGTCATTCACATGTATCTGTATAAGGCCAAGGGATTTTCAAGTCAATGATCTGTAACTTAAAAATCTGATTACGCATCAATTAATTTTGTAAAATTGAAAAACAAGAGGACCTGGATTGCCTTTAATCGCTCACCTGAGGATATGGTTTATATGAACAAAAATTCATTTCTAGTTCATGCTCAAGTGAACAAAAAGACAAGAAATTGATACTGTCGGCATGTCACACTGTAAATTGAATGTCACCATACCCTACCAAGTGAAGTCACTAATATCAGACTGGCCAGTCATGACGTATCCAAATCATATTTCAAGTGACATTATGCTCATTTTTTTTTGTCAATTTCAGCTGAATTGACTATATATTTCAAAAAGATTGACTGTTGAAAAATGGAAAAACTGTAAATATCAGAAAATGTTTATGATAAAATATAAATCTGCCTAAAAATAACAAGAGGGCCATGATGGCCCTGAGGTCGCTCACCTGTATATAGGCCCCCCAACCCCCACCCCCCCAACGTTGCAGGGCCAATTTAACCCAAGGGCTTTTATTTGCACAAACTTGGTAGACACCCATAAGAAGATGTTTCATGCTAAACAGCTAAGCTCTAGCTCATTGGGCTTTTTAAAAGAAGATTTTTTTAAAGTTTTTACTTTACTATACAAATATAGTTAAAAACAATGACACCCCTGGGGCCGGGCCAGTTTTGACCCCAGGGCTTTTATTTGAACAAACTTTGTAGACACTTACTAGAAGATGTTTCATGCTTAATATCTAAACTCTAGCTATTTGGGTTTTTTCAAAGAAGATTTTAAGTTTTTGCTATACACATATAAAGAAAATCAATGACCCCCGGGGCGGGGCCAATTTTGACCCCAGGTCTTTTATTTGAACAAACTTTGTAGACACTCACTAAAAGATGTTTCATGCTTAATACCTTAACTCTAGCTATTTGGGTTTTTTCAAAGAAGATTTTTTAAGTTTTTGCTATACACATATAAGGAAAATCAATGACCCCCGGGGCGGTGCCAATTTTGACCCCAGGGCTTTTATTTGAACAAACTTGGTAGACACCTATTAGAACATGTTTGATGCTAAATATCTTAGCCATAGCTCTTTGAGTTCTTTAAAAGAAATTTTTTTAAGTTTTTACTATATGCATATAGGGAAAATCAATGACCCCCCCGGGGCGGGGCCAATTTTGACCCCAGGGCTTTTATTTGAACAAACTTGGTAGACACTTATTAGAACATGTTTCATGCTAAATATCTTAGCTCTAACTCTTTTGGTTCTTTAAAAGAAGATTTTTTAAGTTTTTACTATATGCATATAGGGAAAATCAATGACCCCCCGGGGCGGGGCCAATTTTGACCCCGGGGCTTTTATTTGAACAAACTTGGTAGACACTCACTAGAAGATGTTTCATGCCAAATATCTAAGCTCTAGCTCTTATGGTTTTTTAAAAGAAGATATTTAAAGTTTTTTTCTTTCGGTTGCCATGGCAACCAGAGTTCTGCATGGAATTAAATTCTTTGAACAATTCTTAAAGGTGACCACCAAAGGAACATTCCTGTGAAGTTTGGACAAAATTGGCTCAGTGGTTTATGAGGAGATGTCATTTAAAGTAAAAGTTTACGGACGGACGCCGGACGGACGCCGGACGAAAAGCGATCACAAAAGCTCACCCTGTCACTTTGTGACAGGTGAGCTAAAAATACTGCCCACAATCTCTTTTGAAATTGAATGTTACAGGTAAACTCAAATGGATATTTACAGAAATATCCTTCAGTCATGTGAGTTCTAACGATGTAAATTATAAAACTGAAAGAAACTACAGTGAAACGTAAATTTATTTTGACTTTTGCCTGTTCACTCACTAGACAAATGTAATTATGTATATGGGCATAATGTCACTTGAATACTGTTTTCTTTTTGTACATGTTTCGTTTAATACAAAATGAAACTTCTGTTTGAAATTCTAATCGTGATAATCCTTGGTTAAGTAATTAAAATTTATCAACATAAAAAATAATGAAGTCTACACTTACAAGAGCAAATGTTTGCACTAAACTGTAATATCTGTCCCTGGCACCTTTAACTTCATCAACACAGTTCAATTCTACATCTGTAATCATAATTCCAACATTGATATGCAATACATGTATTTTATATTTCCATTTCAAAAACACTTGCACAACTGTTTTTCTTCATATTGTCACTGTATTGTTTTGAAAACAAAACAACAGATAAACACCAAAGTGTCAATTATATGCCTTAATATTACACAAAAAATGTTCATGTACTTCATAAAATTACAAAACAACACTATTAATCATAATAAGTAAAGGATAATATTTTCAACACAGCTCTCTTTTCCTTCTAAAGCAGAGGCAATTTTAAATGCATCTTCCCCTCAGGGTAACATGCAATTTTAATACCCCTAAAGTTCAATTTACATTAAGTATTTTTCCCCTTTTTCAAAAACAATGTCTAACTACAAAATCTAAGTGAAGGGGCGACTTCCTCTGTCTGCTGTATAGAAAGCTGTGCATCAAAAACAATTCGACAATGATTACAGTACTTATTAGCAATGTTATCAATAAAATAAACCTTACCTAAAAGTCCAAGGACATCAAGCACCAAAGACACAAAATCAGGATAATTTTCCTGAAAATATATAAACCTCAGTATCAGTTATGATTCAGTATAGGGAAGAAAGACCAGTTATCACTATTTCAATCCAAGACTAAGCCATTCTATGTAGAGTTCTTGAATAAGAATGCAATAGTCAAAAACAGGAAAAAATTTCAACAAAAAGTACACCTTTGTATCACTATGTTGAATACTAAACCTTTTATATCTAAGTAAAATTACATTTTTTTTTTCAATACAAATGAGCCAACATAATTGAAAGCTGAACAATACATAACTACAAATCATTTAAAACTTGCATATTGTTTACAAAATATGTTAAACAAAGCGTATATGTTTAAATTTGAAGAAAATATAATACAATATAAATACCAACATGTAATTCAATTTTTAAACTTATCTATTCAATATTATACAAACCTTTAGGTCAGCAAAGGCATGAATGGCTTGTTCCTGTTTCAAGTTTCCCCTGACCACATGTAAGCACACATCATATACAGCTTGCCTGAAGTCATGACTACCAAGACTCGCCAACACTGTCTTATCTCCTACACCATTGCAGTAGCGTATACTGTGATACAAAAATAAAAACCCATTTAATACTTATATCATTATCAATGGCTTCTGTATGTAAATTTAGTGGAAGCATAAAGTGTGTTTCCAGGGCTCAAGCTAGGTTCAAAATTTAGGGAGAAGTGGGGAGACTTTAGGGAGAAGTGAGGAGATTCAGTTATCGATGTTTGTTGTATGTTATCGCAATTATGTTGACTCACTGTACATATCTTATTAAATGAATTGGATTTGTGTTACAACAGAATATTCAATTTTAATTTAAAAGTAGTTTGAAACAAGTAATAAGAATGAGTATCATGTAATGCAACCATTGCATTAAATGAAGATAAAAAAGCCATAGTTGATTCCTATCATGGATCATATCATGGGTGGATTAACAGTTATTCCCTTCTGATTTAATATTAGAAAGCTTGCACCGGACATTATATTCATATTCACTTATGTTGTAAAGAAAATGAAAGCAGATAACGAAAGAAACGATCTTTAATTAAACTTCATTTGTAATTAATACAGTGTAATACGCCGTCAATTTTATCAAATTTAACTCGTCGACAAAAAAGGTTATCATAACTTTCATTTAAAATTACCGTTACAGTTATATGTCGAGCGGTCCTCTTAATTCTGACAATCATTCGATAGTGAAAATTTAATTGACGTTTGATCCGTCCATCATAAATAATTGTTACGGGTAGTTGTATGTTAGCGATTTAATGTTTGGCTTAATAATGTCGCCTCGATTAAAACGTGAATTACGATTGGTTTCTTGCACGTATCGGTAATGTCGCCGGGGGCGGAGTCTAATTGTTCCTCGAGTGTCTGTTAATTAGACTTTTATGACATGTTGGTAAACAAACGGATTAATGACATTTCGCGTTGATTGAGATGCATGACAGTCCCTTTTTCCGGCGGCGAGGGTAAACAAAGCAAACACACACAACATGTTATTCACAGTTATTGTTATGATGGTAATTTTCAATAATGGATCAATAAAATAGGGCGACTTCATCTTCGCTTTCATGTAGGATGTCGGCGAAGTCAGACGGAATTCGGCGACTATTTTGCCCGAATCGCCCACTAGCTCGAGCCCTGGTTTCTATATTTTCCTTGTCCTTATTTTCTTCTTTCATAGAGTTTCTCTATAAATTTCACATTTACGAAAAGCCAATGTATGATGTTGACACTTTTGGTCAATTCTTCACCATTTTGGTCAATTTGTCCTGAGCGAAAAAACTTGTTCTTATTTTGGTCAACTTCATACTAAATATTTTATCATATCAGGAAGAATTCAAGAGCCGTTAATATGACTGGGTGCTTGACTTTACTCAGTGCCGCTGTCCAATTGAAGTATACATTCTCTTTAGTTTATGAAATCATGATATTTCGTCTTTTAAACATTGTCAAAAATTACAAAAATTGGTGGAAAGCAAGTTCTATGTTCTTGAATTGACTGTTATATTCTAGAATAAGCTTTGGTACTAAGCCAGGAGTATACGGAAGATTCATTCCACTTTCGTTGGTTTATTATGTAACAAAATGGCCAAACACAAATAGCACTTTTGCAAAAAAGAATATGGTCCTTAATAAAAAGAGATGACCATTCTCTAAAATACGGATTCATTGGCGCTCTACGGGGGACAGTAACTGGATATCTAATGTCACACAGCAGTGTTTTTTTTCACCAAAATATTCGGCGAAATTCTCCCCATTCCCCACTCAAAATAGTATGTTTTTTCCCCCCTCAAAGCTGAAATTTCCCCCTATAAAATGGCAGCCCAAGTTTGCCTGCAATGAATATCATTTTTTTTGCAACTAACTGCCGAAAAATGCTTTATTTTATGCCTGTAAGACTTACTGTTAAGCAAGGTTTTTCATATAGGTAAGGGGAGCTACTCCTGGTATCCCAACAAGTTTATCATGTGACACATCAATATTTTAGATCCGTATAAAAATCCCCCTCCTATTTCATTTTTCCCCCTCCAATGGGCACCGACCCCCTTCCCCCAAAAGTGAAAAAAAACACTGCACAGTGAGAAAAATGTGCAGCCTGAGGCTGACTGGGACTGGAACCCTTGGGATACCTTACTGCTGCTCTACTGACTGAGCTATCCGGCCACTTACACATCTTCTCCCCTAAATAATTAACAGTTCTAAACCATGACATACTCCCCTTCTATATTGAAATTCATCCTCGAATTTCTAATGGGTACAGAGAAAAATGTGAAATTGGACTCGGAGCTTATACTATCACTGTCCCATGCTGGATGCCAAATGTCACAGGGTGAGATAAATGTGCAGCCCGACTGGGACTCGATCCCCTGGACTCTAGGAAAAATGTTCAGCGGCTCTACCGCCTGAGCTATCTTGCCGCTTACACATCTTCTCCCCTAAAAAGTGAACAGTTCTGAACCGTGTCATACTTCCCTGCTGTATTGAAATTTGTCCTCCAATTTAACAGAATTACAGAGCAATGTGAATTAAACTCTGAGCTATATTCACTAATTCAGTCATGGTCCCCCATTGGGCGTCAAATGTCACAGGGTGAGAAAAATGTGCAGCCCAACCCGGAATTCCGTTCCGGGTCTCTACTGAGCTTTCCGGCCACTTACACATCTTTTCCCCTAAATAGTGAACAGTTCTGAACCATGACATGTACAAATTTTGTCCTGAAAAATACATCTATCGATACAGGTGTCTAATCCAGGAGATTGCAGGAGACTTGGCTCATTCACATGATAGAGACTTTTCATCCGTAGACGCTTGTTTAATTGAAGTGCTTTGTATGAAGATAGACCCATCAGTTTTGTTCGGCAGTTACTTCTGTCATTAACAGGCATTCTATTGAATGTCAATTTGTTCTGGACATGTGACATTCCACAATATACAAAAATTAGTTGACGTATAGTTTGCACAGTCAATTTAAATTGATGTATAAAATACTTAGAGCGGAATAAGAAGGGGCCCGACTCACATTATGCTAAGCGTCTGTGCATAAATTGATTATTCTGGAAATCAATTTTGTTTTCTTATTTTTTTTTCATTTGTCAGGAACAAAATACGAAAAAATAAAAGGAGATTACATTTTAATTTTACATCAAAATATTCTTAAAGAATAACAATATAAATCTGAAATAATGTATTAAAAGATTTGCACGTACAACTCTTGCTTTCCAGACTTTTCCCAAGATTTACAATGTTCAACCGTCACACACGACGCCGCCATCTTTTCCAGTGACGTCAATATCACCGGTTAATATCGTACCCGAGCGGCAACGTACCCAAGTCGTAATGTTTTGGAATTAATTATTTTTTAATGTTGTCAAGATTCTCCTGAATAAAAAAGTGAAAATGTTTGATCTGTTGGTCGAACAAAAAAAAAGAAATATAAAAGTGCTGTAATATAAACATATAAACATAAGTGTTGGGTTTTTGGAACCGTATAACTAATATTTTATCTCACTAAAAAGCGGCCGGAAAAAATTAAATGTCCAGAAGGGAAAAAAATTGAGAGAACCACTTGTATATATTACTCCCTTGTTTACATGACAATCAGAATTATTCAAATATGCAGGTCTTTATCAAATTATAGCCTCAATTCATTTCATTCAATAAATTGATTGCAGTAGAACTAACGTCATTAATAAATTTAAATGCTTATAGCTGTACATTAATTTTTGCAGGGTCTTTCAAAAAGAATGGTCCCAATTTTAGGAAAAAGATTCGGCTGAGTCATGTGATTATTAGGTCATCTACAGACCGTGATCTGGCATAGTACATAACCGTTCAAAAATCAAATTATATAAGATAATGTTTTGTTAAATTTATATAAAAAAAAATACTGAAAACTAATTCTGGCTATATTACATTATCAGTTTTTACTTAAAAAGTAACAATTTTATATATTTGCAATGAAATGAGGATTTTTTCTACTTGAAAGAACATGATTGCATGTTCGTTTTGTTCAGTATATAATCAACACAGTGTATATTTTTATCAGGTAGACCTGCTAATTCATAAGAGATTGTAGAGTGCAATAAATTTTCCCCCTCGCACAGACTGAAACAATATTCATTCTTTTACATTAAAAACACTATATACAGACCCTTTCATTTTGACATCTTCACACAAACATTAGATTTAAGTTTTAGCTTAAACTATAACTATTTTAGCTCAATTTGTGAAGACTTCTTGTAGGTAACGTATTTTTACCACTCTCGAATCCGATTTCTGGAGCAAACCACTTCTGACACAACAACTTGAAACGTGGTCGGGTGTTACGACCACTGTATGCGTTTAAGATAGGATTCTTGGTTGAGAAACAGGTATATTAACCATATGTGCACCGATCCAATAAATTAGAAAAAAGGCACGTTTACTATCTTTTTATTATTTTTCAGTAACTTTACATTTCATAAAGTACTTATTTACCATGCATATCATGTGATGGGCATCATTAAAAAAAAAACAAATACCCAACGAAAACTGGATGTTCATAAAATGACAACTGCCAACTGCTGAAATGCAATATTTTTTCCATATTTGAATCATTTTACTATTTTACAAAAAAGTTGTCCTGGAACCATTATTCAAGGGTCACTGTGTTATATATAGAATGCAAAAATTTGAAATAAAAGGCACAAACATGTGAATAATTTGACCTTAATTTTGGTAATTGTACGTACATTGTAAATCTCTCCTACGAGTAACATATGAATATGAGATACATGTACTTCCAGTTTCATTTTGCCTCGCCAAGTTTTGGCAACTTCAACCCATATTTATACGCACTATAAAAATATTAACACTATCTTAAATTATTATATTTTTAAGGTTAAAAAATAAACGTGTCTCATTTGTTGCGTTCATTGAACACCACCCTTCCTGATAATCTTGATTTTTTATCATTATTAATTTATATAAATATAATATTAAATATTTATTGTGTAAAAATGCTTGCCAAATTGCACTTAGCCATGGATTTTCGGTATTTTCACATGGCAACGTATTATATTCTATACATAATTTTAAGTCATTGTTAAATTATAAAAACTTAAAATTAACTACCACAGAAAGTCCAAAACCTTTCACACAAACTTTAAAAAAAGCACTTCTTTGAACTTTCTGAACAGAAACACATCATCATAATAATCATAATATGTTTCTTCATCATTTTAGACAGTATCACTATCATCATCGCTGTAGTATCATCATCGCTGTAGTAATCAATCATAAGTCTATTTTATTACTATGGTCATGGAGCTTTTCTTATGTATATAAACTAATATTTTATGTATAAAAGTTTTTTGTCATTTGTATCATTCAGACAAACAAAATATTTATATGGATAATGATTTCTTTCAACTATATCGATGTTTAAAATGAAAAAAATCCTAGAGACCCTTCAGGACGCTATGTTTGTCATAGCGACATGAAATACGCGTGGATAGACATTAGTTTTTTTACCTTTCAATTGATAATTTTATGTATGAAAAACATTTGTCTCGCTATTGTTACTTACAGTCCAGAATTAATAAATAAACTTAAATTACGGATTATTTAAACAAGAGGGCCATGATGGCCCTGGATCGCTCCCCTGACCCATCAACCGCATCCAAGCAATGTCATAGACAAGCATCCTGGCCAAATTTGATCACAATTGAGTCAAAAATGTGACCTCTAGTGTGTTAAAAATGTTTTCCATATTTGGGCAATGTGACCTAATTTTTGGCTGGAGACGACCCATATTCGAACTTGACCTAAAAATCATCAAAACAACCTTTCTGACAAATTTTCAGGATATTTGGATCAAAACTGCAGCCACAACAAATAAAGATTTTTCGTATTTTTAGCTTCTGTGACCTAGTTTTTGACCGGAGATGATCGATCTTCGAACTTGACCTAGAAATCATCAAAACAACCTTCCTGACAAATTACCAGAATATTTTGATCAAAACTGCAGCCACTAGAGTGTTCACAAGCTTTTTCTATTTTCATCTCCTGTGACCTAGATTTTAACCGGAGATGACCCATCTTCAAACTTGACTTAGAAATCATCAAAACAACCTTCCTGACAAATTTCCAGAATATTTGGATCAAAACTGCACCCACTAGAGTGTTGACAAGCTTTTTCTATTTTTAGCTCCTGTGACCTAGTTTTTAACTTGAGATAACCCATCTTCGTACTTGACATAGAAATCATCAAAACAACCTTCCTGACAAATTTCCAGAATATTCGAATCAAAATTGCAGCCACTAGAGTGTTAACAAACTTTATCTATTTTTAGCTCCTGTGACCTTGTTTTTGACCGGAGATGACCCATCTTTGAACATGATCTAAAAATCATCAAAACAACCTTTCTGACAAATTTCCAGAATATCTGGATTAAAACTGCAGCCACTAGAGTGTTAACAAGTCTTTTCTATTTTTAGCTCCTGTGACCTAGTTTTTGACCGGAGATGACCCATATTCGAACTTGACCTAAAAAATATCAAAACAACCTTCCTGACAAATTTCCAGGATATTTGGATCAAAAATGCAGCCACGAGTGTGTTAACAAGCTTTTTCTATTTTTAGCTCCTGTGACCTAGTTTTTGACCGGAGATGACCCATCTTCAAACTCGACCTAGAAATCATCAAAACAACCTTCCTGACAAATTTCCAGAATATTTGGATCAAAACTGTAGCCACTAGAGTATTTACAAGCTTTTTCTATTTTTAGCTCCTGTGACCTAGTTTTTGACCGGAGATGACCCATCTTCAAACTTGACCTAGAAATCATCAAAACAACCTTCCTGACAAATTTCCAAAATATTTGGATCAAAACTGCAGCCACGAGAGTGTTAACAAGCTTTTTCTATTTTTAGCTCCTGTGACCTAGTTTTTGACCGCAGATGACCCATCTTCGAACTTGACCTAGAAATCATCAAAACAACCTTCCTGACAAATTTCCAGAATATTTGGATCAAAACTGCAGCCACGAGAGTGTTAACAAGCCTTTTCTATTTTTAGCTCCTGTGAACTAGTTTTTGACCGGAGATGACCCATCTTCGAACTCAATCTGTATTTCATTTAGACAAACATTCTGACAAAGTTTGACAATGATTCAATCAAAAGTGTGACTGCTAGACTGTTAACAACTTAATTGTTGACGACGAACGACGCACGACGCACGACGACGGACGCCGGACATAGCCCTATCACTATACCTCACCTTGACCACTTCGTGGTCAGGTGAGCTATAAATAATCTTGGTTTATATGAACATTAAATCCTTTTCATTGTTTAACCCTTTCTCTCATGAGCATATTGTGAACAAGAGCCATGTCAACATGGCCATCCCTCGCCGAATGTGTTTGCTCATTGGAAGAATGTATATGTAGTAGAACAGAATAATTCTATTTTAAGAGGTCTTTTGGTAATGAAAACTGATGGCTATAGTGATTACAGCTTTGAAACCTATGTGAATACTGATGGCTGAAAATAACAAAGGGCAATAACTCAAAAATAATGCAGGGTAGAGTTATCATTCTTAAGCACTGCACTCCTCCTCAATGAGATCCATCCGCCTTTGAAGTTTCAAGTTGATACATCAAATACTTTTTGAGATAAGCTCTGGACAAAATAGCATAAAAAAACAAAGGGCAATAACTCAAAAATTGTATAGGGAAGAGTTATCATTCTTGCGCACAACATTCCTCCTCAATAAGATCTATCCAACTAAGACATTTCATGTTGATATCTCACACTTTTTTTTAGTTATGCTCCACTCAGGTGAAAAATTAGGTATGAAAAATAACAAAGGGCAATAACTCAAAAATTATGAAAGGTAGAGTTATCATTCATGTGCACTGCACACCTCCTGAGTGAGATCTATGCACCTATGAAGTTTCATGTTAATATCTCATAGGCTTTTGGAGTTTGCTCTGGACAAAAATCAATTTTGAAAAATAACAAAGGGCAATAACTCAAAAATCATGCAAGGTAGAGTTATCATTCTTGTGCACTGCACTCCTCCTCAATGAGGTCTATCCACATATAACATTCCTCCTCAATAAGATCTATCCACCTATGACATTTCATGTTGATATCTCAAACACTTTTTGAGTTATGCTCCACTCAGGTGAAAAATTAGGTATGAAAAATAACAAAGGGCAATAACTCAAAAATTATGAAAGGTAGAGTTATCATTCATGTGCACTGCACACCTCCTGAGTAAGATCTATGCACCTATGAAGTTTCATGTTAATATCTCATAGGCTTTTGGAGTTATGCTCTGGACAAAAATCAATCTTGAAAAATAACAAAGGGCAATAACTCAAAAATCATGCAAGGTAGAGTTATCATTCTTGTGCACTGCACTCCTCCTCAATGAGGTCTATCCACCTATGAAGTTTCAAGTTGATAACTCAAATACTTTTAAAGATATGCTCCGGACAAAGATGTCGGACGGAAGGACGGACGGACGGAAGGACGGAAAGTCGGACGGACGGACGGACGGACGGACGGAGACTATTTCTATATCCTCCGCCGAAAATTTTTTTGCGGGGGATAAAAATGGCCGTTTTCACTGAAAAGTCTCCTGTTACAAGTTCAAACTGCTATGAAACTATGAAAAATGCTTCAATACTGATCAAACTTGGCGCAAATGTTGACTGGACCATTGCCTTTGTAACGACATGCTCTGTCTTAAATTTCCTGTTACCATGGCAACGAGGAGACATCTCAAAATTGCTAAAAATCACCATTTTGCCTCGATTTTTTCCATCAAAATTTATTTCAAAGTGCTGCAACTTCTCAAGGGATTGAGATAGAGTCAAAGGCTTTTCAGCGTTGGTTACACGTTACCTAATGATCGACCTGGGGTCATTTTTAGCCTCTCACAAGTCCAAAATTTTCTTGGCGATGAGAGGGACTCCACCCCCTTCAAACCCCCCAAACAGAAGGGGGCACATCTCCCTTCTGGCAACCCCCTGATGTATCTTTTGGATGAGGGGCGGCGCCGAAAAAGTGCTCACTTTTTTTAGCAACATTTCTCAAACGAAAGCATGTGTTTGAAAACTTATTTACGATTTAATTAAATATTATTTTTGCTTTGATAAAAAATAAAAACCTTCAAGACGCTTCGGGACACTATGTTGGTCAGTTAGCTACTTGTAATATGCGTGGATATACGTTTGTTTTTTTAGCTTTCAATTGATAATTTTATGTATGAAAAACATTTTTCTCGCTATTGTTACTTACAGAATTAATAGACAAACTTAATTGACGAATTATTTCAAAGAAATGTTGGTTTATATAAACATTAAACCTTCGGGACACTTATTTGGCACACAACTGTTTTTGAGCAAGGTTAGTTTTATTGATATAAATAGAAAAATGTCAATAGAGATAAATTTTTTCTACCATAAAAACCTTTTATACATAATAATAGACACCATAAATATAACCTTTTTGGTTGTTAAAATTAAAAATAATGCCTCGGGACGTTTCGGGACGCTTTTTAGTGAGACCGTATATTTATCTCTTATCTTATCTATATACAAACTGTGATATAATGTCAATTAAGACGCTCCTTTCGCTTGATTTCCATTTCTTCCCCCAAATTGGTCACTTTCGTATTTTAATCATACAAGTTTTCGTCTAAAATTAATTCTACTTCTAAGTTCAAAGATGGCGGCTGCTGAACATGATAGTGAGAAGTTGAGAAGAAAAATATGTAAAAAGTCAAATAGATTGCGTGAAACTCTATTAAAGAAAGAGAATATTTCTGCAGTTGATTTTCCAACCTTGGTATGTAGTTTTATTTTCTTACTTATCTATCTGACCAACCTAAACTGACATATTGAACGGAAGATTGACGTTTCGCCCTCAAGACTGTTCACACCAAGATGGTTCACATCAAGATATTTCACTCCCTTTTTATGATAAATCTTTGAAATATAAATGCAAGAAATTTTCCGTTTTTTTTTTGTTTTTTTTTTAAGAACAGACATACTTCCTATTTATCTATCTTCCATTAATGTCAAACCTCTGACGGGGACGTTGATACATAATTTGAGGATTACCTGGATTTCTTACCAGTACACCTCTAGTTAATTTGGAAACACAAAGTGTCTCAGAAAAATCCCAAGGGTGTTACCCAGGATTGAACCCGGGACCTCAGGAGTGACAGCCAGTGGTCTAACCAACTTAACTATTGTGCCACCTACATGATTGTGTAATTCTTAAACAAAACAAATTATAAAAAGAAGGGGCTATCCGAACTGGCCGTATGGCCAGCCACAAATTATAGCCGTACATGAGTCAGCAATTGTATAATTGTATTTTTAAATACATGTAGATACATTACATATGGAATATTAAATTTTAAAATCCTATACAAGGACTGACACTAATACTAATCACGGAGTTGTTTTTACTCTTTTAATAGAAACTGTAAATAGGGAAACTTTTTATTTTTATTTTGGAAAACAGTCAGTCCTGCCTGCTGCGTATGTATATACAGTTTTTACCCAATTGCGAGTATACTCCTTGCGGAGTGATGCAATCACTTGAGAGATGATGATGACAAGAGAATTATAGAATGCTTTTCACGGAACATGCAAACTTTCCTTTGTGATGGACAAATTTGTACTGTCAGTAATTGATGCAGTTATCAGAGCACAATAACAATTATGTTGGGTCTTTTTTCATTTTTAAAGGTGTTGAAAATTAAACATACTGTAACAAAAAAGATTAATGTATTACAATAATAATGTTAATGATTTCAGTTGAATTTGATGTTATTCAACTTTAACTGTATAAATGCTCTTTGTTCTGGAGATGACAATGATCAATATTTGTAGTTTTTAAATTGTACTTTCTTTGGCCAACATGGTGATTCATCTCTAAAGGGTAAGCATGCAAAGACAATTATTGCTGTTAAAGTTTCTTGGTTAAATCCACGTTTAAAGACTTAAAAGAACATATATGCATTTTCGACTGTCCTATAAATTTGAAAAGTGTCATACGGCTAGAGTAACTAAGACAATACAGTGTGTCCTAGCTTGCCATATGTGACTCACGTAGACATGCTTTTGTTGCAAATGATCCAGTTTAAATGATTTAGCCTACCTTTATCAGAGACAGAGCTGCACTTATCAAAGAAAATAAAGTCCTAAATAGATGACTCAATTCAAGACATACATGTATATTTATATGTTGTTATGATGTAGCATTTACTACCAACTTACAAATAAAGACTGAAAAACAGCCTTTAAACATGCTAGAAAAACTTGAAGTGATAAGGATTTTATAACTATAATTATGAGAATAGTCAAGTGCAGCTATTGAGTGTTTATTTGAAATTATGAAGTGTTTTTATATTGTACATACTATCTTTACTATCTATACTTTCAAATTCTAATATAGTTGCATGTTGTATTGTATTCAGATTGCTATGAGAAATTATCACAAAAAATGTCATTAATCAACTGTAATATTTAACCCATTGCTTCATGAGCATTTTGTGAAAAATGGCTGTTTTCATTGAAAAGTCTCCCGTTACAAGTTCAAATTGCTATAATACTATTAAAACTGCTTCAACACTAATCAAACTTGGCACAAATGTTGACTGGACCATTGCCCTTGCAACAACATGCTCAGGCTTAAATTTTCTGTTACCATGGCAACGAGGGGACATCTCAAAATTGCCAAAAATCACTATTTTGCGTTGATTTTTTCCAACAAAATTGATTTCAAAGTGCTGCAATTTCTCAATGGATTGAGATAGAGTCAAATGCTTTTCAGCGTTGGTTACACGTTAGCTTATGATCAATCTGGGGTCATTTACAGCCTCTCACAAGTCCAAAATTTTCTTGGCGATGAGGGGGACTCCGCCCCCCTTCAAACCCCCCAAACAGAAGGGGGCACATCCCCCTTCTAGCAACCCCCTGATGTATCTTTTAGTTGGGGGGCCACGCCGAAAAAGAGCTCACTTTTTTTAACAACATTTCTCAAACAAAAACAAGTGTTTGGGGCCTAAATAAGGCATTTTTTCATCATTTGAGACAACAAAAAGGGGGGGGGGGGGGAAAAAGGCGTTAAAAGGCGTGTATATGAAGTAATGGGTTAAGTAACCTACAGTAAAGCATCTGATTGTTATAACATGATTATTTCAGATTTTATGTGTTTGCAACGGAGGTCTTGGCAATTGTGTCGCTTATGAGGAAATGCTAGAGCAGTTTGGTCAGTTTGGCAAAAAATGTGATATTTTAATGATTCCCCAGAAGTCCTATGCATATGTGTGTTATAAAACAATAGCTGAAAGTGAAGAAGCATATAAACAAATGAATGGGCATAAATTACAATCTACTGAAAACAGACCCAATGAAGTAGTCTTGTATACATTTTATGTTAATGAAGGTGAGTAAGATTTACATGTATCCTTAATATCAAATCAGATGTACATGTATTTAAAAATCTAATGTTAATCAAGGATGTTTGCTTATTCAAACAACTTATACTTTGTTTTTGTAAGAAAATGAACAAGGTTTATATTTTAAATATCTATATCAACTTAAGAACTAGGAGAAATGAGAATACTTGACCTAAAAATATAGTTTCCATACCCCATTGACATAACTTTTTAATAAACCATACTGTAAAGATGTATGATGATGTAAAACATGTATCAAATTATATTTTGATATTACAGTAGGTAAGAGTGTGTCACCATCTAGGGAAAGACCGCCAGGTTTGATCCTGCTAGAGGAATATGTTACAGAGGAGTATGCTGCTGAAATTATTAAGTCTGTTAACTGGCAGGACGATCATGTCAAAGGTATACTAGAACTACTAAATTAGAAACAATACCTTATGATGTTTTGTTTATAGATTCTATTTTTATTTTAAAATTGAATCATCTCCTGTTAATTCATGAGCTTCATCAGCGAGTAGTTTTTATAAATTTCCGACAACATTTCTGTATTTGTATTATTTGACATTGCGACATGAGGAGAATTTCTCAGCTCTCTTGGTGCTGTTATTTCTAATGAACATGTAAATCAATGTTGTCTAGTCTTGTTAAAACAAGACATACATGTAGGGTAGAAAGTACATTGTATAATGGAAAAGGAAAGTGAAAAGAAAGACCAAATGGCAAACTTTAAAACTACATGATATCATTTGATAGTACATGATTATTGTATACCGGTATGAGAGCCAGGTATAAGTGGTACTGTACATTGCGTACTGAAAAATTCATATGAAATTTAATAATAGGCAAACAAAAAAACCCATGAAAATGTCCTTTGTGGTAAAACTTCGAAATTACATGCCCACATATTTATTTGAATTCACAGTATTTAATGAATTAGTTTTGGTATAAATTTAATGAAAAAACCCATTTTGATAAAAGTAGTAATGTATTATGCTATTGTTGATTCTAATTTAATTTAAGGTCAGCAAGGTCAACTTAAGCATCGTAGAGTGAAGCATTATGGGTATGAGTTCAGATACGATATAAACAATGTTGACCCAGATGAACCGTTACCTGAAGGTATACCAGATGTCTACAAGCCTTTATTGGATAAACTTATTGATAGTGGTGTGGTCAAACACTACCCTGACCAGCTGACCATTAATCAGTATCAGCCAGGACAAGGTTAGGTGAACATGGCTTAAATCATATTTCATAAGCTTATTTCACATATTAAACAATAACTTAATTAGCTTGGTTTATTCAGAAAATTATTTTAGTTTGATTGTGTAGGAAACTATAAGCTTATAGACACAATCTCGAAACTGTTCCTTGAACCAACCAGTACTGAGCAATGAGTGTAAAGTTTTTTGTTCAAAGAAACAACAACTTGACCTTGACGGGGTTTGTACCCATGCTGATAGCAATCAATTGATTGCTTAAATGTAGCTTGCAATTTCATTAAAAGGAGAAGCTGTGTTTTTGAACAATTTTAGGTAAGGCGACAAATTTGAAAATATCTGTTAACATGGCCAGATTTATGTATAGGTAATTGGCTTTCTTGTCGTTTTTTTTGTAACATTTGTAAAAAAACCCTGCAAATACTGAGAATACTGATGCAAGCTGTACAAATAGTTGACTTGTGTCAATGTATTAAAATTTATAATGTATTTCAGGCATTCCTCCCCATGTTGATACAACAACAGCATTTGAAGATGGTCTTATATCACTAAGTCTAGGATCCCAGGTATGCATTCTTCTTAAAACTTATAAAACAAATTCTAAATATAGACTGAATGGACTTGTAATTCTTGATTGTTTTCATATGACATCCAAAATTTAAGTTTCAGCCTGTTTCTCAGCCCGAAGATTATGAAAATTTGAATCACTTTTTGGCCTTGAAGGTGTTTATGTTGTATTTTAGATTTTGATAGAGTTTGTGTTGTATTTTAGGTATTGATGGAGTTCAGGCATCCAGATGGTAGACATTTGTCCGTACTTTTGCCACCTAGAAGTGTCTTAATAATGACAGGGGAATCAAGGTAATATATATTTATAAGTTTTAGGATAATATAGATTGTGGTTATTTGTTTTACGTGATTGACCTCCTTTGCTATTTTGGTGTAAGCAACCATAACTATTTAGCTTTTGATGATTATGGTCACTAACACAATGTTGGCTTTAAATCTGGCCAGGGACATTTATTATGCGCCCCGAAAAATTTCGGGGAAGCATATAGTCGTCGGGTTGTCCGTCAGTCCGTCCCAAATTCGTGTCCGGCCAATAACTTTGTTATTTGAAGTCGGATTTTAAAATTATTTCACAGAAATGATCACCATATTGAGACAACATGTCGCGCGCAACATATGGTGCGCTACCTTGAAGGTCAAGGTCACAGCATGATCTTGCAGCAAAATCGTGTCCGGTCCATAACTTCATTATTTGAAGTCAGATTTTAAAACTATTTCACAGAAATGATCACCATATTGAGACGACGTGTCGCGCCCAACATTTGGCTCGCTACCTTGAAGGTCAAGGTCACAGCATGACCTTGCAGCAAAATCGTGTCCGGTCCATAACTTCATTATTTGAAGTCGGATTTTAAAAATATTTCATAGAAATTATCACCATATTGAGACAACGTGTCGCGTGCAATATTTGGTTCGCTTCCTTGAAGGTCAAGGTCACAGCATGACCTTGCAGCAAAATCGTGTCCGGCCCATAACTTCGTTATTTGAAGTCGGATTTTAAAAATATTTCACAGAAATGATCACCATATTAAGACGACGTGTCGCGCGCAACATTTTGGTCGCTACCTTGAAGGTCAAGGTCACAGCATGACCTTGCAGCAAAATCGTGTCCGGCCCATAACTTCGTTATTTGAAGTCGGATTTTAAAAATATTTCACAGAAATGATCATCATATTGAGATGACGTGTCATGCACAACATTTGGGTCGCTACCTTGAAGGTCAAGGTCACAGCATGACCTTGCAGCAAAATCGTGTCCGGCCCATAACTTCGTTATTTGAAGTCAGCTTTTAAAACTATTTCACAGATATGATCACCATATTGAGATGATGTGTCACGCGCAACATTTGGGTTGCTACCTTGAAGGTCAAGGTCACAGCATAATCATGCAGCAAAATCGTGTCCAGCACATAACTTCATTATTTGAAGTCGGATTTTACAACTATTTCACAGATATGATCACCATAATGAGACAATGTGTCGCGTGCAACATTTGGGTCGCTACCTTGAAGGTCAAGGTCATGGCATAACCTTGCAGCAAAATCGTGTCCAGCCCATAACTTTGTTACTTGAAGTTGGATTTATCAACTATTTCACAGAGATGATCACCATATTAAATCAACGTGTCACATGTAGCATTTGGGATGCTACCTTGAAGGTCAAGGTCACAGCATGACCTTGCAGCAAAATCATGTCCGGCCCATAACTTCGTTATTTGAAGTTGGATTTTACAACTATTTCACAAAAATGATCACCATATTGAGACAATGTGCTGTGCACAACATTTGGGTTATTTTTACACTTTGAACTTTGTCTGTGACATAACTCTGACACTACAAGAGGTATACTTTCCTGTGTCCAAAACCTATTCGGGGAGCATCACCCGATGATTCTAGGACACATGCCTCATATGTTTTGAAATGGTTGATATTTGCCCCCCCCCCTGCCCCCACCCCCCTGAAGAATTCTGAGACCCCCCTTCAACCCTCAGGTCTTAAAAAATTGAAATTGAGGAAAATTGCCATTGAAATATTCTTTTCAACTTTGTCCTGTTCTCTTTATTTTAATATTCTGCCAAGTAATAATTTTAAGCAGTTTCTTTAGTAGTCTTAAACTTGTGTCAGTTCTATTATATGCATTATGTTCGCCCTTTTAAATGTTTAGGGGAGTAAATGTCCGGCCATCCAAAACAGTGCAAGGGGGCAAATATCTTTAAAACTCTGTTGCATTTCTTGTCTTCATTATCTAGGTATGTGTGGTCACATGGTATAACACCGAGGAAGTCCGATATTGTACCACTAGCTGACGGTGGTCTAACTCTTCTACAGAGAGAATTGAGAACTTCATTTACCTTCAGAAAACTTACTGGAGTTAAACCTTCACAATTAATCAGGTACTTTATAAAAAATGATCATGCTATTTATAAGTGTTTCAAAGTAAAGAAACATACAGATAATTTAGGACAGTGGGAACATAACAGTATCACATGAAATGGTAGAAAATATGAGCCACATCATGACAAAACCAACAAAATGGGTTTGCGACCAGCATGGATCCAGACCAGCGCGGATGCGCAGGCTGGTCTGGATCCATGCTGGTTGCAAACGCACTATGTTGGTTTTGTCATGACACGGCTCTTTTGTTGGTCATTTTGTCACCTTAGTGCAGTAATGGGTTAACGTTTTTTAAATTTAACAGGAGTAGATCTGTCACTGCACTTATATGATAATTTGTTTATTTGAATTTTTTCTTTACTAGAAACAAAACATTTAACCTTATCATTGTGGCTAGCATATATAATGTATTGATATATTGATGAATGTATGCATGTATTCTAATTCAATTTTAAATGAGGGTCCATCCACCTTTTAAGGCACAAAAGCAGCTTTTGCTGTCAAGTATGGACCCTGGACATGTCACCAGCCCTTAAAGGGTTAATTTTGAAGCACTTAGTGGTGATAATTTACCTCCCTTTTCTGCAAAAGACTTTGTATTCTGTCATGGGAGGAAGCTTGCTATCGGAACATCTGTGGTTCTACTCAGGTGCCTGCCTAAGCCAGAAATAAAGTATGGATGTAAAGCTGGAAAATTGCCAGATGATTTTTACTGTTTTGATGGCAAAATAAGTTACCTGAGGAAGTGTTTGGGGTTCTATAGAGTCCAGATTTGGTGTTTTAAAGTTCTACATAATAACTCATGAAAAAAATAGAAATTTCAATTATAATGATATTTCAATGATATAATTGCGTGAAAACCAATGTTTACTTACTGAAGTCAGTGATTTGTAAATGTCTGTTTTTTTCAAGCAGTGATAAGCCAGATGTGCCGTGTAATAATTCTACTGCCTCAGAGCTGGAGAAAAAACATGTTTATCAGGTAACCCTTCATGTAAACTAGTAATAGTGTTATTCAGCTGATTTGTAATGGTATTGTTTCAAGCTTTCAGGAATTTGCCTGAAGTTCAGGTTTTAAGGTTTTCTCACAGATTGAACTGGCACCCAAAGCTTTTAACCAGCTTTGTACCAAAATACCATTATTAAATGTTTATTATACCTTATAAAATTGTATTTTAATTGTTTAACAACTTTTTATTTATGTTGTCTCATTACTGTGATCAGTAGGTGAAGTTTGTCATGGTATTGACCACTAAAAAGTTTTTCTTTCCAATAATTAGGGAAAGCTTTGACCTTCCTAAAATTTTGGTTTGGATGTTAGTCATCAACAGTAGGTGACCTGTATTGATTTTGAAGTCATTTTATCAAAGGTTAAAATCACAGTGTCACTGTGTATATTTAAAAAAAAATAACCTGAGAAGAAATAAAAGCCTAAGTTTATGAAACTTTGTTACAACATGACCTATAAGATTTAAGGTTATTCAAGTATTTCCTCATTTATGAAGGTTGTGAAGCTTGTTATTTATAATATATTATTCCATGTATATTTATATTACTTATTAAAGATAGATTAAGCCTCAGGAATAAATGAAAGGTTTCTTTGTATTTTCACATTTCTAGTTTTATTCATGTTATATAGGTATATGAAGAAATAGCAGATCATTTTAGTGGAACAAGACATACGCCTTGGCCTAATATTGCCGAGTTTCTCAAGAAACAATCTCCAGGTTCTCTACTTGTTGATGTTGGTTGTGGTAATGGGAAATATTTGGGAGTCAACAAAGACTTGTTTGAGGTAGATATGCATGATTTACATGTTTCTTAATGTGTAAATCTTTTTACTGATTTTGTGCCATAATACACAAGTACAAAGGATAAATACACCTTTGTTGAAAAATTTAATGTTTTTATATTCTCAATATAAGAAAAATTGATAGTTTCATTGTAGGAAGTTCACAACACAAATACAAATTCCATAATCTTGGTCAAGGGAAATAACTCGATTTGTAAATTAATTTCCTTGACTTATTATAAATTAAACATCTTTTGTGATACACTTTTATGAAAAAACATTGGACATACCCGATTCATTTCACAGCTGAATCTATATATGTTTCTGATGAAAACTAATTTAATAATGTAATGCAATTTACAGTAATTTTCTTTCTAACTACATTTTCAAAGAAAAAAAAGAGAGCTTTTGTCATGACTCTCTTGTATGCATGAGCATTGGTAAATCTATTGTCAAGGTCCATTTTCTCTAAAACTATAAACAACTATACTTGGTATACATGTATATTGTCATAAAAGGACACCATTTCAAAGGACAGATAATTTTAAAATTATTTTTTGCAAAGTTATGCCCCCTTCTGCTACTGTGTTTTTTTTTTTCACTATCCAGCATTGAGAAAAGTTGATTGCGCTGTCTGCGGACAGGTCTTGTTTTTGCATAATATCACCCAGCTAAAATACTAATTCCATAAATATATGAATGAAAACACAATAACAAAAGTAATTTCCTTATTCTAATTTTTATATAAACTTGATTTACAGCACCTAAATATCATATCTATGTATCATATCTATGTATCATATGTTGGACAATTTTTACTTAGATAGGATCAGACAGGAGCTACAACTTAGCTAGGATAGTTCGGGAGAGGAAGTTTCAAGTTTACGTCGGTGATATTTTATCTATACCACTGAGGGCAGAAGTGGCCGATGTGTGTATATGTATAGCTGTAATACATCATTTATCCACGCAGGTTGGTACAAAACTTTATGACAAAGAGGTTTAGTTTAAATAGAGGATATTGAATGAGTGTAGGTTTAATACTAAATTTATTGAACAAGTTAAATAAAACCATATTATTCGAGCCTGTGGCGAGCATGATATTGTTTTATTCAACGAGTTTAATAAATTTTGTGTTGAATCTACACAAATATAATATTCTATTTATCACATATATAAAATATGAATGGATTGGTAAACTGTAAAAAAGAGTCATTTTTCATTTGATGCGCCTATAGTGTATCACTAACATTAGCACGCTTTAATACAATATTTTAACAAAATGCAAGTGATGTCATGTCAATGTGTTATTACACTAGTGTAATATTGTTCTTATTAAATTGCTTTATTTCTCTCCTGTGTCGCGTTTTATGCGGTAAACATATTTATTTAAGCTTGATTGCCAAACAAGTTTTTGCAAATAATATTAATCACTTAGAGTCAGCTTCCTGGTACCAAACAGTACAAGTGTCATATGAAGAAACATGATTGTGGCCCGAGTAGGGATCAAAGCCATGATCCCTGGATTGAGAGGCAGACACATTAACCACTAGGCAACCGTTCCACTTAAGATGTTTAAATCACTTGTTCTTGTAGGAGATGTTGAATTATTTTACATGAAAAAAAAAGCTTTACAACAGATGTATTGTTTCACCCATGTGCTAACTTTATACATTCATGTTTGTTTGTACCAATATTGCTTGGAGAAATGAGTATGACATTTTACATTGTAACTCTTAATAACTAAAAATTAAAGAAATAGATAAATGATAATGCAAATCTATGAAAAAAGTAAATGCTGTCTTTTTAAAAACAAGTTGTTTTTGACAACAATCACTCAAGAGAAAATTTAAAATGGTGTTATTTAATAATAAAGTTTGCGTGTAAATTTTATATCTGTTCAAGAAACCAGTCTTAACTTCAATACTTATAAAGCTATTGAACATTGAAACATTATATGTGGATGCACTATGATGAGTTCTACCAGTCAGACCAGAAAATAAGTAATAGATTAAGAAAAAATTATTAGGTAATTATTACTGGTATTTGAGAGTCTCAGCCAGGAAGTGCTTTGTTAAGCCTTTGTTTTCCAGATTTATTATTTAACCATATTATTCCAAGACTCTTTTTTGGCTTATATTTTGACATGCATATATGTAATTTTTATATAATGCAGGAAAGAAGAAAGCGAGCAATATGTGAATTATTAAAGGTTCTTAGACCAGGTGGGCAGGCATTGATTTATGTGTGGGCAATGGAGCAAGAAATGAACAAAGTCAAGTCAAAATATTTAAAGGATAACAAGTCTAGCAATGCAAAATTTGATGTAGAAAACCAGTCTTGTGAAAATTCAAAAGGTGATATTGTAAACCACTCTCAAGAAAATTCAAAATGTGAGTCAGAAAACCAGTCTTGTGAAAATTCAAAGTGTGAGACAGAAAACCAGTCCTGTGAAAGTTCAAACTGTCATACTGAGAATCAGTCTCATCAAAGTAAAGAAAAAAATATGAATGAAAATATAGTTTCTGGTTGTAGTAACTTACAAAATAATATAAAGACTGGTAATATAAAGACTGATAATACAGACCTATCTTCTGATCTTAAGAAATTGGAAGTTCATGTGAACAGGACACAGTTTAAACAGCAAGATCTGTTAGTGCCATGGCAACTTAAAGGCAAGGAGAAAAAGTCTGAGTCTAGTGCAACATTCCATAGGTTTTATCATGTTTTTCAAAAGGGTGAATTGGAATCCTTATGTGAAAGTGTGAAGAATTGTTCAATTATTAAAAGTTACTATGACCAGGGTAATTGGGCGGTGATATTAGAAAAGATATAGCTGATTAATTATATCAAAATTAATATAAATAAAATATAAACCATTCTGTCTTTATGATTGTGTTGTTAAAGCTTATTTTTACCATTTTTAGCTCGACTATACGAAGTATATGGAGAGCTGTCCTACTCGCCCCGGCGTCCGCGTCCAGATTTTAGATTAAAGTTTTGGTGCAGTAAAATATTTTTCACTATAACTTTGTCATTTCTTAAGGTATCAACTTCAAACTTCAAATATATGTTCCTTATCATCAACCACATCTTATGTGACAAGGATCATAACTCTAGCACCAATATTTTGAGATTTATCTCCCCTTGAACTTAGAATTTTCCTCAAAAAATATTATTTCTTACTGTTTCTTTTTTATTTCTTAAGGGATCAACCTCATACTTCAAATATATTTACGTTATCATCATCCCCATCTTATGTGACAAGGTTCATAACTCTAGCACCAATATTTTCAGATTTATCTCCCTTTGAACTTAGAATTTTCCATAAAAAATATTATTTTTTACTGTTACTTATTTATTTCTAAAGGGATCAACTTCATACTTCAAATATATTTACGTTATCATCATCCACATCTTATGTGACAAGGTTCATAACTCTAGCACCAATATTGCAAGAATTATCTCTTCATAAACTTAGATTTTCTTACTAGAAAAATGTTATTTTTTATTATAACTTTTTATTTTTAAAGGTATCTACCTCAAACTTCAAATACTTATTCCTTATCATCAATTACATTTTATGTGACAATGTTCATAACTCTTGAAGCAATATTTACAGATTTATCTCTCTTTGAACTTAGGATTTTCTTTAAGAAATATAATAACTTCTTAACTTTTTAAGGTATCTACTTCAAACTTCAAATATATATTTCTTATCATTACACAAATGTTGTGTGACAAGGTCCATAACTCTAGCATGACTATTTCTAGAATTATTCCCCTTGATCTTGGAATTAATGTTAACAAATGTTATTTTTTTACTATAACTTAATACATAATTATACATAATGGATTTTTCTTTCATAGTTTTGTCCTCCTTACTGCGTCCAGTATTTTATAAGTCGAGCTTCGCTGTCTCCTGTGACAGCTCTTGTTCTAAAACATTGTGATTTTACTTGATGTGGTGGGACTATTCTTTTCTTAAACTTTTTACCTCATTAATGTGATGTGCAAAACCGATACAACAATTATCCTGGCTAAAGGTCATCCTTGAAGGTCAAATATCAGACCTATAATGTCAGTATATGAATCCTACACACTTTGAAGGATTTTCTTCATAACTTAGCTTGGCAGTGTGCAGAACCCATTCCACAGCTGTGCCATTTGAAGGTCATGTCATTATTGAAGATCAAAGGTTAAATATCAGACAATTTTGTGTCCAGTCTATAAACCATATACACCTTAGAAGGATGTTCTTCCAACTTGGTACAATTGTTTGTCAGAACCCATGCCACAGCTGTGCTGTTCCAAGGTTTTTCTTGAAGGCCAAATAAGACAATTTTTATATTTGAAGATCAGATATCAGACAGTATACTGTCAGCTCTCTATACCCCTAAAGGATTTTCTGTTTCACATACACCATTTGTGGGTATTAGTTACTTCTAGTAGCTTTTGTTTAAACCGCACATACATGTAGATTATACTTATATAGCTGGGTAGCTTCCCATTATAAATGATTCATTATTTCTCTGTAGAATTAAAATCCATGGAAAATCATTGGTCATAGAAACAATAGTTTTGACTTTCAATTCTGTCATCAAAGACAAAACTGTTTAGATCTTAGGCTTAAAAAAACTTGTGTCCTACAGACATAAAGCATGCAGTTGCACTTTTTGTGCTCCTTTATTATTGCAGGAAAGAGCTGATCCCTTACAGAACCACTGACCTATAAACAGTCAATTTGAGCAGTTTTGTTTTATAGAATACTTGTTGTTCAAAGCTAATCTGCAGGTACAAACTTTTACAGTTACAGCTTTGAAAATAAGCGCAATAGGTTGACCTATCAATTGTGACGGGTAGTGCACCGTGAAGCTATAATGGTAAGTTTGTTTGTTCCTATGGAATAGCTGGGGAAAACCCACATTTGCCAAGTTCAGGATAACATATTTCATGAAAAAATTCAAATTTCCTATCTTGAATTGAACCTAAAGCTTTGGAACATTTAACATTACTCTCCAAAAATTGTGTAAATCTACTTGTCCTGCATCATCAGTGACTATTATAAATATACTTCTGTGAAGTAAAATATATAAAACATGGCCTAGGTTTCTAATACTGTTGATATAAACAACACCTTTAATCAGCTTGCATTCAAAGAGTCATTAACACTGAACAAAAGATGACATTTCGGGCCTCAAAGGCCAAGTAGTTATATGGTTGCCGACTTAAATCACTTGCCCCCTCTCGACTTTGGGTTCAAATCCTAGGACTTTGGATTTATTTCATGTTTTTTTTCTATTCTGGTGACTGCTGGTACATGAAATAATTCATGGAGGGGCACACCAAGGTCTTCCTCCATCAGCAAAGCTGGAAAGTTGCCATATAACCTTTACAGTTTAAATCCAACAAACAAAATATAAAATGGTAATGATAAAAAAATCAAATTACATGTATTTTACTTTAATATTTATTTAGGTTTTACAAATAACAGCTAGAGATCAACAACTTTCACATCCGCATTTCAACAAAACATTATGATTAACATCATTTGAAACCCACCACATCAAAACAAAATTGCCATTTGTGTTGTTACAGTAACTACTGTTTTATTTTGTATAGAAAAAACAAGAGCCGGTTGAACCGGGTGATGCTCCCCGAATAGGTTTTGGACACAGGAAGGTATACCTCTTGTAGTGTCAGAGTTATGTCACAGACAAAGTTCAAAGTGTAAAAATAACCCAAATGTTGTGCACGACACATTGTCTCAATATGGTGATCATTTTTGTGAAATAGTTGTAAAATCCAAATTCAAATAACGAAGTTATGGGACGGAAATGATTTTGCTGCAAGGTCATGCTGTGACCTTGACCTTCAAGGTAGCAACCCAAATGTTGCATGCGTCACATGGATTAAATATGGTGATCATCTCTGTGAAATAGTTGCTAAATCCGACTTCAAGTAACGAAGTTATGTGCCGGACATGATTTTGCTGCAAGGTCATGCCTTGACCTTGACCTTCAAGGTGGCGACCCAAATGTTGCGCGCGACACATTTTCTCATTATGGTGATCATTTCTGTGAAATAGTTGTTAAATCCGACTTCAAATAATGAAGTTATGGGCCGGACACGATTTTGCTGCAAGGTCATGCTGTGACCTTGACCTTCAAGGTAGCATGCCAAATGTTGCGCGACAATTCGTCTCAATATGGTGATCATTTCTGTGAAATATTTTTAAAATTCGACTTCAAATAACGAAGTTATGGACCGGACACAATTTTGCTGCAAAGTCATGCTGTGACCTTGACCTTCACGGTAGCGAGCCAAATGTTGTGCGCGACACGTCGTCTCAATATGGTGATCATTTCTGTGAAATAGTTTTAAAATCCGACTTCAAATAACAAAGTTATGGGCCGGACACAATTTTGCTGCAAGGTCATGCTGTGACCTTGACCTTCAAGGAAGCGACCCAAATGTTGCGCGCGACTCATTTAGTCTTAATATGGTGATCATTTCTGTGAAATATTTTTAAAATCCGACTTCAAATAATGAAGTTATGGACCGGACATGATTTTGCTGCAAGGCCATGCTGTGACCTTGACCTTCAAGGTAGCGAGCCAAATGTTGCGCGCGACACGTCGTCTCAATATGGTGATCATTTCTGTGAAATAGTTTTATAATCCGACTTCAAATAACAAAGTTATGGGCCGGACACGAATTTGGGACATACGTACGGACCTTGTGGGTCAAGATCATTTATAAGTCATGGTCTAGTTCAGTCTGATCATTATCAGAGTCTTGTTCAAAGGGTTGTTCACTGTTATAGCTACTGAGTTGCAAGCTTTTATGATTATTGACTGTAAATTATATAAGTTTGTTGTGTTAATGTGATAAAAATGTAGGTAACAAAATAACAAGAGCTGTCCGTAAGACAGCGCGCTCGACTTTTTTAGTGCTTGCCTATAATACAAAACATTGACAGTTAAGGGCCATAATTCAAATAAAATCTTTGACAGAATTACCTTCTCCTGGACATGTTTGGGAATCATGATTGTAAACAAGTATTCCAACTTTCAAATTAATATCTCAAACAGTTCAGTCAAAAAGTGGACTGGTACTAAAAACTTAACCAAGATTCTAAGTCGATAAAAGGCCTTAATTTTTAAAACAAATCCTTGACAGAGTTACCTTCTCTTGCGTACAGATGGGGGTAATGATGTGAAATAGCATTCAAAGTTTCAAAGCAATATCTCAAAGGGTTAAGGCAATAAGTGGATTTTACCCATATTCAATGTATTTTCTAAGTCAAAAAGGGGCATAATTCTGTCAAAAACCTTGACAGAGTTATGTCCTCTTGTCTGTTGATGAAGGTCGTGATGGTAAACAAGTATGGTCAGTTTCAAAGCAATACCTCCAATGGTTTTGAAATAAAGTGAGGTGGTACAAAAAACTTAACCAAGCTCAATACACTTTCTAAGTCAAAAAAGGGCCATAATTATGTCAAAAACCTTGACAGAGTTATGTACTCTTGTCTGTAGATGGAGGTTATGATGGTGAACAAGTATGGTAAGTTTCAAAGCCATACTTGTAATACTTCTGAAATAAAGTGGGGTGGTACGAAAAACTTAACCAAGGTGTGACGCCAACGCTAACGCCGACGCCGACGCCGGGGCGAGTAGGATAGCTCCCCTTTTCATAGAAAAGTCGAGCTAAAAATGGATATAGTTTGTTTTTCTAAATGTCTCATACCGTACCATTTTGCCTTATTTGAAAATAAAATACAGGCACACAATTTTCGCTGCTAAAAAATTAGATCAAAAAAAAATTTGCCAGTTAGCTTGCCCTGTTTCCGGTTATAAATTGTTGGTCCACTAATATATTTACTGGGCCACTAAAATTTTACAGTCAGTGGTCCAGGTGGCCACCAAGCTTAAATGGTTAGTTTTTATCAATGTTGTTGTATTTTAGTATGAAGACAATCCATTAAGAAAAAACAAGAGCTGTCGCGAAAAGGTTTCTTAAGCATGCAGGTATTATGAAAAGAAAAGAGAATGAAAGTAACTAATTTATTATTGTATCTGTAATATAATAATCTCTAATTGTGTTCGCATGAACCTTCAAAATACAAGTGTGACCTTGACCTTTGAAGAAGTGACGTGGTTCCTGGACGAGACAAAATGTTGTTATGAGATAGACATTTGTGCCAAATTATTTCATAATCCCTCAATGCATCACAAAGTTACAGTCTGGACACGATTGTTGTGTGAGTGGGGACAAATGGACATGAGCTTAAGCCGCGACACATTGTCTTGATGTGGTAGACATTTGTGCCAAGTTAATTTAAAATCCTTCAATGCATGACAAAGTGCATTCAAGACATGAATGTGTATCTTCAAAATCTTCTAGAGAGAAAGAGTACCTTCAAACTACAAGTGTGACCTTGATCTTGAAGTTAGGGACATGGGTCTTTGTCGCGACATGTCGTCTGATGTGGTAGACATTTATGCCTAGTTATTTCAAAATCCTTTAATGCATGACAAAGTTACAGCCCGGACAAGAATGTGTGTACCTATAAACTCTAATTGTGATAAAGTGAACTTCAAAATGGTAGTGTGACCTTGACCTTCGAGGTAGGAAATTGATTATTGGACGCGACACATCCTCTTGATGTCGTAGACATTTATGCCTAGTTATTTTAAAATCATTTGATGCATGACAAAGTTACAGTCTGGACACGAATATGTGTACCTATTTACTCTAATTCCGATAATGTGAAACTTCAAAATGATAGTCTGACCTTGACCTTTGAGGTAGGGACGTGGTTCTTTTACGCGACACATCATCTTGATGTGGTAGACATTAGTGCCAAGTTATTTTAAAATCACTCAATGTATGACAAAGTTACCGTCCAGACACTAATGAAGTGGGACAGACAGATGGACAGACAGACGATGCGATTATATTTTGCCTCCCTTCAAGCGCATAAAAATTATGAACAATTTTGGAGTTTGTGGGCGGCAATGGGTACAGGCATGGCCGGACAACATAACTGTAGCAATAGCTCAAACATTTTCATTGAAAATGTGGAGCTAAAAATTGCCCTATATAGATTCTTATAAAAATATACATAAAATAATTATGTAAAAAGCAATACGTTTAAGTCAAGTAGTTCAGTAAATAATATAAAATCAATTATGAAGCAGATTTTAAAACTATGCTGCCTGCCATTCAATTAACATTCATTACTAAAAATGCCAGCATTATGAAATGAAAAAAAACGTATAACAATGGAAACTTAAAAATTTAAATTGCTGTAAAAGCAATTTTTCATTGAATTATCATATATACATGTATATTGCTGCCATAAAAAACAATGTATATAAAATTAGATGTATAAGCATGCAGATTAACATCCTTAAATTATCAGTACAGTACACCCAACATACATGTACATTGTACATGTGAACATGAAAAAAAATTTAAACAAGAGCACTGCATGCCATGTTTATGCTCATCTGTTAAAGGGATACTCAGGCAAAATAATGACAAAAATATTAAAATGATCTTATGTATTCAAATCACACTAAAATTACTTTTTTCTAAAGTCCCAACATAAATTTCGGTATAAATTATATATATTTTTGGTTTGAAGTGTAAATATATCTATATATGTTAAACGAAATTTAGACGCCAACAGAGTCACCGAAAAGTTTTAAAACAAGTCATGTGACTTGAACAAACCCTGGAAAATACAATAACAGATATTGTGGATATTGTATGATTGAAACAAGTCTAAGTCATACATTTAACATGCTCTTTAACGTTTCCAGAGTTCACTGTTGCAACTAATGTGAAATCTTAGTGCTCTAACCTGACCCACGCGGGTCAAGTTAGGAAAACACCATTTTATTCTTTATATTTAGAAAAGTTTTGTTCCTTTGACTGTCTAGTGTACTAATTTTGAGGACATTTACAGAATAATGAATGAAACATTCAAAACTAAGAAATGAAAATTTTGCCTGTGTCTCCCTTTAAGGCAACAACTATCCATAACAAATTCTGACAAAACTATGTAAAAAAGGGACATAACTAAAAAATACAGCTTTCATAATTATGACCCTTTTCTAATGACCGCACCTTGTCAAGATATGCAATTCTTCCATGTTTCAAGTTGATAAATTAAAATAATTTAATGGGTCACATTAAGTTTTTTTTCAAGACAACAACTACAAGTAACAACATCATAAAAATTCAAATCTTTCTTCCAAACAGATGAGCTTTGTAAGAAAAATTTCATTAAGCCATTTTAACATGATTTTTTATTATAAAACATCCTAGCATTATTGCATTTACATGTGTGATTAAATGAGCACCGGATTGTCATTGAACATTTTCTGAGACAGTTTTTTATTCATTTTTGGTTTAATGCTTAAATAAACTTTAATCACATACAACAAAGGGCATTTTCCATGTTTTAAGAAGGTCCAAGATACATTTGAGCAGACTGATTTAAGACAGTCATTTTGGCTTCTAGCGTCCTCCAAATGACTACCCTGCAATCATGTATTTAATAAACTAAATTAATTCCCACTCCTAATTTTATAATTCATAACATAATTGTTAAGTTAACAAACAATGCCAACAATAACAAAAAAACAACAAGAAAATAAGAAATTTGGCATCAAAGTTAAGAAACATTACTGATTCTGTGTGGACTGATGAAACTGAGATACATTTCCTGGGCTTTGGTATGACGGGTAACCAACAAAGCCCCAGATACTTGCAATGGCTTGACTCAAAGAGGAGTCTGAGGAGACCGGGGTATTGGGTGCTGGTTGACCAACAGTAAGGCCTTCTGATACAGGGGTTAAAGGCACTATTGTGGCATTTTGCATCATATTTGTATTTTGTCCTTGATTTACTTGCACTGGCTGTTGAACAGGAGTTTCTTCACCATTTTCAAGCTTGTCACAAGCTTGATTTGGCATTTTTGTAGCTACGAAAGTCATTGTAGAAAAGTCAATCACTTGATTAAATCCATTGCTAAGTGGTGCAGGGGATGCTTCACCTACATTCTGATTTTGAGATAGTTCCTGATTGTTTTGTGAAGCTGCAATTGCATATAAAGTTCCCGGTTGAAGAGTCTGAAATGTTTGGTAATTCTGTGTACCATTAGCGACGCTACCGTTTAATGTCTGTCCTTGAACGCCATTGAATACATTAATATAATTTGGATCTTGCAGTATGTTGTTTTGAACAGGGTTTAACACAATAAGACTTGGTTCTTGCTGGCATATTTCTGTAGGTTCTTGCAAAACTGGAGTTTTAACTTGTACCTGTTTTGGCGAAACTTTTTGGCTGGTTTTCTTTGATGGAGATGGTTTTTTCGATGGATTGGACTTGTATACTCTATTCTGTCCAGTCCCACCAAACACATAGTAATCACTTTTCTTCTTTACAGAAGATTGAATATCTTCCCGCCAGTTTGTTTCATTTTTCTGATGCAAAGATATCATATGTCTTCTAATTGTTGATGTATCACCGAAAGATTTATTGCAGAGTTGGCATGTGTAAGGCCGTACACCTGAATGTATTCTCTCATGTCGCTCCATTGCCTGCTTTTGGGCAAAGCCTCGCCCACATACAGGACATATGTGGTCCTTTACAGTTTTATGTGTTTTTAAATGAATGTGAAGGGTGGTTCTTTGTCGAAATGCTTTATCACAAAAAACGCAAGTGAATCGTCGTATATTGTCATGCATGAATTTGTGCTCTTTTAATGACTTGTGATAAACAAAAGCTTTTTCACAGATGTCACATTTATATGGTTTAATTCCATTGTGTGCATTGCAGTGTTGTTTATATGAACTCCTTTGACTAAATTTTTTCCCACATATTTGACAAAGATATACTTTCTTTTGACCCAAGTGCACTGACTTCATATGTAGAGCAAGAGAATATTTGGTGGTCAAAGATTTAAAACAATGTTCACATTTATAAATAGGTTTTACATATCCTGATTCATGGGTTTTAAGATGACTGTCAAAAATTTGCTTATTTTTGTAAACTTTTGAGCACTGATCACAAAAAAAATAGGAGCCACTGTGTATATTTTCTTGATGTTTCAAAAGGTCTTTTGTGTAACCAAATTTCTTGTCACACTTGTCACATGCAAATTCTTTTCGATGACTCCGCTGAATGTGAGAATTCAGTCTCACCTTTATTGGTGTAACATAGTTACATTCTAGACAATGAAATTGTTCGGATTCTGAATTTTGCTTTGCCTTGACATTTCTAATGCCTGGTTCTTTGATTTTCTCTTTGACTACAATACCTGGACATTTGTGCCTATTTAAATCTGTCGGATATCCGAATCGTTTTTCACAAACATTACACTGATACTCTCTTATATGAATGCGTCTCATGTGTTCAAGGTAACGTTTTCTTGACTTCAAAGTAACATTACATTCCTTACAATTATGACTTTGGTCACCATCGTTTCTTTTAGCTCTACTCCAATAACCTTTATCCCCTGGTTTTTTTGTAGCAGTTTTCTCTTTTGCAACCTTTTGACCATTTTCTTCAGTTTTTACGACAGATTTGGTGATGTGATTTTTAATGTGTTTATTTCTATTATTAAATGATTTTGATGTGGTCACAGCATTAGAATTGTTTGGTGACAAAGAATCCAACTGGTCTAAGTCTTCAACATTTTCAGACTTAATATAAATCTTCTGCACTTTACTATCACCAGTCGTCTGACTATTTAATGGTGATATGCTGCCTTTTTTAACTGACTCGGAAGAATTGATTTTGGGTTTAGCTTTTGATTTAACAGCATTGCTCTGTTCTGTATCTTTCTTGTGCTGAATTAATATTTTGCGCTTTAAAGTTTTGTGATCTGGTGTACTTTTCTCATTGTTTGGCACAATCCTCTTCTGGTCTTTTCTTTTGAACTTCAATTTATCTCTGAGACTGGAATACTCCTTTTCTAAAGTTTCAATAGTTTTTTCTATCAAAGCATTGTCAGATTCACAACCGTCTGTATGAAAATCATTCCATCTACTTTCACTTTCACTTTGGACATGTTTCAATTTATATTTCTGAAAGAAATCATTGAAAGTATCACAGTTACAAATTTGAGCAATTTTATCATCCAAGACATTCTCAAAGTCAGGCTCGTGATCTGGAATCTGTTGCCAGTGGGTTAAAATCTCAAAAGCTGCATTAACACGCTCCCAGTCACCGGTCACTGCATACGATTTGTTTGCCTTACTAAACTGTATACCTGTAACCAGCCTAAGCTTCGTGAGTTTGGACTGCAGGATTTCCTTCGAACACGATTTTACGAATTCCTCTGTCAAAAGAACCGTTGTATTTGTAAATAAATCGTTCATTTTTAAAAAGGAAATACGCTAACATAATGTTAGGTCCAATATAACGCTGATCTTGCCAAAATTTCCATTATTTTGGCCAGCAAACAAGCGGATAAAATCGACCGGAAGTGAAATTGAACATTTCCATTAAAGAGCATAAATAAGGGAGGTAACTCTTTCACTCTTTATATTCATCGAGGCCCTGGAAGAGCTCCAGATAGGCTTATAGGGTTTCCATTGTAAACATAATGTACCCATAGACACTTTGGGTGTGGAGCTTAAAACGCCTTTAAAATCCAAATAAAAGGTATATTTGTCAATCCGAGCACATGTACTGATCATATATATCAAAAAACTTAATATAAGCCGTTTTGAAAAAAAAACATACATGTATTTCAACGTCTATAATAATACATTTATAGACAATACTTAGTATATTACAATATTTACAATTATAGACGTTGAAATATGAATTTTTTTTCAAAACGGCTTATATTAAGTTTTTTATATACATGATATATGATCAGTACTGTACATGTGCTGGGATTGACAAATGTACAGGGTCTCAAGAGTCAAGAGTGCTTTCAGTGGGGTTCATTGAACTATCGAATGTTTTCAAGAACAGTACATACAGTATACCTAAATTTTCGTTTTAAACGATTTTCTTTTTAAACATAATTTAAAAGACTAGCAGTTGTATTGTGTAACATAAATTTCAACTGGGAAATAGCATTTTTATACGCCCTTTAGTACATTTAAGTGTCTGAAATAAAAAAGAACCGTACGTAAATCAACACTTTTTACATAACATTTTTCGTTGTATTATGCTCTTTTACTTTTCATTAAATTAAATAAAAATAACCTGATGGTGTATATATCTAATTGAATTTTTTGAGATGTGAACACACATATAATCTGTAAGATGTCTTCAAAATAGGAGAATTGAAGCGTCTGGGGTGAATTGCATGGGGCATGGTGTTGGCAGTTTTCACTCTGGATCACGGCAGTTAGCCACATATTGAATTTGCCAGAGTACAGTCCAGCATTGGACAGGCTGTCAAGCAGTTTACATATGCTCATCAGAATTGGTGGATTAAAAGATATATATAAGTTACTTTCTCAAGGAATTGAAACGTCTGTGCATGCCAGAGCAGAGATACTATGCGAATGACCGTAGAAAAGGTATCAAGATCAATCACAACGAAAGTGATCTGCACCGTCCCGGAATTGAACCCAGGTCGCCCAATTCACAGCCCAACGCTCTACCTATTGAGCTAACCGGACGGCTTAATTAACTTGCATTAATGATGAGAAATCATTTTATATAGCCACGCTTAATGCAGACCTGCATGTGGCCGATGTATTCGCCTCTAAAGTAGTTCCTTGAAAGAAAATTAGTTGGTAGGAGTAAACGAATTAATTGGAAAAATATTTGTGAATGTTATTTTCCTTGTCAAAATATATAAATTAAAACAAAAAATTAAATAAATCACGGAAAATAAATAAATAAATAAATAAATAAATAAATAAATAAATAAATAAATAAATAAATAAATAAATAAATAAAGGAAGGATGATGGCAGATATAAATCCGCTATTATTTCCAAAATGTTCACCGACCACTGCTATATTAAGCCTCTGTTAATTACTATGTAAGGACTACGGTCTTATCATAACTCTTTAAATTACAATGTAATTAGTTAGATAGTATTCTAGATTACTTCATATTACACATGCATATTCACCAAGGCTCATATAATTGGTTTAAACATATTTATTGAAGCTCGATTGCGAAACAAGTTCTTGCAACTTATATCAATCACTTTCGAGATGTGACCATATATAATTAAGGTCAAATATCAATTTTAGCAACAATTTCACGTTAGATTTTAGTAAACTAACATAAAAAACTATTGTTGTCTTAATCATAAAGTCGTCAATTTTCTCTGATCGCGCTTTCTCTAGCGTGAGCGGCTGCAAAGTTTCCATGACGGGCACATTTTGAAGGTAAAGCTTTTTCCTTTTATACGCCTTTACAGTGGAGGGTACCTACATCTATGTTGCGCATACTACGGTGCTAAACGGAGCTGGTGTTTTTGACAGTGTTTCTCACTCAGGCGACATGTGACTTCACACTACACACCATTCAATGCAATTAGTATTTGTAAACATGTGGCCATTTGTGTATAATGTTGCGTAACTATTGTAGCTTTGCCTATGGTAAATTTGTCTTATTTACCTCTCTTTGACTGTCAATCATTACCATTTACGTATAAATTGGGAAGATTACGCTATATTTATAGTATATTATTAGTTATAAAGATCGTTGACCGGTTATATGGCCCTATATAAACGGCTGTTTGTAAATATAACCCGAGCCGTTGGGCGAGGGTTATATTGTAAACAGCCGTCTATATACGGCCATATAACCTGTCAACAAGATTTCTTTATAACGAATTTATAATACAGCAAGCATCATTTTTAGAGAAATCAAGTAAGATTTCTTCATGGATCGATAGCAGCCGTGTATATAAAACTATATAAACGTCACGATTATCCAATGAAAAATGACGTTACAAACGTGCAGTATTATAATATTTGTAACGTCGCTTTTCATTGGATAATCGTGACGTTTATATAGTTTTATATACACGGCTGCTGTCGTTTTATGAAGAAATATTGCTTTAATCCTCTAAAAATGATGCTTGCTGTATTATAAATTCGTTATAAAGATTTTTGACACGTTATATGGTCCTATATAAACGGTTGTTTGTAAATATAAACCGAGCCGCTAGGCGAGGTTTATATTGCAAACAACCGTTTATATACGGCCATATAACCTGTCAGAAATATTCATAACGAATTTATAATACAGCAAGCATCATTTTTAGAGGATTAAAGCGAGATTTCTTCATAAAACGACAGCAGCCGTGTATATAAAACTATATAAACGTCACGATTATCCAATGAAAAGCGACGTTACAAACGTGCAGTATTATAAGTTCAATATGACGGGCTTTTGTTTAATGGTTATTCTGTCAGATCCAAAATTTCAGACGTATCTAAAGTAGCCGAGTCTTTGCCAGCCGAGCTATCAGATCAGAAATATATTTTATTATTTATAAATCTGGACTCGTTAATGATGATTTAGTCAATGTCCTTGTTGTGATACCCAAACCATCAAAATCGACAAAAAGAGAGGCAGGCAAAGCTAGAGTTCTTACAAGTGAAGAGGTTCAGCGTGAAAGAGAGGAAAAGGAGGAAAAGTATTAGATTATAACGGGGTAGTAAGCCTATATACAAGTATTTCCCTGATGTTTCGTACTTTTAAATATTATGCTACACAGTTTATGCATTATCTTCATTTTTAATAATTTACAAATACAACCGTTAAATCATCTTTTATCAAACACTTTAACAATGACCTGTACTTTTCGTTAATCGAATGCAGCAGTCTTAAACTGCCGCATGGACTTTTCCAACGAATCAGATGAAACGAGGTAAAGTGACCCCACATTATTATGGTCCCCTGTCATTCCCCCTTCCCCCGAAAAATTGTAACCTCTCTTTAAAGTAATGAACCCCGGTCTTTAGCTGTTTTTTAAAGAAAAAAATACCCTTTTCATAATAATATGGTCCCTTTACGAAAATGTAACGTCACAATTTATCGAAAATAAAATAGGTTATGATTGCATGAAAAAGCTCACTTCTTGTATTTTAATAAAATATGACCTTGATTTACAGCAATTGCATTATTTGCATCGAGTTTCGGGGATAACGTGTCAAAATTATGATGTGCTAGGGTAATCTATGGGTAATAATATTTTAATTTAATGTAATTGATATAAGACCATTTTGGTTGTTATGTACACCTATTTATTTCTGTTCCTTTTTTTGCAGTTTCAAGGGAAAAAAACAAGTTGAACCTCAAAACAAGTTTTTACATGATTATTTGACACAGTGTCTTCGTAGAAGAAAATAATCAGGATCCAGTGGTGGACGTTTAGTATACCAGAAATATTCACATGGAGGAGTATATATCCAAACTTTTAAGTTAGTTTTGAAAGAATAAAGAAAAAAAATTACTTACTTTCTTTAAAAGTGAATATTTATTGTTTTGTGTGTTACACTTAATTTTGACAGAAAGGAATATTTTTCCTCACTTATCCGATTTTATTACCGATGAAATCAACTGCAAAAGAAAGGTTTATTTTCCATGATTTCCATTTTCTATGAGTTATTTAAAAGAAAACCTTTTTAAGCATGTTGTAAATATGAATACTTTAATTGACATATATTGTAATAGTTAACGTATACTGTAGACCATTAAATGAAAATGATTTGTTGACTGTTGTTTGTTATTACTATATAGTATTTTGGATTACACAATGTGTATAATTGTATTAACTGAAAGAGGTCTGATAAATGTTGAACTTCAATTTTGAAAAGACATGTAGCTCTTATTTTTTTTAATTTTAATAGTTTATATACAATTTATAAATATCAAACTTTATTTCATTATCACTATAAATGATTAAAAGTGAGTCATTTTTGTGATGTTATACAAATGTGTTGGAAATTTATATTTACTGTACATTAAGTTTTACATGAATAGGTAAATCAGAAACTGTGTTATACATTTTGTTTAATTGTTTTTATGATCACTGTCTTTAAATAATAAAATCACTTTTTGAGTATAGAAAGTTTTGTGTTTTCTCTTTATTTGGGAATTATTTAATGAAAACGGGTCAAATTTATGTTTGGAATTGGTTGGAATTACGTTGGAAACTAGTTGGTATTACGTAAGTAACTGGTTAGAATCATGTTGAAAACTGGTTGGATTCACGTTGGGAATAGGTTGGAAAGTAGTTGTATATACCATGTATACGTTGAATAGAGGTTGGATTTATCACACATCCGTGCCGATTTTGCGACTCCGTAAATATGGTATTGCACGGCCGTGCATATATTTTGACGTGACGTCATTAGCGTTATACAAACATAGTGTAAAAGACGCGCTAAATGTTAGCGTTATACTACAGGCGCGTCAATGAAAAATGTGTCTTATTTCACTTTAAACGGACTTTATTTTGGGTATGTGATAAATAGAATATTAAATTTGTGTAAATTCAATACTGAATTTATTGCACTCGTTGAATAAAACAATATTATGCTCGCCAGAGGCTCGCATAATATAATTTTATTCAACTCGTGCAATAAATTCAGTATTGAATTTACACTCATTCAATATCCTCTATTTATGTCATTTTATGACGTTGGATTGACGTCGGATTCTGATGTCTAAAAAACTTTCATATACAACTAAATTCCAATGTCTATCCTACGTCGGACTCTAACGTCTGAGCAACGTTGAAACAACGTCATGTGTTTGCTGGGTAGTGATTACATACAACAAGGGTACTAAGTCGTTCACGGTAATGCTATAAAATGCTGTGAGTGTAAAATAGAAGCTTCTGTATACTTCAAAAGTTAGCAACTGTTCTGTTGAAAGTTAAAAAAATATAAAAAGAGACCTACTGTCCTTTTGAAAGTAAACATAACCTAATGTCCTGTTGGTAGCATTCGTCATGCCCCATATATCACAAATGCAACTCAAAAGAATAGATAAAAGTCAATTGGAGTCATCCACGTGTCATGACCAACCTCCACACCAAATCTTAGGAAGGTGGATTAAAGTATTCTCAAGTACTTTGCCAGACAAACTAGAAGTGGTTAAGGCTACATGGCCTTTTGAAAAACTGACTCCAAAGTAAGAAAAGATGATCAACTAGTGATGACTAAACTTTACACCAAATTTTAGATCCCTATGTCAAAGCATTCATTACTCATGGATCAGATATGTTTTTTATATGTGGGCAATACCAAAGTGATTCTAATTTGAACAATCTTGGAAGAGACTCACTGGATGTTTTATGCTCTAGCCAATGAGATCTTGGAAAAGTAGCTTTAATGTATAAAGAAATTCAATGTTAATGATAACACAGAAATTTTCAACCACACACCCGTGCCATTTCAATGAAATTAAGAAATGTCGAAAAAGATAAAGGAAACAGTTTAACGCTGGATATATTTCAGGTGGAATAATGAATGCAAACAAACATTTTCAAATGATATATCTGGAAATATTGGAAATTTTTAACGTTCTTCTATTAACGTAAATGATAAAAGTACATCTTAAGCAAAATAATAACTGATAATGCCGATAAAACCTTCAATGAACAAATGGCACATTCGTTGATAGAGGCAATGGCAGGCATAGTATATTGAAAAGAAATTTATGTAAAAGACGGCATCTAAAATTATTTGATACATAGAAATGCAGATTCACTTAAAGTGTATAAAGCTATATATCTGAAGCAAAAAGTTATTGTTTGGATTTTAAAAAAGAATACTTCCAAACTGTTTGTATGAAATAAAAATGGCAATAAATTGCATTAAAGCGAGTGGCGCATGCAAAAAGTAATTGCTAAACGGATAAAACAATAGTTAAAATAGCAAAATGATATTTTGTTCCAGAACATTTTATTCTGTTTACTTACATTATTCATGTGTATTAAATAACAGAGACATTCTATGTTACAACTTTTTCGGGAATCTATAAAGGTTTGTTTTTGCCAAACTTGACTAGTATGTTCACAAAAACAGGACAATTTGCGTAACCATAAGCCACCACTGTGCTAGCTCAAAATCAAGGTCACATAGATAGATGTATGAAGAGTGAATGTCACCTCAACAAAGAAACGTGCAAAACCCGATAACTGTGATACGTGGACTTGAGTCACATTGTCACGTCAGTCATTTGTTCCGTCTGTACGTCTCCAGCGTGTCTGTGATATAAATCATACAACACAAGTATTGGGTATTTGATTATACTAAACCCATAATTAATATTTTCAACTTGAGAATAAGAATAAGATGATATATTCTTATTATTGTGTATCAACCATTTCCTCATACATCTTTACAAATATCAAATAAATTCTGACTTCTTTCGTTACTACTTAAGGTATTAGGACCCTAATGGGCACTATCAGGAACTAAAAAATTGACATCATAGGTCAGATGTATACCTTAAAGTACACCTGTATACAAAATTTAAACAAAGTCTACCGTACAGAAATCAAGTTATGGCCAATTTTCTGAACTCAAGTTAGGATGTTATGAGGGCTCTTTTTAGAAATGAGGAACCTTTAAATAATCAGTCTGCAATAACATTCTAATGAAAAATGTTTTCCCATTAATTTTTGGTAAGAAACAAATAGTACCATTCAGCTAACAATCCACATAAGCAAAATTATGGTTTCTACTAAAAATTTATGAAATCTGTATAAAAATGTTACCCTACCCCACCCATTTTTACCACGTGTCTGACCATTTTTCTACTTAGGGAGCCTAATTTAAAAAATTCTTGAAATTTACCCAAATGAGTGCCTGTTTTCAAAGTTTCCCTAAATTTTTAAAAAAGTATATTGGTTGATCTTGTAAAATATGAAATACTTTTACCGTCTAGTTTTGATTATATTACACTTTGAAAATATCAGGTACCATATTTATTACTAGATTTAGCATAATTTAGCCAATAAATACCTATATAAATTAAAAAATCAAAATTAAACACTTTTTTCTTTCCAAATGGGATATGAGAGATACATAAATAATGTTAAAAGAAAAAAAGAAAGAAAAAAAAAAGTTGACCCTTCTGGGGATTGAACCCATGGCCCTCATTTTCAATGTAGTTAACAGTAGTTCTAGCCTATTTGAATACTCTTCAAAGCGGAGGTAATGCATTAGGGTGCTAATACCTTAAGCTTACATTTCGGTCTTGACTTTGTACATATATAACTATATAATCTAGTTTAGACAAAAAATATATAGAATCTAACTAAAATATAATTTTAAAGCACTTCAGATCGTTGAGAAGACTGTGAACTTCTTGAGTTAAAAGAGTAAGTGGTTGACCTATGAAGCCGATAACCATTACAGCATAAACAGTTGACAAAATCTGCCCGAAACTTGGAACCACACAGTATGTAAAGAACAAAGTTAACAGCGTTGTTTGTGTACATAAATAAATGCATAGCAGCTCCAAGAAGCATAAGTCTTGCATACCGCCGTGACGTCATAGTTTCCATTGGGAACCAGTACGGCTGTCCAATCGCAAAAATCGTGAAAGGAGAAACACATACAATAAAAGCCAAACTGAGAATAATCGCTACTTTTGTAAAGTATGAAACAGTTCTCGGCATTGAATCAGACTCGCTTCTCCTTGATCTGTTTCCAGTTTTGCGTTTGAATACACTTGATTTCCGAAAGTGGCGGCTATTTTTTATTTTCCTTAGAACAATGATGTTTCCACTAAGTAAGACGCAAAATGGAATTGCAAATGCAAAAGCGAAATCAATCCATGGCCAGATTTTGAACATGAAATGCTCATGATGCTTCATAGCTTGACAGCTTGTTTTGTTGAATACTTCATGATAATCTAGTGTAAATCCATAAAGAAGATGACTGTTTAAACAGGATAGGCATACAACACACAGCAATAATAAAATCAAAACATTTCTTCTCGTAAATATACGCCTGACCTTATGAAGGTATAGTACGCTACAGATACGTTCAGCCGTTAAAATAACTAAAATCCAAGGTGACAGCTGCAGTAAAACGTAAGTCAAATACACATGTACTTTACATGTTACGCTTGAAGAGCTCCGAATGTCTACTTCAAATACAGACTGCAACCATTTCACAAACACAACGAAGACAAGTATAAGACTGTCAGTAAAAGTAAGAAATATCAACATTACACCAGTTGAAGTCTTCCTGTGTTTCACCTGTGCTAGAATTATCAAAGAAGCAATGTTTCCGGTCAATCCAAAGATGATTAAAATTGGAGGATATATAACTTTTATATTTTGAGCCACTCGATAGTCCTGATAGTCCTCCAAATCCATGGTGTTTAACATGTGCTTAACCTTCGTATAACAATAATATCTAAGTAATCCGTTACATTGTATTATATCTATATTTTACAGGGTTATTTTTGCTATACAGGAGCAATCATTATCAAACAATACGTAATACATTAAAACTGCTCGTTCATAGGCCAAAATATGGTCAATACTTCAACATACTTAACAGTCATTAAAGTTTCACAAAGTGCACTCATAATATTGCGTATTTCCGAACTCATAAGTACTTTTAGGCATCCTGTTTTAATCTTATTCCTAATATTAATTAGTATTTACAGCTTTATAATATTTCCGGACCCCTTTAAAATTAACTTCTGTTTAAAATTATGATATTCGGTAAAAGTGTAAAGTGATGAATTTTGCATGCGTACATAATTACATGTTATTCATTACACGAAAAGGGACAGGTTTAAGAAAATATTCATCTTTGCTACTCTTTGAAGCTACATTAATAACTATCAATGCATTTCATCTTTTTTCCTTTCAAAATAGATTTGTAAAATATAATCTTTTACTGAAACGATTAGGAATGAACAGGTCTTTGACAAAATATTGCCTCGAAATATCGCAATATCTTGCTAATAACTTCTCTTCCTATTAAGTTGACTGATCCATAAGACACATTTCGTCATTCCTTTGATAGATCTGAAGATTAAAAGCAAGAACAATAAACAAACAAACAAAATTGACGAGAAGACGGAAAACCGTACATATTTTATCATTACATTAACCTGTTAACATTCTGAGGATATAATTCAAAATTGAGTTTGACTAGAGGGCCAGACTTCAGTTGCATATTCTTGTTGTGGTCGAACAAGGGTCTTAATACCATGATCATAAGAAGTTCTGAGTTTACCTTTATATTACAGCGTAAGGACCAAGGGTTTGGTTTGTCTTTTTTGGTTGACGTGCTTAAGTGTGTACGCTAAGTGTGCAAAATGAAACAATATGAGGTGGTAGGATGTTCCAGTGTGTGAATGTTTATGTGCTCGTCCATAACAGATCATTTGATATATCCATGGCCAGGTGTTTAGCCGATGTTACCACCTAGCTCTAGAATAGATCCATGAAAAACAAAAAGCAGTTGGTATAGAATGATTACTTCGTGTGACGTAGATTACTTCATATTGGGATGGGTTGAACTCTATGTCCCAATCCAACTCTCACTGTTCTTAATGATTAAAGTCTTTTTGAAAGATTTCTGATTGCTGACCTGATGTTAAGGTTAGGATATAGCAGTATCATCAGCAAAAAGACGGACATGAATGAAGACGTCTTCTGTAAGAGGTCGTTTATGCATGCGTAGATTAATAGACGGAGATATGAATTCCGCTTACAAATCCTATTGTTTACCACAAAAACTCAAATGCTTATCATAATAACCGTAATAAAAAGAAAGAAAAGTTACATAAATTTTCATTAAAAAATAAGAAAAAATTTTTTTTTCAAAAAAAGAAAATAAAAGAAAAGGCGAAAATAAAAGCACATTCTTCCAAACATACATGTATATGCAAGGGAAATAATTAAATTTTCATATAGTTGTCATTGGAAAAAACGTCGTGGGAATAAAATTGACGAGAAAACTGAAAACCGTATATGTTTCATCATTACATTAACCTGTTAACATTCTGAGGATATTTTTTAATTTGAGTTTGACTGAAAGGGTTCTGAACTTATCTTAATATTAATTAAGACACCAATATATGATACTAGTATTTTAATAAAATATGACCTTGATTTACAGCAGTTACATTGTTTGCATCGAGTTTCGGGGATAGCGTGTCAAAATAACTAAGGTCTGTGAAATTAACTAAAAAAGACTAACATTTTGTCAGTGACATAGAATGGAAACACCCTTTTACATATATGATGTTTTTTGTGTATTTGTGTGTGAAAATGCTTCAGTGGGTTTAGGAAATTTTGTTTAAAGTTGTGTTGCAAAAACAAGCATTGCAAGTTATGATGAAAGGACGTGAGTATTTAGCAAGTATAATATAACAAGGGTACCAAGTCGCTCACCTGAGAACAGAATAGTAATGCTGTAAAGTGCTGTGAGTATAAACTAGAAGGTTCTGTATACTTCAAAAGTTATCAACTACTCTGTTGAAAGTTAAAAAAATTAAACAAAGACCTACTGTCCTTTTGAAAGTTAACAGAACCTACTGTCCTGTTGATAGCATTCGTCATGGCCCATATATCACAAATGCAACACAAAAGAATAGCTAAAAGTCAAGAGGGGTCTTCTACATGTCACGACTAACCTCCATAACAAACTTAGGAAGGTGTATCAAAGTATTCCTTAGTACTTTGCCAGACAAACTAGAAGTGGTTAACGCCACATTGCCCTTTGAAAAACTGACTTCAAAATCATAAAGGATGATCAAAAGTGATGACTAAACTTAACACCAAATTTTAGATCTGTAGGCCAAAACATTCTTTAGTTATGGATTAGATATGTTTTTTTCGTGGGCAATCATATATATCTAGAAATATTGGAAATTTAAACGTTCTGCTTTTTGGCACATTCGTTGATAGAGGCAATGGCAGGGATAGTATATTGAAAGGAAACATATACGACGACATTTAAAACATTATTTGAAACATAGAAATGCAGATTTACTGAACACGCTGCATTTGCATAAACGTTACTACAAGATATGCATGAATCGTACAAAGAAAACATTAAATCATGAACGATGTCTTGAAAAAACACTAGTCTAAAACATCACAATACACCGGGTGATCATATCGGATACTTAATATGTAGTTTTGATAAAAATGACGAAAGCAGTGCATATAAGGAACTCGTCGTCTCTATTACATCTGAGAGAGCGTTTAAATCATCTAAGGTATTGAACAGAAAATAAATCTCCAGAAAATGAATATATATTTAATTGAAGCGCGTGATCTGTTAATACAGTCATTAACTATTTTATTTAACATTATTGAATCGGGAGAATTCCTGCAACATTGTCATATGGTGTTCAGTAAAATGAGGCATTGATGCTCTTGTATCAAAGACTGTACAATCGATAAGCAGTAAAGTATAAAGACATAATAATGCCAATTAAAATAAAATGTTATTTATATTGAACATATCCACTGTCATATTCAATAGTGTTGCACAAATGCTTATTATACTTCCAGCACATAACTTGATGGGCCTTTACAGGAATAACTTTGTCCTGTCGGTCATTGTGTCCGTCTGTCCGTCTCCAGCTTGTCTGTACTATAAATCCTGTTCCCTTTAAAGGTTTATTTTATTAAAACTTGACTAGTATGTTTACACCAACAGGACAATTTGCGGAACCATAAGCCACCACTGTGCCTGCTCAGAATCAAGGTCACATAGATATATGAGCCGTGTCATGACAGGTCAAATGACGTAATCGTAGAAACGCGACATCAAAGTTAATGCCAATATTTCTTAATGATATAACGCATGCTTTTCCAATCACCACTGTGCAGTTTTCAGAGAAAAATAATCTGATCTATCATTTTTCAGAAATCTCTATAATATATATATATATTTATTAACACGTCAATTGCAAACTGATAATATCGTCAGTGAACAGAACATGGTAAACATCGACAGATATAGCAATATACATGTACATTCAAATATCTCTTCAACTGTATAAAATTATACCACACATCACGGTCAAGTATACTTTGTTCGTTTTTGGCCCATTCGTGTTTGCTTATTCATTCGGTTTAACCCCCGCAGACATGCATTTACACAATTTTAGCATATTTTATGTCTGAAGTACACATATTTTGAGTTTTATTGTTCTACCATACATTTGGCTATACAGAGAATAATAAACAATTGCAATGGGTGATTTGATCAGTTAAAGGTTTTGTGTTCTGCTTTTATGGCAAAACCTGATAATTTTAATTTAACATTGTTGTTTTCTTTATCGTATTGATGTTTTAAATTGATAATCAAAAACAGAGATATTGTTTAAAATATGTTTTAATAAGTTAGGAATCGAACGTATTACCTCTTTAATCCGCCCACTAAGCTACCTGTTTAGTAATTACTTATGCTTAACGATAAGATATTTTTGTCAACAGTTTGAGCTGTTACTTGAAATAAATTATAGCTGTCATATGTTTCTGTGCATATCTTAATATCCGTCCCCAGAGGACCTGCCAATCGGCAGGTTTCCGAAGGACGGATATTGCAATTCGATTGGAAATTTCTGTCCTTACACTGGTAACTATCTTCGTACAGTAGCGTATGAAAATACAACTTCATTCACAACGGCGAAATAACGTCATCCAAAGCATGCCATTGTATAGCACACGACTCATCTGGCACCCCCCTGACAGATGAAATATCCGGCATGGGTAAAAGTTACGGAAACACCAGTCTGATATGCAAGAAATACTCTGTCAAATCATTGTAATAGTTTATGTTTAGAAATGAAAGTCTGGGTTTCTATTTAGTGATATAAAACCCATAGTATTCAGAGTATATCACTCATAGTGTTGTTAACATAGCTTTGCCGATTTTTTTGTGGCCTACGTATTAAGTTATGATTCCGTAAGTTTCCCTATAGATGTATTGTGTATCTTGTCCTTTCAAAGCATATTTCTCGGTTCAATGACAATATCTTCACTAAAGTAATCTTTTTACTCCACAATGATGACATTATTCTGCTGTTAAACTCATTTTTTAAATCACAACTGCGCTGAATCGTACTTAAAGTACCACAAGAAAAAAAATTCAAGGAAATTTATGAGTTGACAAATTTAATTTCATCTGTTAAAACGACACGTGATATTGTCCCTGCAAAAGTGAACACTATCAGGGCTTACTTACTTAAAGTAATTAGACAGTTATCTCATTTAGTCTTTCGATTGTTATTTTATTTCCAATGTCAAGTTGTTTTCCAAGTATTAATTCTCTTTAATAATATGTATGTATATAGTAACATGTAAAACTTTAATGTCAATAGAATAAGGAAGATATTACATTACGTTGGTATCATTGTTTAATAATTTAACGGACATAAAATAATAAGAGAATATAATTAAGAGACATTTGTTCTGTTAAGTGAATGTAAGTAAGACACTTGAAGTTGTTGAAATACATTCCTGCTTTATATAAAATTAAATGGGAAGAAAATAAACCGAAATAATTTTGTCTTGTTTCATGATAATTATTGCAATACCAGTTTTGGTCTCTGAGAATATGGCATCGTAAATTATTGATAGAAGCAGAAAATGGATGATAATCAGGTAAAACTGAATGACAATTGAGTGATTCAGACTAAATCGGATAATTTCAGTAAATTGCAGCTACGTGCTGAATGACCCCGAAAAACATAGTATTGAGATATTGAAATCATTAAATTCTTTAAAATTTCATTATTAAACATAATGTTATGATATCGTTAAAGCAGCATACCTCAAGATCCATGTTTATTTTCATAACAATTCGGAAAATGTATTTAAAAGTACAATATTGTGAAGTGAACAAAGGAAGCAGTTTACATATTGCAAACGACACTTACAATCTACGTAAAATAGCCCCTACTGTATTATATTGTTGATTGCTTTGTTTTTCTTTTTGTTCTTGTTTTTTTCAATATGGTATACATGTACATTTATATAATCACACAACGACGTGACAATCCATCAACATGTCCATACGCACTCGTGAAAAATAATTCTCTAACTTCTTTGTGTGATATAACATAGCATTTTTTACAGAACAACTAAATATCCTCTATTTACATGTACGCACATTTTTGAGTAAAACGTTTATGACTATCCACGGTAATAATGCCGTCCTAGAACCTATCAGATGACCTTGTATCGACCATTATTCCAGAACAATTTCTCGTAAAGAAGACGAATATAACCGAAGTTTGACTGAGCATTCAGTTTTTTTTCACCATATTTCTACTGCGTTACTAACACAGCAAGGGCTATTTTTTATATATGATCTAAAATTTTCATGAAAATTGGAGCAAAAATCTTGAGCGTGCTGCTTTGAGGATATGATATCACAGTTACGCAGTATTTTAATTGTATGTTTATATCATGTCTTGGAAATAAGATGATTCTTGAATGTATTCAAAAAATGATATCTCATTTTTTATTTATTCTTGCAATTTTTTGAAACATAAATGTTGGTATTTCTGTGCACATTCATTACCTGAGTGTTTTGACCTTATATAAGGATAGTTCCACATACTATATTCAAAAATGCACATCGTATAATGATATATTGACATCATATAAAGACACATTGACATCAAATAGTGTTCAGTTGACTACATATAAAAATGGATCCACATAATATATTATATATTAATGAGTGCACCTTGTATAAGGAAATGTTGACTCAATATATTGCTATTTGGACATAACAACGTTCAGGTTTATAATAATAAGACAGTCAAGGCTTTCCATATACTTGTATATGTCTATTCGTGCAACAAGTCGTTACATGTACTTAAGATGGCTTACGATTGACACGGTACTCTTTAACAATACAAATGTGAGCTTCGTCGTTAGTAACGTTAATAATTTACATGCTAAGATACATGTTTATAGGAGTATATGTCAAGCAAAACGATGATTCAGTTTATTCACGTTGCATTTTTAATCCGTCGAATAAAACGACGTCACTTATAGTGTTAAAAAGTGTTATAAATCAAGTTTTCTTTGTCTAAAGATAATAAATTTTGTCTTGATGATTTAGAAAAGATTGCATTTTGAGAATCTTTGAAAAAAGTAAAATGTAAAATATGACCACTATGTTGGAAATGTCATGTCAGGGCTCATATGCAGATTAAATGCCAAGCGATAATTGTAATCTCTATAAATTCTATAATCATCGGGTTGGCCCATATTGCCACCTCAACAAAGAAACGTGCAAAAACCCGATAACTGTGGTGCTTTGGCTAAAGAGCTGTCAGTCATTTGTAACGTCTGTCCGTATCCAGCGTGTCTGTGATATAAATCATGCAGCACTAGTATTGGGTATTTGATTATACTAAACCCATAATTAATATTTTCAACTTGAGAATAAGAAATAAATGATATATTATTTTATTGTGTAACAACCATTTCCTCATACATTGTTCGAAATATCAAATAAATTCTGAGTTCTTTACAACTTAAAGTTACATTTCCGTCTTGACTTTGTACATATATAACTATATAATCTATTTTGGACAAAAATAATATATAGAATCTAACTAAAATATATTTTTAAAGCACTTCAGATCGTTGAGAAGACTGTGAACTTCTTGAGTTGAAAGAGTAAGTGGTTGACCTATGAAGCCTACAACCTTTACGGCATAAACAGTTGACAAAATCTGCCCGAAACTTGGAGCCACACAATATGTAAAGAACAAAGTTAATAGCGTTGTTTATATACATAAATAAATGCAAAACGGCTTCAAGAAGCATAAGTCTTGCATACCGCCGTGACGTCATAGTTTCCATTGGGAACCAGTACGGCTGTCCAATCGCAAAAATCGTGAAAGGAGAAACACATACAATAAAAGCCAAACTGAGAATAATCGCTACTTTTGTAAAGTATGAAACAGTTTTCGTCATTGAATCAGACTCGCTTCTCCTTGATCTGTTTCCAATTTTGCGTTTGAATACACTTGATTTCCGAAAGTGGCGGCTATTTTTTATTTTCCTTAGAACAATGATGTTTCCAGTTAGTAAAACGCAAAATGGAATTGCAAATGCAAAAGCGAAATCAATCCATGGCCAGATTTTGAACATGAAATGCTCATGATGTTTCATAGCTTGACAGCTTGTTTTGTTGAATACTTCATGATAATCTAGTGTAAATCCATAAAGAAGATGACTGTTCAAACAGGCTAGACATACAACACACAGCAATGATAAAATCAAAACATTTCTTCTCGTAAATATACGCTTGACCTTATGAATGTATAGTACGCTACAAATACGTTCAGTTGTCAGAATTACTAAAATCCAAGGTGACAGCTGCATTAAAAAGTATGTAAAATACACGTGTACTTTACATGTTACGCTAGAAGAGCTCCGAACGTCTACTTCAAATGCATACTGTAACCATTTCACAAACACAACGAAGACCAGTATAAGACTGTCAGTAAAAGTAAGAAATATCAACATTACACCAGTTGAAGTCTTCCTGTGTTTCACCTGTGCTAGAATTATCAAAGAAGCAATGTTTCCGGTCAATCCAAAGATGATTAAAATTGGAGGATATATAACTTTTATATTTTGAGCCACTCGATAGTCCTGATAGTCCTCCAAATCCATGTTGTTTAACATGTGCTTAACCTTCGTATAACAATAATATCTAAGTGATCCGTTTCTTTGTACTGTATCTAAATCTTACGGTGTCATTTTTTGTTATGCAGGAGCAATCATTATCAAACAATACATAATACATTAAAACTTCTCGTTCATAGGCCAAAAGTTGGTCAATACTTCAACATTATCATTTTCACAAAATGCACTTGTAATATTGCGTACTTCCGAACTCATAAGTACTTTTGAGCATCCTTCTTTATAATGTTATTCCTAATATTAGTTAGTATTTACAGCGTTATATTTACACTATAACGTACATCCGGACTTATTTAAACTTAACTTCTGTTTAAAATTATGATATGCGGCAAAGTGTCAAGTGATAAATTTTGCATGCATACATAAGCATATTATCTAGTACACGAGAAGAAAAAGGTTTAAGAAAATATTCATCTTTGCCGCTATTTGAAGCTCCTTTAATATTTATCAATGCATTTCATCTTTTTCTTTTCCAAATAGATTTGTAAAATATAATCTTTTACTGAAACGATTAGGAATGAACACGTCTGTGTCAAAATATTGCCTCGAAATATCGCAATATGTCGCTTATACTTTCTCTTTCTAAGAAGTTAACTGATTTATAAAATATGATAAACAAGATCAACATGGAAAAGCGGCGTTCAATAAACGCAACCCCCACACGACCCAGCAGGAAGAACCAGTGACAACGAGCCCACGAGGACTCCAAAAAAAAGGACAGGGCACAAGACAGAGCATGGACAGGCTAATCTCTAAAATGATACATAAGAAATAAAAGTAACCACCAAGAAAATCAAAGAAAATAAATAAATGATTAATAGGCCCACTAAGTAAAGGGCACTAGGGAAGGGGATAGGATATGCGGGGAAGGAGGGGGGTCAAAATTAAAGAAACCATACTCGGGGCAAAAGGGAAGATATTTATCGTAGACGAGAAAACAACAAGGACACAAACAAAATTGTCACCAAAGCTGTATGAAACAACATTACATACATCTGGGGTACAAAAGGGCACCGCCTTGGAACGGTCATCAGCATAAGTACTACTGGGGTGTTTAAACGGATTAATGGTGCACCAAAACTCACTCTTAGCCCTTCCATGTTCCTATAAACGAGAAGGTGTATATAAAATGATCCCCCGCCAAGTGAAATCCTAACAGTTGTTATGGTTACAAAAAGGAAAAATAAGTAAAACACCATAATGATCATACAGAAACATATAAAAGAAAACCCAATGACCATAACAAAATTACTCAATGTCTTAAAAGAAGACAGAGCAACAAGAAAATCACCTACAAGGGCCCGACGAAGCAAGACAGAAGACGAACATTAAGGCAATTTAGTCCCAAAGGGATTTAAGAACTGACTATCAGAACAGTCTCCCATTTGGTCCGTCAGATGTAATCAAAAGAAAAAAGAGTTGTGTCCAACTGTAAAAGGGTTGAACACCAATCATGCGGTATGTCTTAAAATAATTGGGTCGTAATTTCTTTTATGATTTAGTAAAAACAGCAGAAAACTTACCATGACCCAAAATCTTTCAAAGTTTGTAAATCACATCGCCATAAATACCAAGCTATCTTAACCTTTGTCACAGAAGTGTTTTTAAATCACTATCAAATTTTGAAATTAAATCAAAATTACGATTGTAAAATTTGCAAAATGTTTCCGTAATTTATGATAGCGGTAGCCCTGATTTAGAAGCTTGCTGGAAATGAAAATAGTCCGCTCGTTGAAATCCTTTACGTTGCAAAACAGAGTTCGTCGTTCGTTTGATAGATCTGAAAATTAAAGGCAAGACCAATAAGCAAATACGGATTGGAATAAACGTCGTGGTTATAAAATTGACGAGAAAACGGAAAACCGTCTTTGTTTCATCATTACATTAACCTGTTAGCAGTCTGATGATATATTTCAATTTGAGTTTGCTAGTAGGGGACCAGACTTCAGTTGTATATTCTTGTTGTGGTAGAACAAATGTCTTATATGCCTTGGCCTTGACCTTAAGGGTATATGAGCTTACCTTAATATTAATAAAAAAACCAAGTGTTTGGTTTGCCTTTTTGGTTGACCTATTTATATGCTCGTCATAATTTGATATATCAACGCGCAAGTATTTGACTGATGTTACCATCAGTAGAATAGTTCCATTAAGAGATTAAGCAGTTGGTATAGGATGATTATTTCTGACGTGGATTACTAATATTTGGACTGGTTGAACTCCATGTATCAATCAAACTCCCATTTTATAAGGATTCAAGTCTTTTTGAAGGGTTTCCGACCTGATGCTAAGGTAAGTATAGGGCTGTATCATCAGCAAATAGACGAACTTTTGAGGGGACGTCTTCTGAAAGAGGTCATTTATGCATGCGTAGTAAAGTTAGCGGAGATATGAATTCCGTTGAAAAATCCTCTTGTTTACCACGAAAACTCAAATCTTTACCATTGCAGCCGTATATGAATAGCAAGGATATTACAAACACTTCACGAGGAAAAAAAACAACCAATAAAATAAAATAAAAGATAAAACAATAATTAGAAAAGCAAAATAAAAGCCTAGTATCCCATATATATGTAAGGGGAGTAATTTAGAAACAAATTTCGACAGAGATTTTAATAGTTGTCTTTTGGTCTTGCCAATATGTCATTTGGTATCTACGAAGAATAACAATATAATAACTTCTAAATTATCGGTTAAAGAAGATGGTGTTACTAGTATATAGATTTCTTATCTTCGATTATTTGTTGTACGTAACGCACTTTGGGCAATAACCCTAAAATTAATTTTACCCCAAAAGCATAACTATGTAGGCGATTTATTACTCAGTCTTATTCAATGTGTGACAACTTTCAGTGTTATACCATGCTACATTGCTGTTGTTGATCTGATTAAATATTGAAAACTGATTATATAGATGTACTCTATCGTTTGAGCTTGATTTATCTTTATGTCTATTTTCATATACTGATTAACGGAACATGTTGCAAGTGAATGAAAATCTTGTCCGAATAGATATATCAAACGAGAAGCTACAAGGCGTGTTCAAATATTCATGAATGCAATTGGGTCAATTTTCAGAAGTTCAAAATATTCACCACCATGTGATATACATAGTTTTTGTCTTTTAATTCAATTTATAAATGCGTTTTCATAATCTTTTCGAGGTATACTGTCCAGACACTGAACAATAGCCGAACCGAGATTTTTTCGCGTTTGATATTTCCAGCATGGTAGAAAAATAGTCACAAGAAGCAAGATCTGTCAAATAAGGAGAGCAAGGAAGCTCAACAACCGTTTCCTGTTTAAGATATTCTCGTACAATGGCCGCTTTGTGTGACGTAGCACTGTCATGCAACAACATGACACCACGGAGACCAGTTGCTGGGCGACGGTTTTGAATTATTTCTTTAATTTATGATGGATGTTGCCTTCGTAAAACTTGGCATTTACAGATTCATCCTTTGGTACTGCAATTTGAATTGGTAAAAAAAGTTACATATGTAATATTTTTTGACACTCATGGTGCCTTTTTCAAGTCCTTTGACTAACTTTGGTTGCCCATATTTTGTTATGTATCTTTCGCTTGGGCTCATAAAAGTGAAACCACGTCTTATCGCCAGTGATGATTCTTGCAAAAGATCGATTGTTGCATTAAGAGAACTGTTTTAACAATTGTTTGGAGATTCTTACCCGAGCAAGTTATTGCTCTTTTGTACGATGGGGGTATCCCTCTGGCATTTATCCTTCTCATTTTTAAATCACGTCTGAGAATTGTATGAGCGGCTCCTGCATTTATTATAAAACTTGCATCAAAAGCGATCAAATCCTTAACTTTTTCAACCATTTTTGGCAAAGTTGCAGTTTTAGGACGGCGTAATTTTACTGAATCAACACCACTTTGAAATTTCTTATACCACCGTGTGACAGATGAAAAAGCAAATTCATTGTTCCCATAAACACGACATATTTCATTAAATATGTCTTTCGCCTGTATACCAAGGTACAGCGGTTCTTGATATTGGACCGTATTTGGTCTGAGAAAGAAGACCTTTTCCAAACCATTAGTATACACGAGTAGATAGCCTTAATCGATTTATAGCCAAAGCTAGACTGAACGAACTGATTTACACATGCATTGTATCAATTGAGAGCTTTCACAACCATCTTTGCGATACATGTACATAGTTCGTGCAAAACGTGGTTCAAAGTGACATATTGGCCTAGTTGCATTCATATTTGAACACCCTTGGTATATAGTTTTCATGTGTATATGAACTATAACAAATCAAAACTCGTAAGCGTTCTCCGGTATGGAATGTTACAATCCTTTAATTACAGCAATATATATTAAGAACTAGATATTTGTTTGATTATTCATCTATCAAAAAGCCAGTAAAATTTTCTTAAAGCTTAGGACAATGATGGTAACGTAGCTTTTGTTTATTTTTTGCATCATTATTTGAATATGATATCCAATTACGTACCGTAACACATAGTAAGCTAGTTTTAAGCAATGAGATCATATTATCAAAACGTTATTGAGCAATTTGTTTGTGTATTTAAACTTTAAACATGTTCGCTAACAGAAGTCAATTGGAAAAGAAACAATTAACATTGTATAATGTTTGCTTTCAACGTAGGCTACATTGCCGAGGTGAATAGAAAGGCATATACCTATACGCACTCAATGTAAAGTTAAAAGACAAACGTTGCTCGTATCATGCAAGTCCTTCTATTTTTATTTTTGTTTGCCTAATGGAAATTACATTTCATCTAATATTTTATTATTTCGGAGTATATATGCATTATATCTATAGCTGACAGTGCGTAAGAAAAATTATTCAAATAAACCTAAAGCTACTTATACACTTATACATGAAATATACACTTACAAGCACATAGTAAAATATCTTTTTTAGGTATAAAATCAAAGATTAGACAATTTGGTATTAAATTGTGCAAGAGTGCATGGCAGTGGTTGTCTTACTCTTAATTCAAATATATTACTTATCTGTAAACTGTGTAATGTGTATAACAATCTAGTAGCTGAACAATAAGAGAATTTTTTAATTAATGTTTTGTAACTGTTTCATGCACATTTCACAGGTTCAACAATGTTCTAATTTAAACAAACATTCAATTAAGATTAAAGTATCGTTTTGCTTTAAATACATAATGCCATTTGTTGGTTCATTTTGCTTGTTCAAATATATAATTTATAAAGCTAAATATCATTTAAAAGACTATGTACGTATAATAGATTTTATTCAAAAAGATATAACTGAAGGATGAT